GATTTACGCGGTAGACTTGCTCGTTGGGCAATCAAGCTTCAAGACTTTGATTATGAGATTATTCATATTAAAGGCAAATGTAATGTTTTGGCAGATTTTTTATCGCGTAATCCTTCCGATCTTTGTACTATTGATGTTGATAAATCTGACGATTGGTACAGTGAGATGTTGATTAAAGTTAAGAACAATCCCGATAAATTTCCACTCTTTAAGGTTGATAATAATAACTTATATAAATTTATTCCCAATAAATCCGAAATTAAATCTAATATCCCAGATTGGAAACTTTTTGTACCATTAAATAAACGTTTAGAAATTCTTCAACAAAATCATGATTCAGTTTTAGCAGGACATTTCGGTTTTTTTAAGACTTTTAATAAAATATTAGAAAAGTATTACTGGCCCAAGCTTCGAGATGATGTAAAAAAATATCTAGCCCAATGTCACATTTGTAACACTTGTAAACCTTCACAGCAGAAACCTGCTGGTTTTATGGGTAAACCTAAAAATGTATCATTTCCCTTTCAACTTATTAGTATAGATATTATCGGTCCATATCCTCGCTCTAAGCTTGGTAATTGTTATGCTTTAGTGATCTGTGATTGGTTTACAAAATCTGTTTTTGTCCATCCCTTAAGGAAAGTGACATCACAAAGTATAGTAAAATTTTTGGAACAAAATGTGTTTTTAGTTTTTGGAGTACCTCAGATTTTGTTGACTGACAATGCAAAGTATTTCACTAGTAAGGTATTTAAGGAATTTATGGATTCATATCGAGTTAAAGTTTGGTATAATTCCCTTTATCATCCTCAGGTTAATTTTTGTGAACGTTATAATAAAGTTATAGTTACGGCCATTAGATCTTTCCTCAAGAATAATCACAACATGTGGGATCATAATTTGCATAAGATAGCCCATGCAATACGCTCATCCGTGCATGAAATCACTGGTCATAGTCCTAATTTTTTAACTTTCGGTAGAATAGTACCAGATAATGGCGAATTTTATGGTAACATTGAAATGTGTGACAAAATCTTTATTTCAGACACTTCTAATTTTGTTGCGGATTTATCTAACTTTCCTGATATTTACTCAAAGGTTAAATGTAAACTTGATCAAGCGTATAATCGGTATAAAAATCGTTATGATTTGCGTAGACGTCATATGACTCTTAACGTTGGAGATTTAGTGTATAAAGAGAACAAAATTTTATCAGATGCTAGTAAACATTTTAATGCAAAGTTAGCTCCTAAGTTCGTTCGTTGTAGGGTGCATAAAGTTGTATCACCATTAGTGTATAGTTTGGTTGATGAGAATGGGAAAGATTTGGGTAATTGGCATGTAAAGAATTTAAAACATGTTTCAGATATGACTTTTGATGTGGAGAACGGTTGATTGCGTACGTTTACCGATTTTTTTTATTTATTTTTTTACCACGTTTCGGTGGTGTGTCACGAGTATAAAATCGCGACGTTTTAATTTGGCGGGTTTTAATGTTTTGGAACAAATATTAATTAATTTCGACAGTGTAATCAAGGCTTTCATTTTTAATTGTTTATAATTTCTTTTGGTTTATCGTTTTAATGCATTAATGCGGCGGTATTAATTTATAATTATTTAATAAATTTCAATTGTTAATGTATTGGTATATAATTTTTTATTAGTTACTGTTGGGATAATTTACATTTTATTATATTGTTTCGCTGTGTGGACAGGGCTTTTATTGCGCATTTAAAGAGGGGGGGTAAGTAGTGGAATTATTAATTGAGTTCTTTTCGATGCAATCTTTTGACGAAGCAGCACGGCCGATAAATTCGGCTGTTTGGGTATACTGTTTGGGTATACTAGTTTTGATACCTTAAGTTTTGGTATGCTTAATTTTGATACCGTATTGAATATCGCATATTTTATTTAATGTATTCTACGTGACTACTACGCAGCAAATAGCGGCATGGTGATATTTTTTTCTGCGAGCCACGCTTAAGTTTTTTTGGTGCAGTAAATCAAAACGCAATATTGATATACGGATTTTTTGGAGTTTGCAACAATACTACTACGGATGTAATCCTGACAAACATTTTGGGTAATTTCAACTTGAATAACATATAACTGGAGAGATTTCATCACCTCACTGTACGGACTCATTTCCTTGGGCATTGTTCGATAAAGTTGAATCGACCAGCAAATTGGTAATCTTCAGATCAAGGTGATGTACTATTTTATTAATCTTTAATATCTTCCCAACATCAAACCGTAGTAATATTTTGCCAGTTAGCAAATTACCTTATTGTGAATTAAGTATAGAGATTATATTTCATTTTTTTAGCACTAAATCCTTCAGAATTAATGTTGCTATATTATTTGTAAATTTGGTATACCTAATCAGTAAAATTATTGTATTTCTGATTACTTAGTTGGTAGGTATTAATTTATATTATTTTGGTATAGTATTGCTATGCCATATTATTTGTAAATTTGGTAGAACCATTAAAATTATTGTATTTTGGATTACTTAATTAATAATATTTGATATTATTTTGGTAAATAAATGGGATATTGTATTATGGGAAAATTGTGCTTTATTCAATTAGTCTAGATTTATTTCAGAGTATATTTGTTTATTATTTTATACTTTATTTACTGTATTCAATCCAATAACCCTCCCCTGAAGGTAAGTTTCATTTTTTGTCTCCCTTGAGCTAGTGCAGGTGCGTGTAACATTTCACTCATTATAAATAGTTTAACATCCAACTAAAATAACATTCAAAAGTAAGTTTAATTACGTTACATCTGTAACCCCAAACTTTTTCACTACATATTCCATAATATCACCAATTATTTTAGGGTCTAACTTCTTTTTGGACATGTTACCATCAATTGTAGAATGCGCCAAATCGTCTTCAGCGAAGAAATAGTTTACTATGGCTCTTGTGGCGATAGAACACGGTCGAGCAGTCAATGTTTCCAGAACAAATTTGTCTATTCGGGTCTTGTTTGGACCTAAGAATACATTAGCCCGTTCTGGATTTTCCTCAGTTATATTATCTTGTTTCTGAGTACCCTTGAAGTTTTTTTTAAACTTTTTGTAAGCATCATCACACCAAATCATAATTAAATTTTTAACATCCCTTTCTGTAACCATTATCGTCCGAATCATCTTCATATGAATTTTCAATTGTTTTTTCAATTTTCGGAGGTGTTTTGACGTTTTTGAGTAAAGCTTAAAATCTAATTGATCGATTTGGTTAACGCTGACATTTTTACAAAAAGAACAAGTTAATATTGATTTTCGCGTTTAGAGAGCCAAACTACATAAGAAAATCATATTGAGACATGGTGGGCAAAAAGGCTTTAAACTATCGTTATTATACGTTAATCGTTTTTATTAAATTCAACAATTATAATTTATTTTTAGACTTTTTTTGAAACTTATGTTGAGCTTCTCTACACCTAACCTGGATTATTTTTTTAACTTCCCTTTCTGTAACCTTATACTTTTTTACTACATATTCCATAATATCAGCAATTATTTTAGGGTCTAACTTCTTCTTGGACATGTTACCATCAATTGTAGAATGTGCCAATTCATCTTCAGCGAAGAAATAGTTTAATATGGCCCTTGTGGCGGTAGAAGACGGTCGATCAGTCAATGTTTTCAGAAGAACTTTGTCTATTCGGGTCTGGTTTGAACCTAAGAATACATAAGCCCGTTCTGGATTTTCCTCAGTAATATTATCTTGATTCTTTGTATCCTTGAAATTTTTTTGAAGCTTCTTGTAAGCATCATTACACCTAAACATAATTAATTTTTTAACATCCTTTTCTGTAACCTCAAACTTCTTCATTACGTATTCAATAATATCACCAATTATTTTAGGGTCAAACTTCTTCTTGTGGAGTTCTCTGGTGGAATTGCCACCTATTGTAGAATGTGCCAAGTCATCTTCAGTAAAGAAATAGTTCAATAATGCTCTTGTGGCAATAGAACAAGGTCGATCACTCAATCTTTCCAAAATAATTTTGTCTACTTGGGTCTGGTTTGAACCTAAGAATACATAAGCCCGTTCTGGATTTTCCTCAGTAATATTATCTTGGTTCTTAGTATCCTTTAACTTTTTTTGAAACTTCTTGTAAGCATCATCACACCTAACCCTAATTAAATTTTTAACATCCTTTTCTGTAACCTCAAACTTCTTCATTACGTATTCAATAATATCACCACTTATTTTAGGGTCTAACTGCTTCTTGCGGAAGGCTGTGGTAGAATTTCCATCGATTTTAGAATGTGCCAAATCGTCTTCAGTAAAAAAATAGGTTAATAGGGCCCTTGTTGTGATAGAACAGGGTCGATCACTCAATGTTTCCAGAATTAATTTGCCTATTTGGGTCTGGTTTGAACCTAAGAATACATTAGCACTTTTATCATTTTGTTTCTTAGTAGCATCATTGAGTTTTTTTTGAAACTTCTGGTGAGCATAACGACACGCATACTTGATTATATTCTTAACTTCCTTCTCTATAACCTCAAACTTTTTCATTACGTATTCAATAATATCACCAATTATTTTAGGGTCCAACTTCTTCTTGTGGTAGGCTGTGGTAGACTTGCCAATGATTGTAGAATTTGCCAAATCGACTTCAGTAAAGAAATAGTTCAATAATGCTCTTGTGGCGACAGAACCCGGTCGATCACTCAATGTTTCCAGAAAAAATTTGTCTATTTGGGTCTTGTTCGAGCCTAAGAATGCATTACCTTCTTCTGGATTGTTTGTATCTTTAATGTTTAGCTTCTTTATAGTATTAGGCTTTTCATTCAATTTAGGTTTCTTGAATTGCCGCGTAGGTATGTTAAGTTCCTTGTTCTCATCACTCATTTTTCTTTTCTTGGATTGTGGTTCTTTGGGTTTGGTACTAGGAAAGTTTTTCATTCTTATAGCCATTTCAAACCTTATTTTTTCCAGTTTACGTCCAGTAGTATCATTTTCAGATATAAAACTCACATCCATGGCATTTTTCGTTTTTTTATTATCGCCCGAATCGTCTTTATCAAGATTTATAATTTCCAATGGTGTAAATTGTTTTTCACATTGGTTTTCCCACTCATCTAGTAGATCTTCTAACTCTGATATATTTTCTTCATTATTTTTATCCCTAAGAATATTATTCGTCAAAGATTTCTCCTGGTTTTCTTCATGAATGCCTTGAATAATGCCTTGGAGGTTGTTTAAAATTATTTTCTGCTTTGAAGTCATTTTGGTATAACACTTTTATGAATCACAAAATAAGTATGATTGAAATGGAATTGACATATTGTTTTATATGTTATTTTTTTACCTGTGCTAAAGTATACCTAAACTATATTGGTAAAGGATTAAAATATTGTTTGCATTCCATGTTGTTATATTAAACAATTCAATTCAATTCAATTCAATTAGTTAAGGTAATTTTGTATATCACAAATGGGGATTTTGCCTAATTCTAAAAGTACCACTTTTTCCCTTCGAATCCCTTTTTAAATAAAAACTTAAACTACCGATTTTCAAAAAGAATTGAAAATAAATTAAAATTATTCAAAAGGGGAGAGTAGTACTTTCAGATGGTATCGTGACTTTTGCAGAAAGAAAATAAATTGTGATGAAATATAACCTTAAATATTTTATTTAAAAAAAAGATCATGATTAAAAATTTACCAACTAAAATATTTCTAAACTTGAAAAACAAAATATTATTCAATTAGATTTGTGTAACGGTTGACGGAAAGACTTTAATAAAAATGCTATAGATTTATGTAAAATTATATATTATATGGATAAATTCATCGTCTAAATTTTCAACAATATTCCCTGCAAAACACCCTTACAATATAAGAGCATTTGTATTCTTAAACTTCTTACGACCATCACTACACCTAATCATAATTAATTTCTTAATATTCTTCTCTGTAAACTCATTACTACTTCATTACGTATTCAATAATATCATCAATTATTTTACTTCTTCTTGTAAAGAAATTTGTCTATTTGGGTCTTTTTCGTTACAAAAAGAACAAGTTAATATTGATTTTCGCGTTTAGAGAGCCAAACTACATAAGAAAATCATATTGAAACATGGTGGGCAAAAAGGCTTTAAACTATCGTTATTATACGTTAATCGTTTTTATTAAATTCAACAATTATAATTTACTTTTAGACTTTTTTTGAAACTTATGTTGAGCTTCTTTACACCTAACCTGGATTATTTTTTTAACTTCTTTTTCTGTAACCTTATACTTCTTTACCACATATTCCATAATATCAGCAATTATTTTAGGGTCTAACTTCTTCTTGGACATGTTACCATCAATTGTAGAATGTGCCAATTCATCTTCAGCGAAGAAATAGTTTAATATGGCCCTTGTGGCGGTAGAACACGGTCGATCAGTCAATGTTTTCAGAAGAAATTTGTCTATTCGGGTCTTGTTTGAACCTAAGAATACATAAGCCCGTTCTGGATTTTCCTCAGTAATATTATCTTGGTTCTTAGTATCCTTGAACTTCTTTTGAAACTTCTGGTGAGCATAATGACACGCATTCTTGATTATTTTCTTAACTTCCTTCTCTATAACCTCAAACTTTTTCATTACATATTCAATAATATCACCAATTATTTTAGGGTCCAACTTCTTCTTGTGGTAGGCTGTGGTAGACATGCCAATGATTGTAGAATTTGCCAAATCGTCTTCAGTAAAGAAATAGTTCAATAATGCTCTTGTGGCAATATAACAAGGTCGATCACTCAATCTTTCCAAAATAATTTTGTCTACTTGGGTCTGGTTTGAACCTAAGAATACATAAGCCCGTTCTGGATTTTCCTCAGTAATATTATCTTGGTTCTTAGTATCCTTTAACTTTTTTTGAAACTTCTTGTTAGCATCATCACACCTAACCCTAATTAAAATTTTAACATCCTTTTCTGTAACCTCAAACTTCTTCATTACGTATTCAATAATATCACCACTTATTTTAGGGTCTAACTGCTTCTTGCGGAAGGCTGTGGTAGAATTACCATCGATTGTAGAATGTGCCAAATCGTCTTCAGTAAAGAAATAGGTTAATAGGGCCCTTGTTGTGATAGAACACGGTCGATCACTCAATGTTTCCAGAACTAATTTGCCTATTTGGGTCTGGTTTGAACCTAAGAATACATTAGCACTTTTATCATTTTGTTTCTTAGTAGTATCATTGAGTTTCTTTTGAAACTTCTGGTGAGCATAATGACACGCATTCTTGATTATTTTCTTAACTTCCTTCTCTATAACCTCAAACTTTTTCATTACATATTCAATAATATCACCAATTATTTTAGGGTCCAACTTCTTCTTGTGGTAGGCTGTGGTAGACATGCCAATGATTGTAGAATTTGCCAAATCCTCTTCAGTAAAGAAATAGTTCAATAATGCTCTTGTGGCGATAGAACAAGGTCGATCACTCAATCTTTCCAAAATAATTTTGTCTACTTGGGTCTGGTTTGAACCTAAGAATACATAAGCCCGTTCTGGATTTTCCTCAGTAATATTATCTTGGTTCTTAGTATCCTTGAACTTTTTTTGAAGCTTCCTGTAAGCCTCATTACACCTAATCATAATTAATCTTTTAACATCCTTTTCTGTAACCTCAAACTTCTTCATTACGTATTCAATAATATCACCACTTATTTTAGGGTCTAACTGCTTCTTGCGGAAGGCTGTGGTAGAATTACCATCGATTGTAGAATGTGCCAAATCGTCTTCAGTAAAGAAATAGGTTAATAGGGCCCTTGTTGTGATAGAACACGGTCGATCACTCAATGTTTCCAGAACTAATTTGCCTATTTGGGTCTGGTTTGAACCTAAGAATACATTAGCACTTTTATCATTTTGTTTCTTAGTAGCATAATTGAGTTTCTTTTGAAACTTCTGGTGAGCATTACGACACGCATACTTGATTATATTCTTAACTACCTTCTCTATAACCTCAAACTTTTTCATTACGTATTCAATAATATCACCAATTATTTTAGGGTCCAACTTCTTCTTGTGGTAGGCTGTGGTAGACATGCCAATGATTGTAGAATTTGCCAAATCCTCTTCAGTAAAGAAATAGTTCAATAATGCTCTTGTGGAGACAGAACCCGGTCGATCACTCAATGTTTCCAGAAAAAATTCGTCTATTTGGGTCTTGTTCGAGCCTAAGAATACATTACCTTCTTCTGGATTGTTTGTATCTTTAATGTTTAGTTTCTTTATAGTATTAGGCTTTTCATTCAATTTAGGTTTCTTGAATTGCCGCGTAGGTATGTTAAGTTCCTTGTTCTCATCACTCATTTTCCTTTTTTTGGATTGTGGTTCTTTGGGTTTGGTACTTGGAAAGTTTTTCATTCTTATAGCCATTTCAAACCTTATTTTTTCCAGTTTACGTTCAGTAGTATCATTTTCAGATATAAAACTCACATCCATGGCATTTTTCGTTTTTTTATTATCGCCCGAATCGTCTTTATCAAGATTTATAATTTCCAATGGTGTAAATTGTTTTTCACATTGGTTTTCCCACTCATCCAGTAGATCTCCTAACTCTGATATATTTTCTTCATTGCTTTTATCCTTAAGAATATTGTTCTTCAAAGATTTCTCCTGGTTTTCTTCATGAATGCCTTGAATAATACATTGGAGGTTGTTTAAAATTATTTTCTGCTGCGAAGTCATTTTGGTACAACACTTTTATGAATCACAAAATAAGTATGATTAAAATGGAATTGACATATTGTTTTATATGTTATTTTTTTACCTGTACTGACTAAACTATACCTATATTATAATAGTAAGGGATTAAAATATTGTTTTCATTTTATGTTGTTTAAACAATTCGTAATCTCCTTTTTTTCCATTAGTTTAGGTAATTTTTACATAACAATTTAAAAGTATCACTATTTAGTTGAGGTAATTTTGTACATCAGGAAATAAGGATTTTTTTTAATAAAAAATTATAAATTTTAACTTAGAATTTTCCAAAGAAAATAAAATAATTCAAGAGTTTTGCAGAAAGAAATTACATTGTGGTGAAATATAACCTTAAATTTAACTAAAATATATCTGAACTTGAAAAATAAAATATTATTCTATTAAGTTTTTGTGGCGGTTGACGGGAAGACTTTAATAAAATTGCTATAGATTCATCTAAAATTGTTATTTTCTTTACTTCTTTCTCTGTAACCTCATACTTTTTCATTATGTATTTCGTAATATCACCAATTATTTTAGAATCAAACTTCTTGTGCTATTCCCCACCCAAATGATAAGGGGGTGAGGGAGGTTACTTGATATAAAATGTACCATACAAATTCTTAGAAAAAATATACCAATAAGACAAGTCGTGTTATGTTATTCGAATTACGATGAAATGCTAAAATCGTTTTTATCTTGTGCTAAAATGATCAGCTTAAGCTTTTTTTAACGTTATAACGAATTGTATTGCTAATAAGACAAGAAATCGCATATTACCCTTGTTATTCTTACGGTAATATGCAAGAATGGCCTTTATTATTTTCAGCCATTTGGTGCCAAACAATAAGGATGGTAGTCGGTTGCGCCACCCACAACTTAAAACCGTTCCTGTGCCACTAGTATAGACATATCACTTTTAGAAATCCGCTAAATAAATCCAATATTGGCCCCAGACAAAATATTAGGCATAGACGCGCTCCATATAGGATCAATATTTTGTGCTACTGAGGCTGTGACATAAAAAGAAAAGAAAATGTATTCTTTTAAATTATTTATACAAATCGACCAACTAAAACTTTCTTGAAAAATAAAAATACAATTCAAGTTTTGTGACGGTTTACTAAAAGACCTTGATAAAATTGGTAGGTACAGATTTATTAAATATTGTATATTTTTTGAATAAATACATCGTTTAGACTTTCTACAATATTTACTGCAAAACCTTAGACTATTTAAATACTGCTAATATCACAAGCACTTGTTGATTTAACATTTCCAAATAAAGATTATAATTAATTTAACCTTGTTAAACTTCTGTTGAGCAGCACTGCACAGTATTCTTGAAATTCTTTTTAAACTTCCGGTGAACAGCTTTACACCTACTATTGATTATGTGTTTAACATCCTTCTCTGTAACCTCAAACTTTTTCACTACATATTCCATAATATCACCAATTATTTTAGGGTCTAACTTCTTTTTGGACATGTTACCATCAATTGTAGAATGTGCCAAAATAATAAATAAAAAGCAAACAAAAAAGTAAAATGTATATTTTATGTATAAATACATCGTCTATATTATCTACAATATTTACGTATCTTTAACGGTTTGTTCAGTAGTATTCTTGGCCTTTATTTAAAACTTCCTATAAACATCATGACATTTATGCTTGATTGCTTTCCTAACTTTCTTTTTTGCAACCCCGTACTCTTTCACTACGTATTCCACAATATAACCAATTATTTTAGGGTCTAACTTCTTCTTGTGCAATTTCCCATCCATTGTAGAATGTGCCAAATCATCTTCAGTAAAGAAATAGTTCAATAATGCTCTTGTGGCAATAGAACAAGGTCGATTACTCAATCTTTCCAAAATAATTTTGTCTACTTGGGTCTGGTTTGAACCTAAGAATACATAAGCCCGTTCTGGATTTTCCTCAGTAATATTATCTTGGTTCTTAGTATCCTTGAACTTTTTTTTGAAGCTTCCTGTAAGCATCATTACACCTAATCATAATTAATTTTTTAACATCCTTTTCTGTAACCTCAAACTTCTTCATTACGTATTCAATAATATCACCAATTATTTTAGGGTCTAACTGCTTCTTGCGGAAGGCTGTGGTAGAATTTCCATCGATTGTAGAATGTGCCAAATCGTCTTCAGTAAAGAAATAGGTTAATAGGGCCCTTGTTGTGATAGAACACGGTCGATCACTCAATGTTTCCAGAACTAATTTGCCTATTTGGGTCTGGTTTGAACCTAAGAATACATTAGCACTTTTATCATTTTGTTTCTTAGTAGTATCATTGAGTTTCTTTTGAAACTTCTGGTGAGCATAATGACACGCATTCTTGATTATTTTCTTAACTTCCTTCTCTATAACCTCAAACTTTTTCATTACATATTCAATAATATCACCAATTATTTTAGGGTCCAACTTCTTCTTGTGGTAGGCTGTGGTAGACATGCCAATGATTGTAGAATTTGCCAAATCCTCTTCAGTAAAGAAATAGTTCAATAATGCTCTTGTGGCGATAGAACAAGGTCGATCACTCAATCTTTCCAAAATAATTTTGTCTACTTGGGTCTGGTTTGAACCTAAGAATACATAAGCCCGTTCTGGATTTTCCTCAGTAATATTATCTTGGTTCTTAGTATCCTTGAACTTTTTTTGAAGCTTCCTGTAAGCATCATTACACCTAATCATAATTAATCTTTTAACATCCCTTTCTGTAACCTCAAACTTCTTCATTACGTATTCAATAATATCACCAATTATTTTAGGGTCTAACTGCTTCTTGCGGAAGGCTGTGGTAGAATTACCATCGATTGTAGAATGTGCCAAATCGTCTTCAGTAAAGAAATAGGTTAACAGGGCCCTTGTTGTGATAGAACACGGTCGATCACTCAATGTTTCCAGAACTAATTTGCCTATTTGGGTCTGGTTTGAACCTAAGAATACATTAGCACTTTTATCATTTTGTTTCTTAGTAGTATCATTGAGTTTCTTTTGAAACTTCTGGTGAGCATAATGACACGCATTCTTGATTATTTTCTTAACTTCCTTCTCTATAACCTCAAACTTTTTCATTACGTATTCAATAATATCACCAATTATTTTAGGGTCCAACTTCTTCTTGTGGTAGGCTGTGGTAGACGTGCCAATGATTGTAGAATTTGCCAAATCGACTTCAGTAAAGAAATAGTTCAATAATGCTCTTGTGGCGACAGAACCCGGTCGATCACTCAATGTTTCCAGAAAAAATTTGTCTATTTGGGCCTTGTTCGAGCCTAAGAATGCATTACCTTCTTCTGGATTGTTTGTATCTTTAATGTTTAGCTTCTTTATAGTATTAGGCTTTTCATTCAATTTAGGTTTCTTGAATTGCCGCGTAGGTATGTTAAGTTCCTTGTTCTCATCACTCATTTTTCTTTTCTTGGATTGTGGTTCTTTGGGTTTGGTACTTGGAAAATTTTTCATCCTTATAGCCATCTCCAACCTTATTTTTTCCAGTTTACGTTCAGTAGTATCATTTTCAGATATAAAACTCACATCCATGGCATTTTTCGTTTTTTCATTATCGTCCGAATCATCTCCATCAAGATTTATAATTTCCAATGGTGTAAATTGTTTTTCACATTGGTTTTCCCACTCATCTAGTAGGTCTCCTAACTCTGATATATGTTCTTCATTGCTTTTATCCTTAAGAATATTATTCTCCAAAGATTTCTTCTGGTTTTCTTCATGAATGCCTTGAATAATGCATTGGAGGTTGTTTAAAATTATTTTCTGCTTTGAAGTCATTTTGGTACCACACTTTTATGAATCGCAAAATAAGTATGATTATAATGGAACTGACATATTGTTTTATATGTTATTTTTTTACCTGTATTGACTAAAGTATACCTAAATTATAATAGTAAAGGATTAAAATATTGTTTCCATTTTATGTTGTTTAAACAATTCGTAATCTCCTTTTTTTCAATTAGTTTAGGTACCACCTTTGGTATGTGTTTAAAAGTGTTTTTGATCGTGAGGTGTAAAATTGAAAATCATTGATTTTTTTTTTTTAATATTTTTATTAACGGTGTTTTTTAAACCTTCTTAAACTTATAAAAAACATCATTACACTCCATCTTGATTACGTTCTTAACTTTCTTCTCTGTAAAATAATTCAAAAGGACTTTAAAAGGGGATAGTGGTACTTTTAGATGGTATCATGAGTTTGCACAAAAAAATTACATTGTGATGAAATATAACCTTAAATATAAAAAAACTGCCTCGAATTTTGTAGACATGTGATTTAAAAAAAATATTAAAAATAGACCAACTAAAATATTTCTGAACTTATATATTCCCATAGATTTATGTAAAACTGTATATTTTATGGATAAACACATCGTCTATAAATATATTTTATTTTTTAGTTAAATTTATTATGGGCATCATAACACCTAACCATGATTAATCTCCTAACATCTTTCTCTGTAACCTTGTACTCTTTTATTACGTATTCAATAATATCACCAATTATTTTAGGGTCCAACATCTTCTTGGGCATTTTACCATCAACTTTAGAATGGGCCAAGTCATCTTCAGTGAAGAAATAGTTTAATAAGGCTCTTGTGGCAATGTTTCCGTAATCTCCTTTTTATCAATTAATTTAGGTAATTTTTTACATCCCTTTTAAATGTATCCAACTTTAAAAATCTTAAATAAATAATTTTTTTTTCAGTTGTTCCTAAAAGCTATAGATATTATCTAATTTCAATACTAATACAAATATTAAGTATATATATACTATTTCATAAAAAATATATACTATAGAAATCGTCTATACTTTTTACAATATTTACTGCAAAACACCCTTACAATTTAAAATCATTAATAAAAATAAAATTCAATAAATAATTAAGCATTATTATTTTATTTTTTAGTTGAATTCTTGAATTTCTTATAAGCACCTTTACACCTAAATACGATCACATTTCTAACATTCTGCTCTGTAACCTCGTACTTTTTCATTACGTATTCCATAATATCACCAATTATTTTAGGGTCCAACTTCTTCTTGTGCATTCTTCCATCGATTGTAGAATGTGTCAAATCGTCTTCAGTAAATAAATAGTTTAACAAGGCCCTGGTTGCGATAGAATAAGGTCGATCACTTAATGTTTTTAGAAACAATTCGTCTATTTGGGTCTTGTTTGAACCTAAGAATGCTTTAGCGCGTTCCAGATTTTCGTCACTATTATTATTTTGTTTATTAGTAGTATCCTTTGATTTCCATTGAAATCTCTTGTGAGCATTATAACATGCAATCTTGATTATTTTCTCAACTTCCTCCTCTATAACCTCAAACTTTTTCATTACGTATTCAATAATATCACCAATTATTTTAGGGTCCAACTTCTTCTTGTGGTAGGCTGTGGTAGACTTGCCAATGATTGTAGAATTTTCCAAATCGTCTTCAGTAAAGAAATAGTTTAACAAGGCTCTTGTGGCGATAGAACACGACCTATCACTTAATGTTGCCAGAACAAATTCGTCTATTTGGGTCTTGTTCGTTCCTAAGAATACATTACCCCGTTCTGGATTGTTTGTGTCTTTATTGTTTTGTTTCTTAGTAGTTTTACGCTTATTTCTAGTTTGACTAGACTTTTCATTCAATTTAGGCTTCTTGATTTGCCGCGTAGGTATGTTAAGTTCCTTGTTCTCATCACTCATTTTTCTTTTCTTGGATTGTGGTTCTTTGGGCTTGGTACTTGGAAAGTTTTTCATTCTTATAGCCATTTCCAACCTTATTTTTTCCAGTTTACGTTCAGTAGTATTATTTTCAGATATAAAACTCACTTCCATGGCATTTTTCGTTTTTTCATTATCGTCTGAATCATCTTCATCAAGATTTATAATTTCCAATGGTGTAAATTGTTTCTCACATTGGTTTTCCCAGTCATCTAGTAGATCTCCTAACTCTGATATATTTTCTTTATTGTTTTTATCCTTAAGAATATTATTGTCCAAAGATTTCTCCTGGTTTTCTTTATGAATGCCTTGGATGATGCATTGAAGGCCGTTTAAAATTCTTTTCTGCTCTGAAGTCATTTTGGTACAACACTTTTATGAATCACAAAATAAGTATGATTAAAACGAAATTGACATATTGTTTTATTTGTTATTTTTTACCTGTACTGACTAAACTATACCTATATTATAATGGTAAAGGATTAAAATATTGTTTTCATTTAATGTTGTTTAAAGAAATCGTAATCTTTTTTTTTTAAATGTATCTATTTTTAAATATCTTAAATAAATATTTTTTCAGTTGAGCCTACAAGCTATAGATATTATCTAATTTCAATACTATATATATACTATTTCATAAAAATATATACTATATATATACTATTTCATAAAAAAATCGTCTATTATTTTTACAATATTTATTGCAAAACACCCTTAAAATTTAAAATCATTAATAAAAATAAAATTCAATGAGTAATTAAGCATTATTATTTTATTTTTTAGTTGAATTCTTAAATTTCTTATAAGCACCTTTACACCTAGATACGATTACATTTCTAACATTCTTTTCTGTAACCTCGTACTTTTTCATTACGTATTCCATAATATCACCAATTATTTTAGGGTCCAACTTCTTCTTGTGCATTCTTCCATCGATTGTAGAATGTGTCAAATCGTCTTCAGTAAATAAATAGTTTAACAAGGCCCTGGTTGCGATAGAATAAGGTCGATCACTTAATGTTTTTAGAAACAATTCGTCTATTTGGGTCTTGTTTGAACCTAAGAATGCTTTAGCGCGTTCCAGATTTTCGTCACTATTATTATTTTGTTTATTAGTAGTATCCTTTGATTTCCATTGAAATCTCTTGTGAGCATTATAACATGCAATCTTGATTATTTTCTCAACTTCCTCCTCTATAACCTCAAACTTTTTCATTACGTATTCAATAATATCACCAATTATTTTAGGGTCCAACTTCTTCTTGTGGTAGGCTATGGTAGACCTGCCAATGATTGTAGAAATTTCCAAATCGTCTTCAGTAAAGAAATAGTTTAACAAGGCCCTGGTTGCGATAGAATAAGGTCGATCACTTAATGTTTTTAGAAACAATTCGTCTATTTGGGTCTTGTTTGAACCTAAGAATGCTTTAGCGCGTTCCAGATTTTCGTCACTATTATTATTTTGTTTATTAGTAGTATCCTTTGATTTCCATTGAAATCTCTTGTGAGCATTATAACATGCAATCTTGATTATTTTCTCAACTTCCTCCTCTATAACCTCAAACTTTTTCATTACGTATTCAATAATATCACCAATTATTTTAGGGTCCAACTTCTTCTTGTGGTAGGCTATGGTAGACCTGCCAATGATTGTAGAATTTTCCAAATCGTCTTCAGTAAAGAAATAGTTTAACAAGGCTCTTGTGGCGATAGAACACGACCTATCACTTAATGTTGCCAGAACAAATTCGTCTATTTGGGTCTTGTTCGTTCCTAAGAATACATTACCCCGTTCTGGATTGTTTGTGTCTTTATTGTTTTGTTTCTTAGTAGTTTTATGCTTATTTCTAGTTTGACTAGACTTTTCATTCAATTTAGGCTTCTTGATTTGCCGCGTAGGTATGTTAAGTTCCTTGTTCTCATCACTCATTTTTCTTTTCTTGGATTGTGATTCTTTGGGCTTGGTACTTGGAAAGTTTTTCATTCTTATAGCCATTTCCAACCTTATTTTTTCCAGTTTACGTTCAGTAGTATCATTTTCAGATATAAAACTCACATCCATGGCATTTTTCGTTTTTTCATTATCGTCCGAATCATCTCCATCAAGATTTATAATTTCCAATGGTGTAAATTGTTTCTCACATTGGTTTTCCCAGTCATCTAGTAGATTTCCTAACTCTGATATATTATCTTCATTGTTTTTATCCTTAAGAATATTATTCTCCAAAGATTTCTCCTGGTTTTCTTTATGAATGCCTTGAATGATGCATTGAAGGTCGTTTAAAATTCTTTTCTGCTTTGAAGTCATTTTGGTACAACACTTTTATGAATCACAAAATAAGTATGATTTAAATGGAATTGACATATTGTTTTATATGTTATGTTTTACCTGTACTGACTAAACTATACCTAAATTATAATGGTAAAGGATTAAATTATTGTTTTCATTTTATGTTGTTTAAACAATTCGTAATCTTCTTTTTTTCAATTAGTTTAGGTACCTCTTTTTCTTTTAAAATTCTTTTCCAATGTTTATTAGTATTTGCATGTATTTATAAAAAGAAATTCTTAATTTAAACAAATATTTTTTATATATGTTTAAAAGTACTTATTCCAAGTGGTAGATAATATAGATAATATATTTTTGATATGAACTGTTAAATAAAAAATAATACTCTAAAACTAACATAAAAATAATTTTATTAAACTAAAACCGGTATTCGGACATAAAAGGTGCAAAACTAACCAAACAGTGTGCGTGGGGTGCAAAACCTAATCTACATTATTATTGTGCAAATAAATCTAGAGTGCAATCTAAATACCTAAACGTTAAAGTGCTCGATTTCTGCAAAGTATAAAAAAGTGTGTACTATAAAAGATATTTCAGTCTGTAGTTAACATACTAGCCACTCAAATTTAACAATGAAGTAAAATCACAGAAATTCAATTTTTTGATTTAATTTTTATATAGCTTATTGCTGTTGGTTTTGTTGTCTACGGTTGTATTGGCCTTGTGGGGCTTCTTGGTAGTCTTGGTCTTGGTTTCTTGGTCCCTCACGAGCTGCGGATTCCTAAAACGAGATAAAAAGGGGTAAGTCACTATTTTCTATTCTACAACTGGAATACTATTAATTGTTACACTGTTTAAAATATCTGTGGTGTGAAAAGTAATCTTAAAATGTTGTCAAAATCCAACACCAAGTGGTGTTAATATAACACACCATGAATTATGGTTGAAAATGTTTTATACAGCAAACACCAAAACGGTGTTTATCTAAAAATATTTGAGAAGTGCACCTACACAGAATAAAAGGAATAGTTCATTTAACTATATTAATTTGGTTGACCCATAAGTATTTATTTAAATCAACTATGGGAAGGTTAACAAAGATTAGTTTGACGGTACTAAACCAGATAGTTATTTTATTTTTTTTAAATTGGTTAAATTAACCCAGAAAACTTTAGTAAAACCAACCCGCTGTATGGTTCAGTTTACTAAATATGTTGTTTGTGAAATAAGAGTTACTTCAACCTAAAGCACTCTGTTAAAAGATTAAAACAATTTGCCGTGCATTCCTTGTTGCATAGTGTGTACCGATCGCGGCAAAGGCTGTGTAGATCACGTGATGTTCTTAAATCTCGCCTTTGTTGACTTACATGAAGAGTATATAAGCTGAGGTAGTTCTTTGCTTTGGTGTGACACTACAAGTTGTTCGATACTAAAGAGACCTTAAATAGGTGGAAACAGCTGTCAATATGTGAAGTATTTTAAGTTGATGGAACGCACTAAAAACATTATCTCTAGCGAGTTGAAGGTTCAATTTTCTGGAATAATACCACTGGTAATATACTTGTACTGCGTCAAGGAACTTCCTGTTTCCTTTTTCCCTTTTTTTCTGTGTAGTATGATTTAATTTGACCAAAAACACATAATATTTAACACTGAAAAGGAGTTCAATTTACACCAGGTAAAATTTATTTTAATACTGTGTGAAAGTTAAATTTACACCATTTTAGTATTCGAATTTACACTGGACCCACGAACCTTATTTAACACCATTTTGGTTTGTATCGATGTAATAATAATCTTTATTTGTTTAAAAAAATACCAGAAAGGTGTAAAACACGCCAAATATAGATAAGTACATAACATGATTTAAAAATAAATGATACAATTTAAAAGAGAAAGACAAATAATAAATAAATAAATAAATAAATGTGTTTCATACACTACTAAATATAACATTACAAAACATATTGATGAAGATCATCATTAAAATATTCCTCCATTGAGTAATAAGATTTTTCTATTAAAATTGATTTTAATTTGATTTTAACTTTTTTAATAGAGAGTTCTCTTAGTTGTTCTGGTAGCTTGTTGAAAACCTTAACTATAGTATTTGGAACATTATTCTGAAGATAAGTAAAATTTAGTTTATTACATGAATAATTTGATCTAAATCTAGTTTCATAACAATGCCCTTTTTTATATACTTCAAACAAATCTATATTCTTTTTCACGAACAGAACCGCCTCAAAAATAAAAAGACTATAAATAGTTAAAAGCTTATAACTGTTAAAATAAGGTCTACATGATGTAGTTTGTTTTAAGCTAAAAATTCTTCTTATGCATTTTTTTGCAAAATAAAAATCCTGTCTGTATATGGAGAATAAATCCAAAATATAATGCCATATCTAACACTAGATTGTATATATGCATTAAATGCCATTATTGATGTATTTATACTTATTGTTTGGGATAAAACTTTTAATCAATAACAGTACTTTGACATACTATTCGCCAATTTATCTATATGACTTTTCCAATCAAGTCTAGTATTGATTTCCACGCCTAAAATTGATACACTATCTGTAGTTTCTAAAGTAAGATTAGAGCTATTTAATTTATTTATGTTTCTTTGAAAATTAATTATTTTTGTTTAAAAGAAGATTATTTGATTTAAACCAATTATCTAAAATTTCCATTGACGACCGAATTTGGCAATCTGCATTTTCAATTGCGTCTAAACTAAATATTAGAGACGTGTCATCGGCATATTGTATTATGTTTTCCTTAATAATATACGGAAGTTCGTTCGTATAAATAATGTAAAGAAGGGGCCCTAGTATGGAACCTTGTGGCACTCCTTTTTCAATTAAAATTTTTTCAGACTTCAATTTAAATCCATATTCATCGCGTTCAACCACAGATTGGGTCCGATTCTCCAAATAAGATTTAAACAAATTTAAAGATACTCCTCTAATCCCGTAAAGTTCCATTTTTTTAAATAATAATTGATGATCGACACTATCGAAAGCCTTAGACAGATCAATGCATAATAAGAAAGTATTTTTATTTAAGTTTTGTGATTTAACTATATTACAAAGTGCTTGAAAAATCGCTCGAATTGTAGATTTCTTTTTCCTAAAACCATTTTGAGAATCATTTAGGATTAGATTACTTTCTAAAAATCTTGAAAGTCTGTCGTAAACTACCCTCTCAACTATTTTGCCTATATTACTTAGTAATGCAACAGGTCTATTTGTTATATCCCTTGTTATATCCCTTTTGTAGACCATGTATGGTGTTAATTTGGTGTTAAAATGGTCATGAAATTTTGAACAGTGTGGATCTACCAAGTATTTTGAGTGTTGATTGAATTGTTACACTTGCAGAACCCAAGTAAATAGCTTCCAAATTAGATCCTTACTTGTTGGGCTTTGATTCCAGCGTAGATCAAGTCCAATCCCTTTTGGACCTCAGCGCTCACTGGTGGTGGGGTTGGCAAATGGTCACCAGTGGCGTGGAAGCCGGTTTCATCAGCGATGTAGTTTACGGAGATGAGCTGACCGTCTGGAGCGGTGTAGCTGTAGGAACCTTGTTGGACTTGAGCGTTTATGTCTTCGTGTTCTTTGGAATCCGGGTTTGGTCCCAAGTTTTTGACGTAACCTTCTTCTTGGGCGAGAATGTTGTTACCAGTTTCCCAGCTGGAAGTAAAAAGAAATGAATCAAGTGTGTGAAACTATCGTCATCAGAGATTAGGGTGATCTAACCAATTGTACCCTAGTAGCAAAGGAATTGGACAAGATTCTTTGTCAAGATACTTGGAGAAGCACTTTGTAAAAAATTGGACAATTCTTGACCAAGACTCTTGATCAAAATTCTTTATCCAGACTGGTGGCAGTCTGTGACCAGAATTTGACCAGATTCTTGGCCAAGAATTTTTACACGATTACACGTTAAATAGGAACTTTCAATTCAAGATTTTTGGTCAATACAAAATTTTGTTGAACTTCAAAAGTTAAGAATGTTACTAAAAACATTAATTTTCCACGATTTATTTCCAGTAAATTCGTTTTTTATCCATAAATCTGGTAAACAATAGAATTAAAAACGAAACAAATTTTTAAAGAGTTAAAGTTTTTAATTTTCTATGTTAAAAAAAACCAGGTGCCCGTAAAAATAAACATGTATTTTATAATCTTTCATGTTCATAAAGAGTAAACTCTAGTTATGAGTCAGAGTTGACACACACTTTTTTTTTAATTTTTGATTTTTAGAAATAACAATTTTTATTTTTCAAAAAATCAATTTTTTTCTCAGCTAGAAGACGAATCCAATAAGCTCCTATTCGTATTTTCACATAAACAAAAAAACTATACTCATTTCCTACAGAGAACTCACTTCTCGACTAGTATACATTATTGTGAATGATACTACTGTAAAATGAGAACCTCTACTCTATAGGATAGTCCCAAAGTTTAGCAATAGATGGCCTCAGATTTCTGGTCAAATTCTTGTCAAATTCTGGCCACAGTCTGGCTCAAGTCTTGCCCAATAATCTTGGCCAAGAATCTGGAACAATTCTTGAGCAAAAATCTGTCCAAAGTATCTTGACCCATGCTGGGCCAAGACTTTTCCGGAATTGCTACTAGGGTAGGTCTCTAGTATAACACAGGTTCATGAAATTTAATCTACTCACGAGGCTTTGTAGCTCCCATCGTTTCCTTGCTCCTTATCGAATCTGATGATTGGGATGAAGGTGGTCGATTCGAATTTTTGTCTGGGCTCTTGTTGGTATTGCTGGGCTACTTGTTGAGGAGCTTGTCTGGCTGGCTGCTGGTATTGGTCTTGGCTGTCTTCGTATTGCTGTGGCTCAGCCTGGGCTTGGATTGGCCTCCTTTGGGCGTAACACACGCCAAGAACTAAGGTGCATACGATCTAAAAAAAGACATCAAATTAGTTTATGATGTAAGTTTAAAAGTAAACATAAAATAGCATGTGTTAATTGCAAACACTTGCCATTTCTATTGGCCCACTTACATGTCACAAACTTTTAGAAAACAGATAATTTCTATCTCATCAAATAGCAAGTGCGTAAAGATCAAATTAATTTTGCAATCTATACGTTTTATGATGCCCAAATGTTTGAAATGTCACTGAAACACTTTTTCGCAAACATCTCATTACTGATGAACAGGTGGAAAAGACAACATATTTCAAATTAAAGATAATAAAATTCTCTACAAAAAGTTTAAAAACATTTTTCACTTAGGACCAATAGTATTTGAAATAGACGATCCCTAAATTAGTACGAATCGAAAGCTGGCGATGAGATAACAGGCAGCCATGGAAGACGCGCATTGCATAACCGCGATCTTCATTTGTTGTTTGGAAATCAATAAAATGTCATAGTTGAGTGAAAGGATCGAGCATGGCTTTGATCTGCCGACATTTTTAGGTTAGGTTTTGTCAATAGGAAATAGATCATTAGAATGAGCGTTGAACTGGATTATTAGAGGTATGAATGATTTATGTAACAATTTTAGATTGTATTAAATTTGAATACAAGCCGAATCATACTTTTACTCAAAAGGCTTTTGGAATACAAAATATCACAGACGTAAAAGGCGGAAATATTTGACCTTTAGATGTTTCATTCAAATATTCAAATTCACAGAAATGCTTCTTTAATTTATGGTAAACGCTTTTAAGGCGGATACATCGAAAGAAGATGTTTTAAGCAACACTTAAACATAAACAAGTTACGTAAGAAACTAGTAAATAGGTTAGTAGTTACTTCTAGAAGAATATTTCAATGGTTTTTTTGGAGATACCAATAAGTAAAAGACGATGAACCTTTATTTAAATTTTGTTATTTTATAGGCAATAAACGTGTTATAACTATAAAGATTACTTAAATAAAGGTTATTTTCTCTTGAGAAAAAAACTATTGGAAATGTATTTTTCAAATTATATAATTTTTTTATTGTGCAAGAAAGTCTTTCTTATACCTACACCCGTTCTATAACATGTTTCCATGGCACCGTGTCCTTTTTAATACACATTGACGTATGGCGCTTTAGTCACGGGCTGTTGTTTTAAAGATTTTAGTTGTTTTTATAAATATATAAGGACAGTTTGTTTGTTTAAACTTTATTTACGTTTACTTAAAAATACAAATACTTGAATTTTTAATAATAGTTTTATAAAAACATGCAAAAAAGTATAGTAATTGGACATTTTATATAGTAATTGGACACATGGACCATAGTTATTGGACATACAATTTTTTTTAAACATAACAACTTTACATAAAATAACATAAATTGTTAAAAAAATTTCAAGATAAATTGATGTTTTAGGTAATTTTTTTATTTCTAGGATTCCTCATCCCTTTTCTGGATTCTGAAGGTCACTACTAATTCCTTGGTCTGACTTAGTTTTTTGCAAATATCATTAAGTGTGGTATCTCTACTTTGTGAAGCATTTATGTTTAGGCCGGAACAGGATGATTTATATATATATCTAATATTTTTCCGAGTGGTATGTTAAAAGTATTTTCCGAATTGTTTAATTTTGTTGCCATTAGTTTTTTATGTTCTCTATCATGCACTGTTATTCTGCAAGATGTCCTGTGACGAAGACATCACTATATTACTTACTTTCTAAAAATGAATTAGTCAAAAATGTCATAGCGAAAAAGCAGCCACTAATAATTCTCGTCAACAGCAATTTGTATCCAGGACATTTAGCAGTCAATTCCTATGAAATATTATTCACTAAATCTGAAAATGTCGTCAAAAGTTATAAAAGTAAAACAGTTTTTGAAATATAATCAATATAATCAATAATATGGAATTGACTATATCTCAAAAACTGCTTAACTTTTATAGTTTTTGGCGGTCTTTACCAACCAGTAATTGGACACTGGCCATTTTACTGTTTTTTTTTTTCAGAATTAAAATTAAAACGCATTAAAGTGACAATGTTTAAACCATGAGGAACACATTTATACCACACACTGATCTGTACACTTTTTAGAAATATTTTTTATTGTAATTTAAAAACAGCCCTGCTCTTAACAAAAAAACAAAAATCTAACCACCAAAGTAACGTGCGAACTTTTTTGTCCTATTTTGGACCCAAAATAAAGTAGTTCTATATTATTAGCGACTTTAAGGTAACTATTTATAGAACTCTTGTTTTTACAGTATAATTGTTAATTGTCCAATAACTATAAAGTGTCCGATAACTGTCTACTTTACCCTAATAAGAAAAATTAATTACCACGTTACTACGTAAAAATAACGTTAAAATTTCTTGTTCCCTCTTTCTTAACCTTTAACATTTATATTTTCTTTGTATTTTTAATTTATATTTTAAAATGATATCCCTAAAGAAGGTAATAAAGTTTACCATTAAGTAATAATATTAAGTTATAAAGTGTCCAAGTAAAATTTACTTTGGAGTAAAAATATTTTTGTTACATTTAGCGTTAAAAAAACTAAAACTAAAAAAATTAAATAAACAATAAGTAAGTTTTTGTCGTATAAATTACGATAGCAAATATTAGATCCCTAGTGTCACAAATGATTGGCACCAAAAACTACTACTAATACTGTTAAACTTATTGACATATTGACCTTTAATTTAGAACCTTTTAACCAACTTGAGGTAAATAAATTCTACATACATTTTTACAAAAAGCAATAAGCCACACCAAGAAAGTGACATTAAGGCAGTTGCAGAATCAAGAAATCTTAAACAAAAGGTCAACGATGTCTGCTAGCTTGCTGCGATCGCTGTTGTGCTTCTCCGTAAGTAGGAAGAAGAGTGAGTGAAGAAAGTGAAAGGCAGCGAAAATGAATTCGTTTTAAACTCACCAAAAACTTCATGTTAACTGTCGAACTACAAAACGTGCAAATACATTTAATTCAAACGGCGATTTCTCTATATATACCCCTCTCTACCTCCCGCAGTGGACATCATCCTCTCTTTCTTTCCATCAAATTATATCATCTCGAATATTTTTGCATTTTTTGTCTTCGTTTTTTTAGGGCGACTCAAAACCGCGTTCTTTTTCATTGGCCGGCAAGTTGACATTTCGGGTTTGCCGACGCGCTGCGGTGTTGCCACGTTTCGATTGCGGAAAAAATCGAACTGGTTTTGATGATGAAGCAAATGCCAAGCTGAATAACTAAAAAAATTATCGTTAATGTGTTTTTAATACATTTTACATGTTTTTTTTTTAATTTTTTTATCAAATATTATGTTTTTTCAGTTTGGATGAAACAAATGCCCCTTTTAAAAAAAGTCTTCTAGATTTTCATTTTAGTCACTTTTAGTTAGTTGACAGTTGTCAAGTTTTATACAATCGTCAAATTTAGTATTTTTTCCACCCCCACCTTTAAAATACACACTGACAAGTTGGCGCTTTAGTCACGGGCCGAAGTTAGCAACATGTTTTAGTCACTTTTGAAAAAAATAACGTAGGTATTTTTTTTTTAAATGTTACTAAATTGGATGTTTTTTACATTTTTTAAATAATTTTACAAAAAATACAAAAATTATTTATTAAAGTTTTGCCATTTATATATTTTATATACTTCTACATTAATCACTTTTGAAAAAAAATGTATATCCTTTTAAAAATTTAACCAAATTCGATGTTTTTTTCATTTTTTAAATAATTTTACAAAAAAATACAAATATTATTGATTTATTAAAGTTTTGCCATTTTAAAGTTTTACTTTCCAATTTATTAATCAATCACTTTTGAAAAAAATGTATAACCTTTTAAAAATGTTACTAAATTGGATGTTTTTTGCATTTTTTAAATAATTTTACAAAAAAATACAAAAATTATTGATTTATTAAAGTTTTTTAAACTTCTACAACAATAACTTTTGAAACAAATTATATCCTTTTAAAAATTTGACCAAATAGGGTATTTTTTTAATTTTTTGAATAATTTTATAAAAATTATTGATTTTAATTTAATTTCTAAATCACTTTAAAAAAATGTATAACCTTTTAAAAATTTGACCAAATTCGATGTTTTTTTCATTTTATAAATAATTTTACAAAAAAATACAAAAATTATTGATTTATTAAAGTTTTGCCATTTTTAAAGTTTTACTTTCCAATTAATAAATCAATCACTTTTGAAAAAAATAACGTAGGTATAACCTTTTAAAAATGTTAACAAATTGGATGTTTTTTACATTTTTTTAAATAATTTTACAAAAAATACCAAAATTATTAATTAATAAATCAATAATTTTGGTATTTTGCCATTTATATATATTATTTTAAACTTCTACTTCAATATCTTTTGAAAAAAAAATTATAACTTTTAAAAATTTGACCAAATTCATTTTTTGATTAATTTTTCAAAATTATTGATTTTAATTTAATTTCTAAATCATTCACTATTAAAAAAATGTACATCATTTTAAAAATTTGACCAAACCCTATGTTTTTTTAATTTTTTAAAAATTTTACAAAAAATTATTGATATTTTAAAGTTTTCCATTTTTAATGTTTTTTTATCAACTGTCACTTTTTGTACCTTTAACATATCCCATATAATAATTTTTAACAATTTGCGATAATATTTTGCAATTATAGTAATTAAAATTAAAGGACAATATATTTTCTTAACATATTTTAATATTTTAAATATCAATAATTGTTAAGTTTAATTAAAATAATAACGAGCTGGTTACTAAATTTTCGTATAGATGCCGCTTTAACAGATATTTAATTTAAATCATTTTTTAGATAATATTAAGTATTTGCCGTAGAAAAAGTATAGTATGCAACTCGTTTATAAACTTTTCTAGACACTCGTTTAATTAAGCAGTCGCTTGCAACTAAATTAAATTCCTGACGAACCTTTTTATTTCGCCAGCAGTAAACTAGTATTTGCCGATTAAGCATTAAAAATTTCTGGTGCGAAAAACTGCTTCTATGTCGGATTTAAACGGTCATCTTAGGTTAGAACTGTCTATTTATGTTTATTTTAGAAAATTGTTTTGTTGGTCATAGAAAATATATCTTGGAATTATCATGGTTCATTTGAGCAATTGTGTAACATGTATATTTTCCTGAAATTTGCCGACTATATTTAACCAAATTATACCACGAAGACCCATACAGAGAAAGTTTTCCGTAGGTGTCGAACAACGTAATTTTTTGGGGGCCCGCATTCAATTAATTTTATTTCATGTAAACATAAACCATGCATTATTTATGTCACGCACGCCATATTTAAAAAACATAAGATTAACGTATTTAAATTCGATTGTTTAAATTTATATGCCGGTGAGATGTTTTGTTGTTATATAATGTTCAGTCGACACAATATTCTGGTTCGAATTTATGGTTAAATAATTATTACTTTTGATTGGCGGAACGATGTGTGAATAGAAAAAGAGATTTTATAATTTATTTTAATTTTTAGTTAATTAATTAATTTATTTTAATTGAGTAGACACAAATTGTAATAGTGGAGTAGGATGTGATCTAAATTTTACAGAGTTGCCAAATTGATTAAGTTGGATTCTTTTAGAAATTTGACAAAAATGTTTTGTTAATTTTTTGGAAAATAACTATAAAAATTTCTGTTTTTTTCTTTTTTTTTTAATAAATGTAAAAAATTACAAAAATTAATTTCTAAATCAATTACTTTTGAAAAAAATGTATACCCTTTTAAAAATTTGACGAAATGGGATGTTTTCTTCATTTTTTAAACAATTTTACAAAAAATTTACAAAAACTAGAAATATTATTGATTTTGTTAAGTCATTTTTATTGTTTTACTTTACAATTTATATTCAATCACTTTTGAAAAAAATAACGTAAAATTACAAAAATTATTAATTTATTTTGCCATTTATAATTTTTTTTTAACTTCTACATCACCTTTGAAAATTATAACCTTTTAAAAATTTGACCAAATAGAATGAATATTTTTTGAATAATTTTATAAAAATTATTGATTTTAATTTAATTTCTAAATCAATCACTTTTAAAAAAAATTTATAACCTTTTAAAAATTTGACCAAATCCGTTCATTTTTTAAATAATTCTAGAGAAAAATATAAAAATTATTGACATTTTAATGTCTTTTTATAAACCACTTTTAAAAAAATATATATAAACTTTAAATAATCTGTATAAAAATTTAAAAAAAATTTGCCGTTTTTTATTGTTTGTTTTTCTTTTTTAATAATTGTTTAATAAATAGTTTAAAAATTGTTTTGTCATTTTAATGTTCTTTCGAAAAAGAATTTTAAATTTAAAAAAATAGAAAATTAAGCAAATTTTTAAATCGATCACTTTAAAAAAAAATTAACTCTTTAAAAATTTGACCCAATGGGAGGTTTTCTCGTTTTTAAATAAATTTTACAAAAAATACAAAAATAATTGATTTTTAGTTTCGCCATTTTTAATGTTTTTTTGCTATTTTTTACAACTTTAGATTAAATAAACTTCTAAATTTGATCACTTTCCAAAAAACAAATGTTATAAGTTTTTAAAAATGAATTTTACAAGAATTACTGATTTTTTGAGGTTTCGCTGTTTTTTTTTAAATATTTTCAATCGAAAAAATAGAGTTAAAAAAAGTTAATTAATCACTTAAAAATGTTTAAGTTTTTGAATAAATTTTCCAAAAAATCTTTCACATTTAATTTAATTGTAGTTATTGAATCATTTTTTGGACACACATTATTGGTTTTATTCTAATATTACCTTAAATATAAAACGCTTACATAAATAAATTAACAAACGTTTAATTAAATTAATATTTTTAAGTGAAAGTATCTTTTACAAGGTAAAGCGGTCATCTATATTTTATCCTTGAAATAGAAAGATTAATTTATCAAATTAACGATTTAGTGTAGATGTTTTCTTCTAATTATGCAACAATTCAATTAAGTATAAGTTTTACATTTATTTTATTTTTGATTTTTGAATTAATTTTTTTATCTGAAAATTATTTTAAAATGAGAAACAATTTAATTTATAAAATGCTACATATTTATTTATTTGTGGTTGTTGTATTATTATTATACATATCTACATATTTACAGACATTAAAATAATTTTTTAGCAAATTTTTCAAGCAACAACTTTTTTCTGGACAACATAGGCATCATCTTTCTGTGGGTGCTCCATGTTGTATTTGATGGACCTGGCGATGGCTTCGGGTATTGGGGGGGCCACTGGGAGGATGTCACTTTGTGGCTGAAATCCGTTTTCGTCGGCGATATACTGCACCAAAATCTTTTTGCCTTCGGGAGACATGAACTCGTAGCCTCCTTGCACCGATTCCACAACTTCTTCGGGTTTGGAGCCTGCTTTGATGGTTCCCTCCTCGTGCACTTTGGTTCCATCGGCGGATTCGTAGCTGAAATGTCGAAGAGGAGTTAAAATCACCCTTTGGACGAATTTTTCCATAAAAATGGACTAACAACCGTTTAGATCCGATACAGAAGCAGGTTTTTACATTAAAATTAATGTGTTTTTATGGTACCTCACCCGAAAATTTTATTATTTTTATTATTAAATTATTGATTTTTTAAAGTTTTGTCATTTTAAATATTTTTTTTTCATTCTAAATCAATCTTTAAAAAAAAATTACAACCTTTTAAAAATTTTATCAAATGGGATGTTTTTTTAATTTTTTTAATAATTTTACAAAAAATTACAAAATTATTGATTTTTTAAAGTTATGCCATTTTTAATGTTTTTTTTTCTTCGAATTTCTATTCAATCACTTTTAAAAAATAAATTATCACCTTTTAAAAATTTGACCATATGGGATGATTTACAAATTTACAAAAAATTACAAAAATTATTGATTTTTTAAAGTTTCTCCGTTTTTTTATGTTTTTTTTAATAAAACAATGTTGGTATAATTAATCAAATTTCTAAATCGATCACTTTTGAAAAAAGTAGTTAATAAAAAAATAGAAAAATAAACAAATTCCTAAATCGGTAACTTTAAAAAAAATCTTTTAACTCTTAAAAAATTTGATCCAATAGAAGGTTTTCTTCGAATTTGATTGATTTTTCAGTTTCTCCATTTTTAATGTTTATTTTTTGCAAAAAATTAAGTTAATTTAAAAAAAATTGCAAATTTTTAAGAAAAAAATTGAAATGTCCGAATTTGATCTCTTGATATAAAAATGTTGGAAAAATTTAAATTAAAAAAAATAAAAATTAAACAAATTTTTAAATCGATAGGTAACTGAAAAAAGTTTCAATTTTTTTTATAAAAATGGAAAATTAAATAAATTTTTAAATTTGATCCCTTGAAATAAATGTATAACCTTTTAAATATTTGACCAAATGGAATGTTATTTTAATTTTTCTTTATATATACAAAAAATAACAAAAATTATTAAGTTTAGCCGTTTTTTTGTTTTTTTTTTTAATAAAAAAATTTTGGTTTTTATTAACAAATTTCTAAATCGATCACTTTGGAAAAAGTAGGTAATAACTAAAAAAAATGTTTGGTTTTTTTAAGTTTCTCTAAAACTGAATTAGTCAAAAATGTCATATGTCAAATATTTAGCAGTCAATTTCCATGTAAAATTGTACCCTGAATCAAAAGTCAATTAAGTAGAACAGTTTTTAAGATATAGTCAATTTTCCATTTAATATGGAATTGACTATATCTCAAAAACTGCTTTACTTTCATAACTTTTGACCGTATTTTCGGATTAAGGAGACAATTTTACATAAGAATTGTCTGTTAAACTTTGAGATATCATGGTATCCCATGGTTAATCATGGTACAGGTGAAAAAGCAGCCACTAATAACTAGTAATTAGTCATTTTTGACTAATTCATTTATAGAGTTCAAATTTTAAAAAAATTTACAAAAAATTACAAGCCATTGTAATGTTTATTTTTTGCAAAAAGAAATAAAGAAAATTAAATAAATGTCCAAATTCAATCTCTTAATATAAAAATGTTATAATTGTTAAAGAATTTAACCAAATGGGATGGTTTTTTATTTTTAAATAAATTTTACAAAAATTACTGATTTTATGAGGTATCACTGTGTTAATGTTAATTCAATTAAACCAATTTTTAAATGTTTGGGTTTTTGTGGTAAAAGTAAAGAGGATATTTTTAAGGTTACTTCACCCCAAAATTTGAATTAAAAAATAAAATTAAAATAAATTTTTAAATGTTTTGGTTTTGGTAGTAAAAGTAAAGAGGATATTTTTAAGGTTACTTCACCCCAAAATTTGAATCAAAAAATACTTTTTCCTGTTTTAATTTTAAAATACTAAAAATATCAAAAAACCTACTTGAAATGGAAGGCACCGTCAGGCTCCACAACATTTTCCACCGAAACAATCGGTACATTTACGTGCACATTTTCACCGTCAGGCAAAACAGCAGCCAATGAACAGGCCACAACACTCAACAAAACAATTGACTTGAACATTTCGAATGATTTCAGGAATACTGTGCCGAATACCAAGAAATCTTTATGTTATATACCTAAATTTATGAACTTTTTTTGATAATCAAACATGTTTAAGTCACTTTTTTTGGGATGAGCAATATAAAACAAGATTGTGTTATTTATTGTAAGTTATTAATAACTATTATATTGTCCAGACCAGTGGCGAGTATACAATATAAAGAATTTTGTTTAATAAATAGATTGTATTTTATTAATTTTTTAAATTTTATTTAATAAAACTTTTGATCCGCCACTGGCTTACTAATTTTTAGAAACGTAATATTTTCTATGAGCGAATAAGTATTTAAATTTTTACTGTTAAATTGTTAAAAACAATTAATTCCATTTTTTTCGTAAATAATCATAAACATTTTAAATTCCCCGCCTAACAACGGAAATAATGAACTAATTATTCACCTTGTTAGGCATCAGTGATTGGCCCATTTCAATATTCACTGTGATTTGAACCAATCAAATTTTAAATTGGAAGAAGGCGACTATGATTACATTTAAAGTTGTTCAAAATAAGGTTAACCATTTGACAGATGTCAGATTTTGTTTATTTATTTTTGAAAATCATTTTAAAATCTACTTATTGGAGTACATAAAGTACAGTATAATCTCTCCTATAATAATATACTATTATCTGCTCATACAGTGGCTTTGGGATTTTTAGTAACGGGATGAAGTTAGTATTATAAATTTGACAAAAGTGAGGTTAAACCCGATTGACACTTGACAGATGTCAAATTTTAAACAAATAAAATTGGCTTTAAATTGTGTTGTGTTCGTCGTAGATAAATATAGTATACAAATGGTTATAAAAATTATTTCTTTACATTTTTAATAATATTTTATATTTGATTCGATTGCTTTGGATGTGTTTAATTTACTTAGTGAATTGATATTTGAAAACATATTGGTTAACCTGGAAAGAGTCACAGTCACGGAGGATAGGTTTTAGACTTTTAAAAAATTGTACACATATATATCTTGAAGCGTTTTATATTTAAGCTTTATATTAGTAGAAAATACTGAGAAACTAAAACTAAAAATTAAAATAATTTTTATTAAAAATTTATTTATACAAAGTATTTACAATTCATACAAAAACTTATTAATTTCTTAATATGCTTATTGACCCCCCAAAGGTTGCTGTGTTTGACCTTGTTGCTGCTGGGTGGAATAACTTTGTTGTTGTTGCTGAGCAAACTGTTGTTGACCTTGTGTTTGACCTTGTTGCTGTTGTTGTTGCTGTTGCTGACCTTGGAAAGCGGACATCGCGTCAGCTAGTCCTTGGGGGGGTGGTGGTGGGGTGGGTAAATGTTCTCCTTGGGGTTGGAATCCATTTTCATCAGCAATGTATCTAAAAAAAATTAGATGTAGTTTTTCTTAAAATAGCTATTATCTAGCAGTTTTGAAAATGCTCTTCCTACTATTTGCATCAAGCATTAAAAATAGCTTCTTTCTAATTCGTTAGGGAGCACATTCAATTTCGTTACAACGCAGAACAACTTTATAGCAGTGTCTCTTGAAGAATTCCCTATGACTATGTATTGGGATTGGCTATCGTTTTTTATTCTTATCTCGATTATCCTTTACGTTAGATAATTTTAATTTTCAAGTATGTATATTAACAATGATGGGAATTATATATTTGACACTTAGCATTCATTGCTTCTGCAACTGAATAAGTAATGGAATAAACAATAGAATAAAATTATCAAAGATGGATTTATGTCGTAGGAATGTAAATAACTAACTACATATTTATTGAAAACAATGACTCACTTGACATTGTAGACCTGTCCATCAGGAGCCTTGAATGAATATTCTCCTTCGATGACCTGAATATCGCTGGATGCAGAGGCACTTTCGGGATCTTCAGGATTGGATTGTTGAGGCTGAGGATGCTCGTTCTTCTTGGTGTAAACATTTTCTTGCACGTGGATACCGTTGCTGGTTTCAAAACTGAACTTAATACTGCCATCGGGGCCTACTTCTTCAGATTGACTGACGATCTCCACTGAGGTTGCGTTGGTAACTTGATTTTGAAGAGCACCAATTCCTTGCTGGTGGTAGCCTTGTTGTTGAGGGTTTTGGGAGTGACCTTGGGATTGAAGGGCATTGTTTCCTTGCTGTTGGTAGCCTTGGGAGTTTTGGGCGTCCAGTGGAGCACCAAACACGTTTGCGATGACAAGTATTACACTGAACTAAATAGAGATAATGTGGATATTAAACCAATAAAAAGATATTAATGAAAACTAATGTTAAGTTAAAAAAAAAAGTACAGTACAGCACAGTTTATTCTAAGAATGTTTTTTAAACCTTCCAGTGGAAATATTCTTAGGATAATGCTATATTTCTTCTAAAGATCATGCTTAAAAGAAATATAGCATAATCCTAAGAATATTCTCACTGGCCTATGTTGAGAAAGTAATTGCTATAGAAAGTTCATTTAGGAATATTCCTGGAACATTCTGTTAAGCATATTCCGTTCAGTTAGTACCTATATAATATATAAAATATACCATAATATACGTATAAAGATACCTATACTTAGTATCAAATACTAAGTAAAAAACACAACCCAAAATATTTTTTTATAGTTATTTGCCAAATTAAAACAATATTCGATAACAAAAATACTTTTACTATAGGTATCTAAATTATCCGGCTTTTACATAAAATCTTCTATCCAACTTAAGTACAATGAAAAATGTTTTTTTTATTTAGAACTATTTGGTTTTTTCTTTTAAGAAGAATTATTTTATAAGGAAATATTTTGTTTTTTTTTTTATTTTATTTCATGTTAAAAATAAATATTTATTAATTTGTATACCGATTTTTTATATCTGAATTAACATTTTTATGTATAATAATCCTAACAATCTTCAATTTCAATCTAATCTGACTTATCCCACAAAATTTTCCAATTTTACTTTTTATGAAATAATGTCCTACAACTTATGGTTTAAAGGTCAAATTGTTTATTTAATATTTTTAAATAAATATATATTAATATGTCACAAACATTTTTAAGGGGACGACAAATACATTTCACTGTCATATTATGTATATTTGTCGCCTTCTGAAGAATTTTACGAATGTAGAATCCAACATATTAGAACGTGGGTATCTGACATATTTGGAAATATTTTCAAAAGCTTCCTAGAAGCTCCATAAGAAACCTTCTAAGAACATTCCAAAAACGTATTCTTAAAATGTTCTTAGAATGCTTTTTAGGAAGGTTTTAAGAATCCAATTGCATCATTAAAAGGGTATCTATTGAATGTTTTAAAAGTCCCTAAGAACATTCTTAGCAATAAGGGAAGGTTCTAAGAATATTCCATTATTCCGGGTTATATCTTTTTTGAAGATTCTTAGAATCAAATTTTGCTATCAGGGTACTTATTTTAACAAAGAAAAATATTTTACCGAAAGTTTTGTAAAGGTAATATGACATTTTGTAAGCAAAATTGACAAATATTTTTTACTATGTAATATTAAATTACTTACCCCAAAGAAGAACATTTTCACTGATAATCCACCGGTTGCTTCTCTGTTAAACTAAAAAAGCGACTGATAACGGAGTGGCAAAAATTCGTCGTTTATATAGCAAATCAATATTTGTCAAAAGGTTTTTTTAATGTACCAACAAAGTGTTAATCGATTTAGCCTTAATGGCCCCGCAATATAAGAACGTTAGACAAATATTACATAAAATGAAAGTAATAAGAAAATATCTTTTTACGATGAATTAACCGGCGATTCTTTTAGTGTTTAAGAATCGTTTGTTTAAATGCTAAAACTGATGGTTTTATTGGATAACTTTGCATTTTGTGTGGTTTTGATTATGCGTGTCTAAATTTTAAATGGAATGGAATTTCTCATTTATACATTTTATGCTAAAAAAAATATATATTTATAGTACTATATTATACGAGTACTACGTAGAGAAATAACCAGGTTTGCCTCAATTCATTTTTTGTTTTTCCATTTCAATAACACGGGAATTTTATTTTTTTTATTTTTGAATTCTTATAACTTTGGAATGGTTTGTTTTCGCAACACCCAAGCGAGAGAAGTTATAGACAATTTCACGCTCTACAAAAAACATCTGAAGGTCAAAGTTCTTCAGATCAACCGTTTCAAAGATAGCAGCGATCAAAAATAACACTAATAAAAAATTTCAAATATTTTCAAATAAAATACAAAAATATATTAGGTATATGCGAAATTTATATTATTTTTTATGTAAAATCACTTTAATTCTGTTAAACTGAGACTGTAAACTTTTTTTTTTTATTTATATATATATACATATATATATATATAAATATATATATAATATTAATAATTATTATTTATAACTAAATACCATTTTTTATACCCCAATTAGAATTAACTTAAATAATTGACAAAATAATGTTTTTTGTTTACCTTAAATGAGGTATTTTTATTAAAAATAGTACAATAATCCTTTAAATTAAAGGATTTAATGCTGGCAGGTAAAAAGTGGCCATGGTGCGCCATTGATATATATTTTAAAGTTTTAAAAAACAAATTTATGTTTTTGATCCTCGACACCCACGAGTGTACCAACCCAATAAAAAAAAATGGCACGAATCGTACTAATACAACACGAGAAAATGGAAAAGTAGAGCTTAGGTACTATCGACATTTAACAACAATAAAACAATGGCTATTGATTTTAAATTTTAAAACATAAAAAATAAAAAATACGAAAACTGTAAAATTTTAATAAAATTACTCATTCAAAGTTCAACATTTATTTGTCACTAGAAATACTCGAAGATTTGTTCATTGGCATGAAGGTCTCTTTAATGCATTACTTAAGTTAACGTGTACATTGCGTGCCAAAACATACTAAGTAATTTTATGCAAATTAAGATTTAAAAAAATAGAAATACCATAAAAATTCTCCTTTCCAAGCATGTTTTTAAAATTGTTTATAACAAATTTTGTTAACTTTGGCAAAAAAATATACACGAAAAAAAAAATGTTGTGGAAAGTACTACAATTGTAGAATTTTTTAAAATTAAATTAAAATGTTTAGAATTGTTTAAAAAATACGACCAAGAACAATTTGTTAGAAATAATTTAACAATTTTGTAATAAAAATAAACAACAATTTATTGAAGATGTAATTATATATTGTAGTTAAATTACTACAATTTCTGTTTTAAATTAATATTGTTATATATTTTAATATTCTTTATTAAAAATAATACAGATTTGCCGTGCTCCAAAATTGTGTACTTTAAATAAATTATACGTTGATATAAATGCTTTAAGTTTTAGTTAATTTCAAAACAATTGTATTAAATAATTAAACATTTTTTTTACAATATGGTTGTTGTAAAATTTAATTTAATTTTTTTTCCCTGTATTTTAGTAAAATGTTCTTAATTAAATCAAAATTCGCTATATTTCAGATTCACACAAAGGATTGTAATTAAAACAAGGGAATAAATTGCTGAGCTTTAAGCATGTAATTGTTTTGTTTTCTAATAAGACATAAATATACAAAAAAGACCCAAATCGTGTTCATACATCGTAGCAGTTGTTCTAGGCAAAAATATCACAGAACCGTCCGGCATACGCTCCAGATCCGAACCCAATTGACAAATTCTCGATACATTCACTAGGTTTGGATTTTGGAGCTTCGCTAATGTCTTCTATTATTTTCTTCCAGCTTTTTGTTCGGGCTCCGGGTGGGCGGCTATCCAGTCCAGAGCTTTCTGGATGTTTGGGGGGATTGGGGGCGGGGTGGGGAGGTGGGCGCCCTGCGGCTGAAAGCCGCCCTCGTCGTCGGCGGTGTAGGTCAAGGAGATCTGATTTCCCTCCGGATCGGTGTAGGAGAAGGACCCTGTGGCAACCACAGCTTCAGGGTTTTCCGGATCGCTGGTCTTTTTGATGTTGCCTTTCTCTTCTGCTTTGATGCCGTTAGCAGCTTCAAAACTGCAAACAAGAAAATTATTGTTATTATTATTATTACTAGACATAATGCAGTTGCCCCAGGTCATGAATAAAATTATCTAACAATCTTTATTACAGTAATTGAATTCATCTTTACACGTAATGACAAGATTATGTCTTTCATAACTTCTGTATAAATAAAAGGAATTCCTGTGGTTTTTTGTAATTAAATTTAATTCTATTTGTATTTTTCTTCACTGTTGTTTTTCATTGAAATACACTCACAGGCAAAATAATTGATCCACACAAATTTTCGATGAATTTCAATCGCAAATAACTTTTTTATTTGATTTCGGATTTAAACAAATATTAAAGAATATTGTAGATACATTTTTTAAAAATTACTAAAAAATACACGTACTTTTATATTATACAGGTTTAAACAAAAAGATGTTTTTTACCATAGGTTTAAGACACTCTGTAGAGTGGCTAAACCGTATATTGTTCTAAATTAAGTTTTAATTATCAAGTCGCATCTATTTTTAACAGTTTTGTTTTTGGTTCACCTCGATTTATTTGTTTTTGTGGAAAATATGGTTTATTTAAAAAAAACATTGCAATTTCCAATTTTTTCCTGTATGAAGAACTAAGGTTGTTATGGTCCATCCATAGGCTATGGAGGATGACAGTGACAGTTTTGTTAAATCATTCCATTCTTGGACATGTCATATACAGTTTTCAAAAGGTATCAAATTGTTTTTTGTAAATTATTGTGTTAATTTTGAGGTGTCTTCTTACTTTTAAAAATGTCTCCGACTGATGTTGCCCTTTGTACTTTACTTGACGTGACGTTTAAAATACTTGCCACGTAATACTGTGACCGTCCATCCTGGATTAAATTAATGGCTCTGGCAACATCAGTTGGAGACATATCCATTTTTTAAAGTAAGAAGACACCTTAAAATTTAAACATTAATTTGCAAAAAACAATTTGATAGCTTTTGAAAGCCGTGTATGACATGTCCAAGTATGGGATGATTCAACAAAACTGTCACTGTCATCCTCCATAGGCTATGGATAGACCATAGCAACCTTAGTTCTTCATACAGAAAAATATTGGAAATTGCAATGTTTTCTTAAAAAATCCATATTTTCCACAAAAATAAATATATCGAGGTGAACCAAAAACAAAACTGTTAAGAATAGATGTGACTTGATAAATAAAACTTAATTTAGAACAATATAGGGGTTTGCCACTCTACAGAGTGTCTTAAACCTATGGTAAAAAACATCTTTTTGTTTAAACCTGTATATTATAAACTCACGTCTATTTTTTAGTAATTTTTTAAAATGTGAGCGATTGTCCATTAATTTATCTACAATATTCTTTAATATTCGTTTAAATCCGACATCAAATAAAAAAGTTATTTGCGATTGAAATTCATCGAAAATTTGTGTGGATCGATTATTTTGCCTGTGAGTGTATTTATGTTAGTTTATTGGTGTTGGTATAAAAAAAACATGCGTTTTTGTTGATATCAAAAAATAAATGTCTTATTTTATTTAAATATTTTTTTGTAAACTTTTTTTTAAGTTAATCTTCTAGTTAACAACGATGCCAATATTTAGGCTTGAACTCCCCTCACTACGAAGGTCCTTGATTTTAATTGTTAAATGCATGTTTCAATAATTAAAATCAAAAGGCCTATGTGGTGAGGGGAATTTAAGCATAAATACTAACAACGCTGGTAGTTTTAGTGAAGATCAGAAACTTTTGAATAAAGCAATACATACTATTGGAGCAAGAGATATTTGCTCTAAAATCAAAATAAAATGTGGTTAGGTCAATAGTATATATACTATTGACCTTACATATATGCTGTGGTTAGGTCAATAGTATATATACTATTGACCTAACATATATGCTTTTGTAGCAAGACAAATTTTCTTTTTGGAAAGTTTCTAAGCTTTAGAGATTATTTTTTTCAGTGTAGTAACTACATTTTTAAAACCTTAACTATACTTAGTTGGGGGAAATTAAATAATTTTGACTTGTCATAACAAACTCACCTCCATTCATAGTTCCCTTCAGGATCGATCTCATTTGTCTGACTAATAATTTTGACTGGTTCCGGAGTGTTACCCTGAGGTGCACCATATATTATACATATGGACGCCAGTAATACTGAAAACTAAATACACACATTGTAAAGAAAAAAAATTGTTTTTTGAATGTGTAATCAATAAAACAAGTACTATAAGAATAAACATTTATAAATAATTTAAATAAAATGTCACTTATATGGAAAATTTTGCAATATGTGGACATCCTCTATTTTTAACGTAGATGTTATATGTGTTTATTATACAATAATTGTTTTTAATGGATATTTTATTCCTATAATAAATTAAACAATTGCTTATTTTCGCATAAGGAAAAAATAAATTTTAATATAAAATTTAATTTTACTAGCTTTTATGAGCTTTCCTTATAGGGGAAACAGGGGGTAACTTTAAAATTTAAAAAATCAATTTTGTTCGTTTTTTATTCTTATACGATTCTGCATTAATTTTTCTATAAAAATATCAATAATTATCTTATTAAATTAAATCTGATTTTTTTAAGTACCCACGATTTTTAACTAATATTTAAGTTTCCTTTGGTTTAAGTTTTATACATTATTTCATTCGATGATAATTATCAATTGCGCACCATGGTCACTTTTTACCTGCCAGCATTAAATCCTTTAATTTAAAGGATTATTACTATTTTTAATAAAAATACCTTTTAAGGAAAAAAAACATTATTTTGTCAATTAATTAATTTAATCCAAATTGAGGTATAAAAAAATGGTATTTAGTTATAAATAATAAATATTATTGAGGTATAAAGAAACTATTTATACATGGTTTAGCATTATTTAATTAATTTAGTTCAAAGATTAATTTGCAAACAAAAAGGCCTCCTTTCGTTAAGCAGTTATTCATAATGGATATTTAACAGTAGAAGAAAAATTGAAATGATTTTGATTTATGGAGAAGCAGGCAGGAATCTTGATGATGCTGTTAATATCTACGCTCAGCGTTTTCCGGAAAAAATTCGATCACGTAGTTCATTTCACCGTACAGTCAAGCAGTTTACTACAAACTGGAGTGTTCAACCGATTTGATTAAAATTTAAAATATATATATATAAATAAATTTAAAAAATAAAACGAAGTATTTTATACAAAAATTATTGGGGAGTCGTATACAAAAGAAAACTCGAACAAAATTGATTTTTTTTTCATTACAGCGCCATCTATTACAAATATGAAAAATTTTTTAGACAAAATCTACCTATTTTTACAATTTTGGAGGAGTGTCTCATTTATATGAAAACTCCAGAAATAATACTTTAAAAATTAAAAACGATTTTTAAGATTTATAAAAATAAATAATCAAAAATGAATTTTGAGTAAAATTTCTTGTTATTTATTATAGTTCTCTATAAAAATGATATATAATTTCTGAAAATGACAATAATCGAAAATTTAAATAATAATTAATAAACAAAAAATCAAATTTCTTAAGCTTAAGCTTAGTTTAAAAATTTAAGAACAAGTACTTACCTTTAACCAATCCATCTTAAACCTATGAAAGGGCGCACTTCACTATACAAACAAACAACAATATAAAAAATAAAATATTATAAAAATAAAATAAAATAAAATAAATAAACAGTTGCAGCAAGTTGTTTACAGGCAGATGATAATTGTTGCTCCTTGTATTTATACCTCCTGATGAGCACACATGCACATTTATTCATCCCGTGTGATTAGATTTCCATTCCCCCATTTCCCCCTTCGGCTAGATCTTAAACCCAAACACAACATTACGAACAATTGCAATTGCACGCTGCTAGCACCACGGGCACAGTAATTACCTATAAGTAAACAGAGTGCCAGAGGCAGATTTTTTCTATTCTCTAAATGTTATTGTTCCTAAAATTAACCTTAAAAAGAATAAAAATATCTCAGTTAGTATGCATTTTACGAAAAAATGTTTACTATAAAAATTAAATGATTCGAGAGGGGAAATCAATCAGTAATAAAATTGGTCCTCATACTCTCCTCCTTATAGGGGGAACAGGGGGTAACTTTAAAATTTCCAATGGAACACCCTATTTTTTATTGCAGATTCGGATCATTCGAATAAAAATAGGTAGATTTTGTCTAAAACATTTTTTCGTATTTGTAATAGATGGCGCTGTAATCAAAAAAAATCAATTTTGTTCGATTTTTCTTCTTATACGATTCTGCAATAATTTTTCTATAAAAATATCACTTTTTTGGTAATAATTATCTTATTAAATTAAATCTGATTTTTTTAAGTACCCACGATTTTTTAACTAATATTTAAGTTTCCTTTGGTTTCAGTTTTATACATTATTTCATTCGGTGATAATTATCAATTGCGCACGATGGTCACTTTTTACCTGCCAGCATTAAATCCTTTAATTTAAGGATTATTGTACTATTTTTAATAAAAATACCTCATTTAAGGTAAAAAAAACATTATTTTGTCAATTATTTAATTTAATCCTAATTGGGGTATAAAAAATGATATTTACTTATAAATAATTATTATTATTGAGGTATAAAGAAACTATTTATACATAGTTTAGCATTATTTAATCAATTTAGTTCGAAGATTAATTTGCAAACAAAAAGACCTCCTTTCGTTAAGCAGTTATTCATAATGGATTTTTTAACAGTGGAAGAAAAAATGGAAATGATTTTGGTTTATGGACAAGCAGGCAGGAATCTTGATGGTGCTGTTAATATCTACGCTCAGCGTTTTCCGGAAAAAATTCGATCACGTACTTCATTTCACCGTCCAGTCAAGTAGTTTACTACAAACGGGAGTGTTCAACCGAAAAAAAGAGTTCGTTGAGCACATATTTAATATTGTTATTTTAAGCACCTACTTTGATTAAAATTTAAAAAATAAATATCTATATAAAAAAATTTCAAAATAAAACGAAGTATTTTATTCAAAAATTATTGGAGAATCGTAAATCTAAAATGTTTTAGACAAAATCTACCTATTTTTACAATTTTGGAGGAGTGTTTCATTTATATGAAAACTTGTATGTGTTCTAAATAATTGTAAAAAAAGAATTTTTACAATTTAATTTTTTATTGAGGTGCTAATTCTTAATTGATAACTGATTCGTATCAGTACTGAATGGACTATTCCAATAAAAAAGTTAATAGAAACTTTCTTGTTCTCAAAATGTCAAAATAGACCTTATTACTTTATTAAATACGTAGGTAATACTAATATTATCGCATCAATAATAAATATCCGAAATGTCAAATTTATACGAACCTATGAGAACAAGAAACAAGAAAAAATTGGAAACAATGAAACGCGAAACAAAACATTTACCTAGTATTAAATGTTTGCAGGTATTGTGCAAGTGTTTTTCTCATGATGTTCATTTGTCAGCAGGACAAATAATAATTTGTGGCAAATGTCACCATAAGCCACTAGAAGAACTGTTCGACACCTCCATAGATATGTCCAGGATTGCACAGTGGATCAAAAAAATTACTCATACTCATAAACTCATAAAAGGTCTTATGACATGAGTTCTTTATGCTATTTTATCTATTTTGCAAAAATTCTATAAAAAAAACTAATTTTAAACCTTAAATTTAATTTGGTCGAATTTTACTTTAGGTAGTTGGTATCACAGTCATTGGTTTGACAGTTAATGTCAAAATCGATTCGCCATGCCGTCCTTAATTTACTTATTTACAATAAGTGGCTATTAATGTTAAAGAAGAAAAAAAGTATTTTCTTTGGTGTTTATAATTTATTGCCAGAAAAGTCTCGTAAGTACTAGAAAAATCATAAAAATATTATAACCAATATGCAAAATATTATGCTGTTTAAAGTATAGCCAACATATAAAATCAAAATTTTGGGTGTTATAATGAAGTCATTATGAACGCAAAATAAATAAAGGATTTTTAAACGGCGCGTTTGGTCAAAAAAAGTCGATATTATAGTACAAATTCGTAAGGGAAAATTACCCTGTTCCACACACGAACCAAAACAGAAAGTAAAATCCAAATGTGAAGGTCAGAGCTAGCGGATTAAAAATTCTAGACACGTATGTAATACCTACATATTTTTGCCGGATTTTTTAAGAAATACCTGACTGAAGAGCGCCTCAGGCCTCCGGCAGGATTATTAATGTGACAAAATTTATTACCGCTAATTGTTGATTAAATGTTGTTTGTCTTAAATGTTACTTGTTTTGTTGAACGATGAAAAATTAATTTAAGATATTCCTACGATTACTAATATATTAACAAATTTGTTTGACATGTAGGTTAAATGTATTAAAAATAAATACCTAATAATTAGTTAAATTCTTGAAAACATTGTATCTCAATAACACTTGCTACAATGTGAAAATAAATATTGAAACACACCTTTATTTTCAAAGATAAAAAACCTTGATTGTGTAAAATTTTATTTGACCAATATTTTCAGATTTCACCTCAAATTTATCATGACACTAATATTCTTTAAGAACATGTATAGTAAAATATGACATGACAGCAGAAAATAGTAAAGAGCAAAATCTACAGGGTTTCTTTAAAATTGAACAGCCAATTCTTATGTAAAATTGTCCCCTGAATCCGAAAATGTCGTCAAAAGTTTAAAAAGTAGAACAGTTTTTGAGATATAGTCAATTTTCCATTTAATATGGAATTGACTATATCTGAAAAACTGCTCCACTTTCATAATTTTTGACAGTATTTTCGGATTCAGTACAAGTGAAAAATCAGCCAATAAGTCATTTTTGACTAATTCATTTTTAGAGAGTAGGTACGTGAAATTTACCCTAATAATAAACTTTATCATAAGACGATATCAGAATTGTTAACAAGGAATGTTGAACAACAATAACCAATACCAGATAGTAGGCAAACCAGATAAAATCTTTATAAGGCACAAGTACAAGAACACAAGATTGCTCAAGAAACACCATATATTATTAATTGACAATAAAGAGGCCGATCCTGATAAATTTATGCGATTGTTATTTAGATGAGTATAATGCACCAAGAAGAAATAAAAACCTTACACGGATCTTAGTTTATAATTCTTTTTTAATCATGTATAATAGAGTGGTATGAAGAAAAAAAAATAACATTATTTCATCTCTTAAAATCTTTCTCAAAAATCTAATTATAAGTCATATTTAACTAATAATTAGTCATTCTACTGAATGATATAGTCAAATTATTAGATTTAAATTTAAAAAAAGTTCTGACCCAACCGGGGTTTGAACTCGGGTCTGCGCTTGTCAAGCGTATGTCATAACCAATGAGCCATCAGTCACTTTCATAAAAATCAATTTTATTTGTCTATAAATATTGCTCATAATATTTTAAATTTGAATATATTTTTGTTTTGCTGTTTTGAGCTAAACTTTTTGCATCTTTGTTTGTTTTTATGGGCCATTTAACCATGGATGCATTAAACTCAAACAAAAATTTGTTGTTAAAGAAATAAGTTACTCTCAGAAATAGTCAAAAATGATGCTTAAATTAGTCAAACTTTAACTATTTAAGTAGTAAAATTTTGTCGCACGCGGACAATTTAGTTTTTTAATGGTCGAGTGCGACAAAAGGTCTTAAGATATGAGTTCTTTAGGCTATTTTATCTATTTTGCAAAAATTCTATAAAAAAAATAATGTTATACCTTAAATTTAATTTGGTCGAATTTTACTTTAGATAGTTGGTATCACAGTCATTGGTTTGACAGTTAATGTTAAAATCGATTCGCCATGCCGTCCTTAATTTACTTATTTACAATAAGCGGCTGTTAATGTTAAAGAAGAAAAAAAGGATTTTCTTTGGTGTTAAACAAAATTGATTGCCAGAAAAGTATCGTAAGTACTAGAAAAATCATATAAATATTATAACCAATATGAAAATTTTTATGCTGTTTAAAGTATAGCCAACCTATAAAATCAAAATTTTGGGTGGGATAAAGTATCTCATTACAGCACCGAAAGCGGTGTTATAATGAAGTCATTATGAACGTCTTGATGGTTTGTGGTATAATATTATTATGTCAGTTTGTAACGTTTTATTCTTAAATGGAATAGACTATAGATTTTATTAATACATTTTTTAAATAACATTTTTTTAAAAAGGAAATAAAAAAATATCCAGATTGAGCAAAATAGGCAAAATTGCCAATCTAAACGCAATTTTGTCCCATCGTATTTAGTGAGGGATTTATAAAAATCGCAATAAAATAATAAAATAAAGGCGACAGGCAATGGCATTGGCATTTGAAAACGTGACTGATTAACAGATGAGACTTTTCTGCATTTTATTTATTCCTCTTCTTATATTGGCATACAATCTCTCCCACCGTGTTCTCTTGTACACTTGCTTATTATTTAATACCTAATTGAATAAACACTAATTCCGAGATCTCGAGTCCGAGATTGTGTGGAACTTCGAAGGTATTTATTGTAAAGGAATTTTAGCTTTATTGGCAGAAAAATTGTAAAATAACAATCAAGTAAAGAAAAGTATATCTATATAATAGTTATTTATGTCATTAGCTTAAGAAGTAAGGCTTTTTGTGCTAAGCTCAAGGTTTGAAGGCCGACGCGTAGCAGAGGCCTACAATTGAGCGAAGCACAAAAAGGCCCTTCTTGGCCGAATGGTATACAACATTTTATCTTCAAAGCACTTTATATAGGTCAATTTAATTCAACATCAAAGCGGCCTAACCTCACTTTTTTAGAATTTCATTTATTAATTAGCTAAAGATTACATTAAATGTACAATAATTATTATTGCTTTTACAAGCAGTAATAGTTTGACAATACCTAGCAACATGATTTAAGTAGAAATGGATTTTTGCTATTACATTGAATTCAATTAATTGTTTAATAAATAGGTAGGTATCTAATTTCAATTTGATGGGATTTTTATTTAAAAAATAGGTAGTTTGGAATGTTTAAGCTTTGTTTAACATTTAATTTCACTGAAAACTTAAAGCAAATTAAAACTTAAAGATAATTTAAATCGTAGAAAAAGAATCGTGCGTTTTCTTGGTTGCCTAACCTCACTTTTTGTTTTATTATTCATATTTAATTTTACAATAATTTAATGAAAAATATTAAACATTAACAGTAAAACAAACAAATTAGTGCTTATTATAAATAAATTAAAACAGTTTAGTACGTTAATTTCTTAGAAAAGGATTAATTTGTCAAAGCAATACCCCTAGCGAGAAAAAATCGAACTAATTACTTGCCTCAAAAATTTTTATCGGCCTAGGCCATAACAAGGTATTTCTTTATCGAATGTTGACAACAATAAAGTTTAAATTATAGACCGCGTGGAGATAAAGTATATTTTTAGATTGTTTAGGGTATTTTATTGCAAAATTAAATTAGAAATATAGATAATATTTTATAACTTAAATATCATAATATGGCTTAAAAAACTACTTAAATCTTCTTTTTTCCTTGAGCTCCAAAGCCTTCCTGATTAGTTCGGGAACGGGTGGGGGTGTTGGAATGTGCGCTCCTATTGGTTGGAATCCTCCCTCGCCTGCTGTGTACTTTACGTGGTATTTTACATTATCGGGCCCGATATATTCGTAGAAACCTTCTGAAGCCACGCCCTCGTCTTTTGTGCCTTGGTGGATGATTTTTCCCTTTTCTTCACCGATTATTTTATTCTCTGTTGCATAGCTAAAATATCAATATTTTACATTTTTACACATAGGCAACCCAAATTCCTCTTATATATCTACTGCTGGATAATCGATCAACACTTTCATGTTGTAGGCAACCCATTTAACATATACTTATAATCGTTTAGCATAACTTTTACTTACTCGTAATGGTATATTTGTGGTCCTAGATCGTAATTTTGTCTTAAAATTCTCCAACCACCTTGGTTGGAATATAATTTGGAGTAATTGATTTTTGGTATAGGTTTTTGTGTTACCGGTCTTATGTTTGTTGCTTGGACTACATATCTGTCCTGGACATGTCTATATTTTTCTAAAATTTTCAAGAAAATTAGTTTTTGGTTTTATTTTATTATTATTATTATAGTTACAAAATACCATAATTAATGTGGTGAAGGTTTAAAATTTAAGGATCTAAAAATAGATATCACTTTTGGGCTATAATTTAAAAAAAATCAGGGCAAAGCAAAAGCAATTTTTAAACGCTTTTTTATAGGATCTCAAAAACAATTGTTTTCTGAACCAAACTTTCAGTATTTTTTGGAATTTAAATATAATTTTTGCAATAAAACTGTTTTTACAAAAAATTACTTAGAACTATAAATATAATTTTATTAAAAAATAAGCTTTAAAAACAAAAACTATTTTTGGGCCAATAAACACATTTAAGACTTTTTGGAAATATTTTATAAATTAAGGTTTTTAAAATGATTTTTTTTAAATATTATTTTTAATTTAAAAATTTAAACGTTTAAATAAATATTATATTACAAATAGTTATTATTTCCCTGGCCATTTTTTGTTGCTTTTTTGGTTTTGCATGTAAAAAATGTCTTTATTAATTATGTTAACACCAGAGATTTACCAGTATACCATTCTAAAAAAGAACCTTTTTATATTAAAAAATATTAAAAAACGAGTTTTTTGCATATATAATGATAATAATAGTACTATACAGGATGTTCCTACTTAAAACGTTTTTTGGAATTGTCACTTTAATATTTATAATTTTTGTGTTCAACATTTGAAAAATACACCAACAAAGATAAAGAGGTATGTAAAATTACCACTTTTTTACTAAGCAGTTGCATAGTAAAATTACAAATGTATAGCAATTTTAATATGCATTTATTGTAATATTACATTTTGTTATAAGTAAGTACTAAACAGGTTCCAATTTTACAATGTTTTTGTTTTTGTCAGATATATCTATATATAAGTATATCTATATATAAGTATACTTATAGTAATTTTACAATTTTGTATTGTAGAATTGAAATAGAAATTTTGTAAAATTTCTATACATATTCGGAATTTAATTTTACTAAGATAATCAATAAAATTACTAACCAAAATTTGCTATTTGAATTACAATAAGTGTTTGGAAATATACAAATCATAATTTATTTTATACAACTTCTGTTTGCATTTTTACTATATATCATTTTAATCATGTATACTATTAAAATTTTTTGTAAAATTACAATAATTTTACTAAACAGTTTGACAGTTTCTAATAAAAAGCATCTCAGATTTACAAACGTTGTTTGTAATTTGGTTTGCTACAATTTTATCTAAAATGCATAGAATGCAATCACGTGATGTTCTTACATCTCGCCTCGGTTGACTTAGGTGGACAGTATATAAGCTCAAGAGTCTTTTGTTTTTGGTGTGTTCCAATACACCAAATTGCCCGACATTGATAAGACCCAAAATAGGTATTTGAAGTTGGTGGAACGCACTCAAAACAATTTTTTTTTTAATTTTTATAGTAATGGGTCAAGAAAGTTTCTTGAAGAAACTAAGAAAATTGCAGGATTTTTTTCGTAGTATAATTACAATACCATCATTCGTAAATTACTAAATATTTTAGTGTAATTTTTTGTTCAAAATAACAATATTTGTATTGTACTATTGCGAAACGTATTTTCTTCAGTTCAGTAAAATTGTAAAATATATTTTGTAATTTTCTTAAACTGTGTTGAAATGAATTTTATAGCATAATTACTATACACCATTTTTAAATAAGTAAACATATTTAGTATTTTTTTTAGGCAAATTACAATTATAGCTCTATAGTAATGTTACTGAACAAAATTTTAATAAATGCTTAGTGAATTTTAACAAACGTTTTGTAATTTTTCCAAATTGAGTTGTAATGAATCGTGTAGTGAATTTACAAATCTGAGTTTTATTATTACTATGTATATTGTGGGGCGTAAAAATTTCCTAAACATATTTAGTAAAATTACAATAGAAATTTTATATGACTGATTGACTTTATTGATTCGTTCCTTTATTTTGAGGGTGAGGAGCCTACCCTGACGAGCCGCCACTGTCTCTCGTATAATAATATATTATTTCTCAATCCCGCATAACTTTTTAACAAATTCCGCAGTAACTATTGTCAAGAAATTGAGTGATTTTAAGGCAATGCATAATTATAAATTATAATGAAAACATAATCGATATGCAAATGACCTTTTAAAGTGTTTAAAGTGAAGCTAAATAATTGGAATACTGTCACGAACTACATGAACTTTTAGAATAAAACAACTAACTCAATTAGTTATTCAGATATACAGGAAAAAGTAAAAAATATTCTAATAATTAAAAAATGTAAAAAACAGCCCTGACAATTTTTTGAAAAAAACTAACCAAATAATAATGCTCCTACCTATGTTATCACTATATCTGCCAGATCCATCATCTATATAGTTACCACTATTATCGTGTATATAACGTCCGGAATAGTCAGGGATGTACTGGCCAGAACTGATTAAATCTGTCCCTTTGTAATCTGCTTTACAGGTAACAATGCACAACAAAAATAATACCTAAAATACAAACATTCTATATTAGTTTGGTTTTCTCGTGACTTAAAGAAGCAATGTTAGGAATGTTTTCAATAAAGTTTTCTTGCCTTTAAAATTTAATAAATAACACAAATGTATAATTCCTACTTTTATGAACTAATCGTGATTTTAAAAACATTTATATTACTGGAAATATATTTATATATGCATATTTTCAGTAAATTAAATAGCATTTATAGGTTATATAAATCATTTTTGTATAAATAGTTTTATTCTAATAAACTAAGAATTTAGAAGCTATTATGTTTTATACAGGGTTGTAGTTTTTAAGTTCTTATATATACAGGGTGTTTCACGTTCGTGGTCCATTAAAAGTTTCTGGGGAACGGCAAAAGACATCGATTTGAAATTTTGAAAGCGTTTTTAATCTAACACCATTTTTCTAAAATATTTTGAACAAAATGCCATTTCCGGTTTAACCGGAAGTGACATCAACTTTGTTATTTCAAATAAAACACCCCAAATATTTTTACATTATTAAATTCTGTATAAAATTCTGAGCAAAATGACTATACCTAAAGTGAATAGTTTTCGAGTTATTAATTTTTTTCGTTATAATTTGACAAATGCGCACATTGGGGATGGAATTTTTGGAATCTTAAAACATTGTTTAAAAGATTTCATGTCAATTCTTTAACATATCTCAACAAATTACTTGGGAAAAAATATGGCAAATTATTAGCCTATAGGCTAACTTGAAACGTTTTTATATTAAAAGTAACACTCTGTATGTTTTTACATAATTAAATAAAAAATTAAAAAACATTTCTGAGATATTTACCTACAAATAAAAACAAAAATCGTCAAAATTTGAAAAATCATTTCTGGAAAGTACATTAGTATGACCCATGGAATGACCCATATACGAGTTGTTTGCATGTCGAAAAAACGGTTTTTTACTAATATTTCAAAAACTTATTGAGCAAAATGATAATTATTGGAAACAGCGCACAAAAATTATCCTGTAAAATTTGTTGTAATGTAGCCGTTCCAATATATTATATAGGTAGTATTAAAATTCCATTAAATAACTAAAATAAAGTTTATAAACCCTAATAGAGCTATAACTTTTTAATTTGAACAACTATTAAAAAAAATAGCGTTAAAATCCAATTTAAAAGAATCGGGTTCGTTTTCTCTCCAGAGTTGGGGTCTCCAAAAAAAGAAAAAAAATTGTATTGCTCATAATATATATTATATAGAAGATTTATACAAACACTATACAGGTTGTTACTCAAGTATGTACTATAATTTTAACAGACGATTTTTTTGGTGATTTTAAGACAAAAAGTTCAATATACAGGGTGTTAATTTTATAAACTTTATGTAAAGAATATTTTTGACAAGAAATGTAAGGCACTATTTTTTTTATATATATATTTTGAAATTAAGCAACTTTTTGTCTTTTGAATTTTTTTCAAGCTGCTTAATCCATCAGAAATATTTGTTAAGGTGCTGCTCGCGACGACACTGGACAAATAACACTGTCAAAATTACAACAAAATTTGATAAAGAATATTTAATATATTTGGGTGAATATATTGAGATGTCCCCCAAAGTGAAACACTTCACGGTGGATAGGTTTTTAAATAGCAAATTAATGAACTTAAACTTTTGAATTATAAAACAGCAACATCTGCATATAATTTCTAACTGAACTTTAGGAATCACATGCAACTACTTATAATGTCGTTTTTGCTTATTTAAAATGATTAAAGCGCCATCCGTTGCATACAATTTAAAGCAAAAACAGATTCACGGAGGATAGAATTAATTTTGTAACACCTACATAAATGGTTATAACAATTATTTCTTTTAATTTTTAATAATATTTTATATTTGATTCGATTATAATAATAATAATAATAATAATAATAATAATAATAATAATAATAATAATAATAATAAATTTATTAAATCCGTTTGAGATTACAAGAAAAAAAATCTATGGACAAGTCAGATTGCTTTGGATGTTTTTAATTTACTTAGTGTACTGATATTTTTAGTATGCTTTTACTACCTCAAATATTTGAAAAGATGTAGGTTAACATAAAAAGAGTAACAGTCACGGAGGATAGGTTTTAGACTTTTACGTTGTAAAAAATAATTAATTGCGGTTAAAAATCTGAAACCTGAGCTGTAATATCTACTTAATTATGAAAGATCAAAACTCAATAAAAGTGTAGGTCAAACTCATTTAGTTTTATTAAATATCACGGGGTAACACCATCGGGGGAAATTTCGTGAGATTCACGCATTTACGAAATAAAAAAAGTTTAAAATCACTTAAAGAAACGTCTGTTAAATTTATTGTACCTACTTTGGTAACACCTTGTATGTTATTTTAATGCTTTTCCTAATATTTCAAAAAATAATTGAGGTAAATGAAATTATCCTTACAATAAATTATGGGTATGTAGTATTAAAATTGAGTTAAATATTTTTAAAAATGCTTATAAACCTTAATAGAGCTATAACTTTTTAATTTAAGCATCTATTAAAATCTAATTTAAAAGAATAGGGTTCGTTGTCTCCCCAGGGTTGGAGTCTCCAGAAGAATAAAAATTTGTATAGCTCATAGATAGAAGATTTATACAAACACTATACAGAGTTTTACTTAAGTATGTACAATAAATTTAACAGACTCAACAAAATTGGGTAAAGGATATTTAAGATATTAACGAAAACCAATCAAAAAAAAAATTTCAAATCACTTAAGAATCGTCTATTAAATTTATTGTACATACTTAACAGTAACACCCTGTTTATTATCAAAAAAACAAAATTTATTTTTCAAAATTTACCCAAAATATCGTAATAATACACATTCCTATTAAATAGGTAATAATATTAAAGTGCCAATCAAAAATGAGGTACATACCACAGCTTTCATCTTAAAAATGCAAACATAAACAAACAAACAATCTAGAATGTTAACTGTTATCTGCTGGGCACACTTTCAGTGATGTTGAGATGGGATGGCGATACCGAACTATGCGCGCTTTTCCCAACCGAATAATAAAATGACCGGGGTGCCATTCTGTTATATATAAAACCGAACTGTTTGATTCCACAGGGATGACGGTGATCGTAGGCGGCGACGCCAATGTCACAACAAATCACAAATCGCATCGCTAAGTACATAAGCTCATAGACGTCCGTCAACACAGGATTAAAAGTTTTTTTAATATGCTTTTTAGGAGACCATTTGGGAAGGCTTTTATGATTAAAGTATTAAACGCCCATCCCAATTAATTTTTTACCAATTTTAATTAATTCAGCCCAATGTCATGCACAGATTAATTTTATGGTTAATGTATTAAATGCTTGTATTACAAGAAATGTAATTAAAGTCTTTAAATATAATTTTAACCTTACTCTTTAATGTTCAATATTTTTAATTAATTCAATTATAAAACAAAATTTACTTTGTCATTTTATTACATTTGATTTAAAAAACAACCAATTTGTTAACTGATTTTATTATTTTTTATTTTAATGCAAAATGCACTATAATAGTATATTAAAGAACTAACGTCATAAGACGTCATTTTGTATCTATTTCGCAAAAATTCTATAAAAAAAATTAATTTTATACCTTAAATTTAATTTGGTCGAATTTTACTTTAGGTAGTTGATATCAGTCATTGGTTTGACAGCTAATGTCAAAATCGATTCGCCATGCCGTCCTTAATTTACTTATTTACAATAAGCGGCTGTTAATGTTAAAGAAGAAAAAAAGGATTTTCTTTTATGTTAAACAAAATTTATTGCCAGAAAAGTCTCGTAAGTATACTATACTATACTAGTATACTAGAAAAATCATAAAAATATTATTACCAATATGCAAAATATTATGCTGTTTAAAGTACAACACAGAAATGTGAATTTAAAACGTAAAAATAGAATTTAAACACGACAACATTGTGCTAGTTGGTTTCTATGGTAGCTTTTCGCTTTTGACAGTTGCAGTGTCATTTAAAAGTATGGAAACCAAAAATAAAGACGAAAATGAGAGATTGATATTTTTGGTTGAAAATCGTAGAATCTTCAACCTAGAATTTTTATAGCGTACCCAAACATGCTTAAATAGTCATTCATATATGAATGACTATTTAATTATCTGACAATTATATATAATTGTCAGATAATTTGGTTATTTAAAACACAACTTTTTTTAATAAAATATAACTAGTATACTAGTATACTATAGGTATTGTAACTAAATCTGTTTTTTTTATTTTTAATTCCCATATTGTTGAAACAATTTTTTTTATTACAGCTGAAGTTAACATGGTTGCCAGATGTATTTTCTGACAGTGCATGTCACAAATGTGTTCTTATTCTTATACTAGACCATACGGGATATATTATCTTTGAAAAGCTTAAAAAATTTAATTTTTTACCCAACTCTCTAAAAATGAGTTAGTCAAAAATGACTAATTTAATAGTTATTAGTGGCTGCTTTTTCACTTGTACCATGGTTAACCATGCAATACCATGGTATCCCAGAATTTAGAAGCCAATTCTTATGTAAGATTGTCCCCTGAATCCGAAAATATCGTCAAAAGTTAAAAAAGTAGAACAGTTTTTGAGAATGGTATTCTATGATTAACCATGGTACAAGTGAACAAGCAGCCACTAATAACTATTAAATTAGTCATTCTTGACTAATTTATTTTTAGAGAGAAGATATTTTATGAATAGCCATTCATTTGTTAGTAAAATATAATTATTTTTATTGATTAAAGTAAAAATAGAAAATTGGGATGAGTAGGATCTTATTATTAATTAAACTACTATTTAAAAAATTAAACAATGCCTAAAATTACAAGTGATATATCATTTTTAAGAACCCAGAATTTAAATTATAAATAAATGTTTAAATTAGATATACTTAGTTTTGATAATTGATTAACAAAAAATCATTTTTTTTGTAAAATATATTATGCCATTCTAAGAATTTTTAAAAACTTAAATAGTACTTCTATGTTTTTCTAAAGATCCCACCTAATAAAATAATCATTACAATACATAAAAATTAATTAAATCCATACAGATAATGAAGGTGATATTTTTTTTAAATGTATATCACTAGACTCAAGAAAAGTCAAGGATTATAATCAGCATGATATCATTATATAAAACTGATTTGTAATGCCTTTTGCAGAATATAGATCCTACTTATTTTAAAAGCAATGTCATAACCCTTGTAAACATAAAATGCGTTATAGATTAGTAAACAAGTTTAACATTTTTATTATTAATGAGTTCAGTGTAAAAACAAAAACAGTTATTTGGCAAGAATAATTAACATTTTTAACCCTAAAACTGTCATCAAACTTTCTTATGTTGCATTATTTATATGCATACCTAATTCTGTTATTGTTTGTTTTGAAATGTAGGATGCTAAAATTAGAATATTTGGTTTTCTTCTTTTTAACAATGGACCATATTTTAAGGCTTATGGGCGTTAGATTCGCAAGATAAACAACTAGGTGTTTACAGTTTTTAAATGTTAAAAGAATCATAAATTACATTGTAAATCTAGACATATTTTATGGTCCATAATTTAATTTTTGCCTACATCTTATTGCTGTTTTCAATGGATATATCAAAAAACTAAGTAGGCCAGTGAAAAACTAAGTAAGTTTACCAATGGAAATAGCGGAAAAATGTTGGCAAAAAATGGCGAATGCGCTGGTATTAAATTTCAATTAATAGAAACCATCCTAAGCCATAAACAATTATAAAATACCTGGTGATAAATATTTTAAAGTATTATTTGTATGCATGCCTTAATTGATTTACTTAGTATGACTTAATTAAATAAGAGCTGCTCCCAAACAATTGTTATTTACTGTATACTGCATACATAATATAAATCTTGGGTAGGTCTAAACAAATAAATTAGTAAAGCATAATATGTTTAAGAAATTAATAATAAATACATGTTTAAAAATAAATTAGTAAAGGATATTATTTTTAAGAAATTAATAATAAATACATGTTTAAAAATAGCACTTTATCTAACAGGCGAAGGAGTAATGATACTATACTATATAAATTGATCGTTTTTTCACAAAAGAGAGGAAGGCAGAAGTCTTACTCGACAAATTTTGTTCAATTGTACAGCTAAATCGCGCACGTTATTTGTGTTTTACGTTGCAAGAAAAAAACTAAAAAACTGGTTTAGTACTCGATTTTGATTGATTATTCCTTATATCATTGATTAAGAAACTCAACGCTTAAATGCTTATATAGTTACGTTAGTGTGTGTATTTTATCTAAGGGATCATGGTGAATTATTGTGTTTTTAATTGTAAATAAAATTCAACAACTAAATCGTTGCGTTTTCATGTTTTGCCAAAGGATCCAATTCGGTAAGTACATTTGTTGGTGCAGAATTAACTAATGGTAACTTTACCTAATATAATTTATATTTAAGTTTCGAAATTTTTAAGAAATTAGTAAAAATAATTTTTGCACAAACATAACCTATTTGCTATTTGAGCTCTCTAAAAAACGCCGACAACTGAATTTAAACAACAAAATATACCTACGAATTCATGGCAACATAATATTATATATAATACATAATATAATGGTATTTTACCGTTGAGTGGAGACTTTCTTAATCAACGCTTTTAATAATGCTAAATGCTGTTTAAATTTAGACCACTTATTTGTTTGACGATTTTAACTGAATTGGAATGTTTACACTTTTCACGTTAATCATTACTAAAATGTATATTTATTGTATCTAATAGATACAATTTATATTTACAGGGACTGTATGAAATTTATTTCTTCATTCGGATTAACACTGTTTATTGGAAAACCGGTAAAAACTCAACCCAGGATTTCCTCTCGAAATACACCCAACAACACAAGAAATCGTGCCACGGTTTTTTTTTCGATATTTTTTTAACATTTTCCGGCTTTATTCTCGTTTGTAACATAAGCATTTAACAGATGATTATTAAAAGTTGTACTTTTGTTACTTTGTTACTGTTAATTTTACTTTACTCTATTAAATATATCAGTTATATTAAAATAATGAATTATTAGACCTATTATATCCTTAAAACATTGTAAACATTACCTACAATATAATTTTATCAATAACTGGTATTAAAGTTATTAATGAAACAACACCACGGCTTGTAAGCGGTCATTTAAAGGCACAAAACAAACGATTAACTCGTAAATTACGAAAAATAGATCTGCAATCATTCAATCAATCATTTTAACAAGAACTTGATTGCAGTTATTAATCAAAGTGGCTAAAGGTGGCTTAATTTGCTTAGGAGAACAGATTTTATTGAAAAGATAATCATAATGAAACGAAATGTCATCTACAACCTTTTCGCGGTGATCTCATAACCGAAAGGCCTTGCTCTTCGTGAACTAAATACCATGGTTTGCGCCCAGCTAGTTCCCTATGTGTCATAAATAACCACTACTAATATTCGCAATATTACGCTGGCCAACACAGTTTTTGAGAAATTTATTTTATTTCAATTTTCGGGGCGTTTTGACGTTTTTGAGTATAGCTTGAAATCTAATTAATCGATTTGGCCAAACAAGCCCTTAAATTGAAGGTATTTGAGCCCTCTTAAACTTTATTTTACATACATTTGATATCGGATAAGAATTTTGACGCTAGATTTTAATAACTTAAAAAATTCGTTTTTTGGCAAAAATTGAGGTCGAAAATTTATATATCGTCCTGGGAAAGGTTTAAATCAAACAGATAACTCAAGTTAATTTTTTTTTTCGTGAAGCTAACATTTTTACAAAAAAACAAACTAATGTTGATAAAAATACATTAAAAAATGGCGAAGTTATGAATTTTTTAGTGAAAGACCAAAATTCAGCTTTTTGACGATTTTTATTTTATTTTTTTCTTTTATTTTGTAATATGTTTTTTACGTACTTTTTTCACCGAAAATTTAAATTTGACATTACTCCGCAAACGTGAATTCTTTTGTTTCTCGTGTTGGCCTAGTGACATTTTACTGCTATTTTTTGATATTTCAACAAGGTATTCTTATCATGGTTTTATTTAGTTAAAAAAAGTGTAAAATGAGTAAAAGAAGTAGAGAGTTCGAGTGCGTAAATAACCCGCACAATCTGGGCGACGTAAGTGATGAGCACGGAGAACGTTTTCACCAGCAAATGAAGGCTATGGAGCGGTGGTATCACGGCTTCTGGGATGCAGCCATGATGGGTGATTACATTTGGTCCATGGTACAAGAAATGGAATAAGAAAGCGACAAAAACAAAGAAGGAGACAGATTTTTAAACCCATGCTTATTACAACAAAATAAAACTTCTCAATATTCAATATATAATTTTGTTTCAATATTTAATGTTTCAAATAAAAATCAATGTTCAATATTAAATTTTATATAACTCAATAAAATGAAGAAAAAACGTAAAAATTCTCGAAAAACCAAATTTGGGTCTTCCACTGAAAAATTCATAACTTTTATCCGTGGATTTTTATCAACATCAGCTTATTTTTTTCCTTTAAGTATAATCTATACGTCAAATAAATCAAACTGGACTTATCTTTTCGATTTCTATCTTTCCCAGAAAGATATGTAAATTTTCGACCTCGATTTTTGTAAAAAAAAAGGACTTTTTTAACTTCATAAAATCGCCAGTATCGAGCTACTATACAAGAGAAAGTTGTAGAGGGCTCAATTACTTTTGATTTAAGTGCTTGGTCAAATCGATCAATTAGAACTGGAAGTATACTCTAAAACGTCAAAACACCTCAGAAAACAATTGAAAATTCATATCGCGAAAACGCTGGCCTAAGAAAGAAATAATAGCAGCAAAATGGTTTACACTCATGCGAATTTGCAAATTGGAAAGCAAATTGGTTATATTAAAGACGTATTGCTGCTCTACTAGAAACAATCATAAAACCTTTTTACTGTTTGGTTCTGTAATATTCTTATATAGAGGAAAAGTAGTCCTTAGACCAAATGCTCCTATGAGTTAAAATCAATAGGCATCTGATAAACCTTCTTCAAGCTTATTGGACTATAGGCGTTTCTTAGGGGCAAGTTGCCCTAAAAAGCATTATTGGTTAACAGTAATAAATCAGTGTTAAGATCAAAAAGGCTTTAATACTTTTCTTTAAAGTCGCTAATAAAGCCTAAGCATAAAGCTTCATTATCTCAAGACCAACTAGCACAAAGTAGAGCTGCAATGGGTTGGAAAATGAAATGTTGATAGAGAAATAAAACGAGTTAAATCATTTTTTACACATTTATTTAAACCTAACAAAACAATTTGACCTCACATCGTGCAACCTACAAGGTACCAGCGGCCCTTTGGTATTCCAAAGACTTGAGGATCAAAGCTGGGATTGGGGGTGGAGTTGGGAGGTGGGCGGCTGTAGGCACAAAACCGTCCTCGTTGGCGGTGTAGTCGACGCGGTAGACGACGGCGTCGGGTCCTGTGTATTCAAAGAATCCAGCGGAGTTCATGGCTTCATCTTGAGATCCTTGACGTTCCAGTTTTCCTTGTTCTTCGGCAAGGATTTTGTTCTCAGTTTCGTACCTGAAAATAAGATTATAAGATCGAAATATTTTTATATTTTTTTAAAAGTTACCACTGCTTTTCACTTTAACTTTAATCTAGCTCACAGGAGTATAATAAAGCAGATTAAAGTAAAAGCTGTAAAAAGTACTAAGAACAGTTTCTTCCAGAAATTTGGTTTTATCTTAAGTAAATAGACATCCCATTATAAAGCAAAGTTAAAACTTACAAGTGTAATAGGCGTTATTGTTTTAAAAGTAGGGTTTGCTGTGTCTAATAAAGCTTTCTGTTAAAGTAACATAATTCTAAGAGCTTTGATATAAAATTTATGTAAAAGACAAGATTTACATGTGTTATTTGGGCGCCAAGTTTTTTTCATAATTTAACTAGGTTAATATTACCTGTAAGAAAATAAACTAAATTCTTTAATAGTATATTATTTATCAAGTTTTATAATAGTTATTTATGTCATTAGGTTAAGAAGTAAGGCTTTTTGTGCTAAGCTCAAGGTTTCAATTTAGCGAAGCACAAAAAGCACTTCTTGGCCGAATGGCATACAACATTTAATTCAACATCAAAGCGGCCTAACCTCACTTTTTTAGAATCTCATTTATTTATTAGCTAAAGATTACATTAAATGTACAATAATTATTATTGCTTTTAGAAGCACTAATAGTTTGACAATACCTAGCAACATGATTTAAGTAGAAATGGATTTTTGCTATTACATTGAATTCAATTAATTGTTTAATAAATAGGTAGGTATCTAAATATAATTTGTTTGGATTTTTATTTAAAAAATAGGTAGTTTGGAATGTTTAAGCTGTGTTTAACATTTAATTTCACTGAAAACTTAAAGCAAATTAAAATTTAATGATAATTTAAATCGTAGAAAAAGAATCGTGCGTTTTCTTGGTTGCCTAACCTCACTTTTTGTTTTATTATTCATATTTAATGTTACAATAATTTAATGAAAAATATTAAACATTAACAGTAAAACAAACAAGTTAGTGCTTATTATAAATAAATTAAACCAGTTTGGTACGTTAATTTCTTAGAAAAGGATTAATTTGTCAAAACAATACCCCTAGCGAGAAAAAATCGAACTAATTACTTGCCTCATAAAATTTTTATCGGCCTAGGCCATAACAAGGTATTTCTTTATCGAATGTTGACAACAATAAAGTTAAAAATATATTTTAGTATACTTACAAGTAATGGTAACCGTCGGGAAGAACTTCTTCAGTCTGACGGATGATTCCGTAGTTCCTGTTGTCATAGAGACCAGCAGCGTTGCCTTGCTTCAAACCTACTGCAACTCCGTGAGCGGCGTTGCCAGCTCCGTGAGCGACGTTGCCAGCTCCGTGAGCGGCGTTGCCAGCTCCGTGAGCGGGGTTGCGGTCGACGTAGGCGCCGCCGAATCCGCCGTTGTTGCCGTTGTTACCGGCTCCGTTGTAGCCGTTGCCGTTGCCTCCGTTGCCGCCGAATTTGTCGGCTTGGTGACGGTAACCTTGGGCGTCGTGTTTGTACCCGGCGTCGCTGTGCACGTAGCTGCCACTGTTGTCGGGTATATACCTGTAATTGAGAATACAGTGTTGTCAAATTGGCATATTTTTAAAGTATAAAAAGATATATGGCAACGCTGTATGTTTATCATTTTAACTACCTTAAAGTTAGTGAAAATACAGTGTTGCCATGTGTCTAAAAATGCACCTACTATTATAGTACTATAATAGTAATTCCACAATCCACACAACAAGGTCTGTTCTATCTCGTACTAAAAATACAAAAAATGACTGCAACACTGCACAGTTTAACGGCGGCCATTTTCGTTGTTTACAATTTTTGTGCTTTGGGTTCGTGCTCTGTTTATACAGATAAATAATCGTTTTAAACGTTATTTTTCTCATAGTAAGCCTTAAGAGTCCTTAAAGTGCTAAGAACAACCATTTTACTCCTCTATTGTAAAAAAATAAACTTTATTCTATCAGGGCTGTCATAAAACTGTCAAATGTCAATTTTAAGGTTATAATATAACCCTCAAATTGTCATTTGATAGCCCTGATAGAATAAGGTATATTTATTATAAAAGAGGAGTAAAATGGTTGTCCTTAGCACTTAAAGGCCTTATTTGAGGCTTACAAGTGCCTCTGTAAGAAACACAACGTTTAAAACAATTATTAAACAGCACAAACCCAAAGCACAAGAATTTTAAACAACAAATGGCCGCCGTTAAACTCTGTGCAGTGTTGCAGTGATTTTTAGTATTTTTAGCATGAGATAGAACCGACCTTGTTGTGTGGATTGTGAGTAAGTCGATCTTTTTTTTATTTAACAATTTTGGTCAAAAAATCAAAAAGGTATTGTTACCTGCCGTCATTGGCGTTATAGGCACCAGAGTTATCTTGTACGTATCTACCATCGTAAGCACCATCGTAAGAACCAGCTACAGGTCTGATTTTCAAAATGGCAGCCGAGCTGCAGGCGGCGAAAGCCAAAAGTAAAGCCTAAAAATACAAAAAATAATATTAATAGTTATTTATGTAACAAGGCAGTAAATTTTTTTATCACGAATGTGGAAATTATTTGCGGAGGCGAAAGCCGAGGCAAATAACCACGGGAGTGATAAAAAATGACTTTAATGCGGAGGTGTATACAGGGTGTCCCGATATTAGGGTGCCAAACTTAAACAGTGCATTCTTCATAGAAAAGTTACACTTTTTGTTAAATAAACATGTATCAAAAAATTCCCTCTAACGGAGCTACGGCCCCCTGAATAGTAGCCTAAGAGAATAGTTTTTTTAAACTATTCCTAGAGCGTTAAACATGAAGAAATGAAATTTTGGCGCTTTGGTAATTTTTAGATGCTGAATCAAGATCTAAGATCAAAACTGTTAAAATTTAATCATAGGCGTAACATTTTTCCGAGATAATATTTTAATTTTTTTTTTATGAAATTATGAAAACTTATAGTTTTTTACGAAAAATAGGTAGTCTTGATTTGAATCGCTCAGATGCACCATTTTCGAGAAAAATGAATTTATAAATTACTCTGCATAGCATACACATCTCATATTTTCGATAAAATTTTGTGTTAAAATTTGGAAAATCGCTCCATAATAAAAAATAACAAAAATCGAGCCAAAAAATATGAACTAAACTATAAAAATAAATGTAAAGTCAGCAAAGAACCCAAACGTCACTTTTGTCCCAAAGCTTTTTAATGAAAATATTAAAAATTATGCTAAGCATAGTAATTTAAATTGCAATTTTCTCGAAAATGGTGCATCTGAGCGATTCAAAGCAAGAGTACTTATTTTTCGTGAAAAACTATACATTTTCATAATTTTATAAGAAAACATTAAAATACTCACTCTGCAAAAAGTTGAGGCTATTTCTGTAAATTTGCCCCCTCAAATGTTACGCCTATGATAAAATTTTAACAGTTTTGATTATAGATCCAGATTCAGAATGTCAAAATTACCAAAGTCCCAAAAATTCAGGTCTTCATGTTCAACCCTCTAGGAATAGTTTTAAAAAAAATGATGCTCTTAAGCTCCTATTTAGGGGGCGTAGCTCCGTTAGGGGGCATTTTTTTATATATGTTTATTAAACAAAAAAGTGTTATTTTTCTATAAAGAATGCACTGTTTAAATTTGGCTCCCTAATTTCGGGACACCCTGTATTTTATCCGAAATCACATTTAATAATACTAATAATTAATACTGATGATTAAATCAAATGTCACTAAATGTCAATTTGATATTTAATATTATTTGAATGTAGGAAGTGTCTACGTATACTCTTTGTTGCGACGGTTATGACATTTTTTAATCTAATTAATAAAATTAACTTATTATTGCTACTGAGGAGCAGTAGACACATCTTAAAATGTATAATGGGTTGCATACAATACTCGTTTTAAACTTTTTACTTTACTGCCGATTGTTGACTACTTTACTGCCGATTTCGGATAAAATATATTATTTTTACAAAATTTGGTACTCACCGCGGTCTTCATGTTAGCACTTGATCTTAACAAATGATACCCATCTTCCTAATCTCAACGCTTTATATATGTTCAAAAATTCAGAATAAAAATTAAAAATTATAATATAAAATATATTAATGTTTGTGAATTTTGTGACCCCCCACCACCAATCTCTAATAATCGATTAACCTTATCTGAACATAGAATCAACATTTGTCCAAATTTTATTTATAGAATAAATTTTAATGGAGTTTTCTTTACAGAAATATGCAAAATTTTACTAATGAAATTCATAAAATTTTAATCAGGTGTAGTTTTTGCTCTTACTAATGGGTTTTACATTTATTAAATATGGTTCGTGCAAGGTAACAAGTGAAGTAAGGTGTCCAAAAAAATGTGCTAAAAAATAAAAATTGTACATATTCAAAAATGTAAGTAAATTGAAATTTTAATTCGTGGGTTTTTATTAAAAACTTTTTAACAATTTAATAATTGGTTTCAGAGATTTATATAAATGACTCTTTTTTATTTTTTTTATTTCATAATTTATTAAAAACTCATTTCATTGAAAATATAATTGAAAAGTATATGCTAAATAAATCTTAATAAATGACTTTATAATTTTCTGTCAACCTAATTCAACAATTTATTTTAAAAACTTAATTATATATTTTAATTAAAAATAAATTATATTTTATTTTTTTACTACGCACTTTTAAAAAACGTAAAATATCAAGGCAATTAAATATAATAGTACGTTGTATATAAAACATATTAAATAATGAATGTCTTCCATAAAAAATGTTATCGCATTTAATTAATTAGTAAAATTTAATCATGTTTTTATTAAATAGTAAAGAAAATTTAAAATATAAGATACATAAGTTTTTTAAAGCAGAATGTAAAACTGTATTAGGAAATAAATAAAATACGTACTAAACTAGTAAAAATTAAAAAAATCGTTTTTCCCTATTTTCCCCATTTTTAATTTTTGACGAATCTACAATAAATTATTTAGAAACCTACGAGATGCCTCCTAAAAATTGTAATTTTTTTATGTTCAAAAATTAATTGATTTTTTTATATAAAATTTTAAACTATTTTAACAATTTATTTTAAAAACCAAAATATTTTTATTTTTATAATTTTCTCAAATGAACATCTTTGATGATTAGAGATGGGATTTTAGTGTTATTACCTATTTGTCTACGCTAATCATAACTTTAGGTGCAATGAACTAAAATCCGTTTTGAAGAAAATGATTTCAGTTTACATTTTACTACCTAAACTAGTGTAATTTTACCTATTTCACCTAAATTCTTATTTTTAACATTTTAACTATTTAGGTACCTATTTTTATATTATATTATGCAACCTAAAATCCCATCTCTATTGATGATATTCGTATAAAAAACTGAATTATTTTTGTTTCCAAAAAAATCGACTATATATTTTTTTTTTAGAAATTTTTTCTTGTTTTAATGTAGTTTTTTTCAAAAATTAAAAAAATAGCGTTACTAACTTTGAGGGATGTACCAAGTATTTTTCTCTATTTTTAATTTTTTACCTAATATAAAAATCCTTGGTTCAAAAATGCAGTAGTTTTTTATTTATGATACACTCACAGGCAAAATAATCGATCCACACAAATTTTCGATGAATTTCAATCGCAAATAACTTTTTTATTTGATGTCGGATTTAAACAAATATTAAAGAATATTGTAGATAAATTAATGGACAATCGCGCACATTTTAAAAAAATACTAAAAAATAGACGTACGTTTATAATATACAGGTTTAAACAAAAATATTTTTTTTACCATAAGTTTAAGACACTCTGTAGAGTGGCAAAACCGTATATTGTTTTAAATTAAGTTTTATTTATCACATCTATTCTTAACAGTTTTGTTTTTGGTTCACCTCTATATATTTATTTTTGTGGAAAATATGGATTTTTTAAAAAAAACATTGCAATTTCCAATATTTTTCCTGTAGGTATGAAGAACTAAGGTCCATCCATAGCCTAATACCTAATATAAAAATCCTTGGTTCAAAAATGCAGTAGTTTTTTATTTATGATACACTCACAGGCAAAATAATCGATCCACACAAATTTTCGATGAATTTCAATCGCAAATAACTTTTTTATTTGATGTCGGATTTAAACAAATATTAAAGAATATTGTAGATAAATTAATGGACAATCGCGCACATTTTAAAAAAATACTAAAAAATAGACGTACGTTTATAATATACAGGTTTAAACAAAAATATTTTTTTTACCATAAGTTTAAGACACTCTGTAGAGTGGCAAAACCGTATATTGTTTTAAATTAAGTTTTATTTATCACATCTATTCTTAACAGTTTTGTTTTTGGTTCACCTCTATATATTTATTTTTGTGGAAAATATGGATTTTTTAAAAAAAACATTGCAATTTCCAATATTTTTCCTGTACCTATGAAGAACTAAGGTCCATCCATAGCCTGAGGATGACAGTGAGAGTTTTGTTGAATCATCTCATACTTGGACATGTCATATACAGCTTTCAAAAGCTATCAAATTGTTTTTTGTAAATTTTTGTTAATTTTGAGGGGTCTTCTTACTTTTAAAAATGTCTCCGACTGATGTTGCCCTTTGTACTTTACTTTTTGTGACGTTTAAAACACTTGCTACGTAATACTGTGACCGTCCATCCTGGATTAAATTAATGGCTCTGGCAACATGATTCGGAGACATATCCATTTTTTAAAGTAAGAAGACAACTCAAAATTTAAACATTAATTTGCAAAAAAAAACGTACGCCTATTTTTTAGTAATTTTTTAAAATGTGAGCGATTGTCCAATAATTTATCTACAATATTCTTTAATATTCGTTTAAATCCGACATCAAATAAAAAAGTTATTTGCGATTGAAATTCATCGAAAATTTGTGTGGATCGATTATTTTGCCTGTGAGTGTATTATCAACAGAAATAGTAAGACGTATATTGTAGAAAATTATTCACTCTACAAAACATGTCTCCTATATAATTATCAAGTCTACTCCTTTAAAAGATATTAAAGGTTACAGTTGAATTCATAGTATTTTCCAAAATGTTCTTGTAATAATTTTTTTATATTATTTATATCATTCATAATCCTAACTAAAAAATGAAAATGCAAGTTATATCTTACAAAGTAGGTAAATTTATTCAACAATATCTACAGGAAAAATCAAAACAAACATCTTACAATTTACCGGCGGCCCTTTGGTACTCCAAAGACTTGAGGATCAAGGCTGGGATTGGGGGTGGAGTTGGGATGTGGGCGGCTGTAGGCACAAAACCGTCCTCGTTGGCGGTGTAGTCGACGCGGTAGACGACTGCATCGGGTCCTGTGTACTCGTAGAATCCAGCAGCGTTAATGGCTTCATCTTGAGACCCTTGACGTTCCAGTTTTCCTTGTTCTTCGGCAAGGATTTTGTTCTCGGTCTCATAGCTACACGGAGAGAAAAGTATAATGCTGATTACCATAATTATAATACCCTTTACTATAATTCATATTACTATTTGGGACAACTATCTTGTATATTGCCAGATACTATGCATATTTAGTAATTGTTAAACCTTAAGGTAAAATATTATTATTCTCAACCAATTTTGTTTTTAATTCTTATTATAATTAGATTATTTCCATTACTAATAAGTATAGTAAATTTTAAAATATTATGTTCCCATTTTAAACATAAAATATTTTAAAATCGAATATTTTTATGTGTTAACAATTAAAAATCGTAACATATTTATTGTACTTTTTAATATACAAAAATGTTATGAGAAAGAATTGAACCTACACCTCGCCAAAGTTTTTTGTTTTGAGTGCGTTCCATCAACTTCAAACACCGACAGACAAGTGTTTTGACCTATATTGGGTATCATCAGTGTCGACACGACTCTGACGAGCAACTTGTAGTAGTGGAACACACCCAAAACAAAGAAATACCTGAGCTTATATAACATGGTTGGTAAGCCAACAGAGGCGAGATGTAAGAACATCACGTGCTCCACACCGTCTAACGACGCGTCGCGACGTGGCCTTTGCCGCAATCGGTACATACTATGCAACCAAGTAGGTTCAATTCTTTCTTATAAGGATTATCAGTAATGGGTCAAGAAAGTTTATTGAAGAAACTAAGAAAATTGAATGTTTAAAATGTCATGAGTTACTATATTGTATATTATATTTAAATATATTGTTTATTTACCTTAAACATAAAAGTATCTTTATTTTTACTATATTTTTTATAATTGTGTAATATATTATAATATTATATGTACACCTTACATTTGATTAAATCATATAGTAAATATTACTATTTGTAGATACCTAGTAAAATCAATTTAGTATACGCACATATTAAAAATTAAAATATATATTATACATTTATGATTTATTAATATTGGTGTTGTAATCTTTACTAAAATACTATTTTGTATTACAATCTTAATATTGTATTGACGAATATATAATATTGTTACCCTAAAAATTTGTTAAAGTAAATTTTAATATATTTTTTTACTATCTAAAATTTACTACACATTTCTCTCCGTGTACATATGGCAAAATTAGTGGAAATTTTCTGATAAAAAAAAAATAAACAAAAAACACTTACAGGTAGTGGTAACCGTCTGGAGCTACTTCTTCAGATTTACGGATGATGGCGTAGTTCCTGTTGTCATAGAGACCAGCGGCGTTGCCTTGTTTAAGACCTACTGGTACGGCGTAATGGGCGGCTTGGCCTACTTGGTGGATTTGGGCTGGTTGACGGTAAGCCACTAAAATATTAGAAACAAAATTTTTTAACTTTTAAATATTTTGCTACATAATGTTATTAATTTTTGATTACCCTCTATATAAAATCCTATTTTTTTACAATAATGTTATTTTTGCAACGATCATAACTTTTTATTGGGAATAACTTTTTTTCTTAAAAAGATGCTCATTTGAGAAAAATATAAAAAAAATTTAAATAAATTGTTGATAAAAATCAATTATTTTTTGCAAATAAAATTTTTAAAACGCATATCGTAAACATATTTTTAAAAAATTATCAGTGGCAGCTTAGATTTATATAAATCATCCTGTACTTTTATGCATGTTTTTATAAATAACATTAATATAACAAATGTAGGATAAATAAAGGTACTTCTTTCTTGAATCGATTTAATGTAGTTAAATATAACTGCATTTTTTTTCATGTCAATGGAATTTTTCGACAATCAAAACTTTTTATCAGGAATGACTTTTCTTCAAAAGAGCAAAAATAAAAAAATCCTTTTTACCCACCTATTCCGGCACCGTTGCCGAATTTCTCGTTTTGGTGTCTGTATTTGTCTTCTTGGTGCCTGTAGCCGGCATCATCGTGTTTGTAACCAGCATCGTCATGGACGTAGGCACCGGAACCGTCAGGAATGTAAGCTCCGCTGTTGTCGTTGTTGTATCTGAAAAGATGGAGATATGACAACATGGCATTTTCGTTTTATTTAAAGTTAAAAGTTTGCTTTACAATTTTATTAATTTTCCCCATTGAAATATAAGATGTTTTTCTATTTTTTCCTAAAAATGTACATTTTTCAAGGTTCATAACCTATAAAACACCTGCATCAAAAATTATTAACATTATTAGACAATAAAATCTGAAATATCTTATTTGATTGTTCTTGAAATTTATCGATGTTACCAAAAATATAATGTGTTATTTATTCATCGTAAAACGATAATAAAATGTCACCAACCAAAAATTTTAATTTACATTTAGATCGTTTTGGTTACGAAATATTTAAATTTATAACTGATAAGGCTATAAACTTGTATGTGTAGATTAGAATATATTAATAATGCCCTTTAAAAATTTTAATTTTGTTTATTTTACATGTTTACTATAATAGTATAATTATTATTAGTCTTACCCGAGTTATTCTATTTTTGTATCTATAGATGATATATTTAATTTAAATCATGATTTCGATAATATTGACATTTTTACTATTATTATTAGTCTTACCCGAGTTATTCTATTTTTGTATCTATAGATGATATATTTAATTTAAATCATGATTTCGATAATATTAACATTTTTACTATTATTATTAGTCTTACCCGAGTTATTCTATTTTTGTATCTATAGATGATATATTAATTTAAATCATGATTTAGATAATATTAAGTTTTGTCGTAGAAAAAGTATAGTTTTTCTAGACACTCATTTAATTAAACACTCGCTCGCAATAATAGTATAAATCGAAGAAAAACTTAAATTTTAAATTTTTTCTTCGTGAATAACTTTTGAAGAATTAAATTTAGGTAAAAATGTTAAGAGACTTTTTTTGTAGAACATTAAATTTCCTTTAAGAATAGAACATTAAATTTCCTTTAAGAAGCTTTTTTAAATATTCATTGATTCATTAGTTACAAAATTTCAAAGTAAAATAGGCAAATCGAAAAAACACATCGATTTATTAAGCTCAATTACTCGGAAACGGCCCGTCTGACGAAAATTTTCAATCAAACCTTTTTTGTAGAGAATTTAATTTTATATAAAAATAAGTAAAAAGGAATTTTTTTCACTTTAATGTTTTGAAAGTTCTAACGTAAAACATCAAATTATGACTAAAAATAAAAAATAGCGATGATAGACCTCTTAAAATTAATATTAAGGGCTCAAATTTTCACGATTTTTTTTTGTCATTCTGAATGACATTCTCGATATATTTAAAAAAAAAAATAGTCAATTTTTTTGGCCCAGTCTAATATATATAGGTAGATAGGTAGATAGGTATTTGAAACATTGTAAAAAAGTTAAAGGTTAGGAAATAATGACCATGTTTATTTTAAAATGTAAAGATTGGATTATCCTATCTATTTTTCTCTATTTGTCTTAGAAAAAATGAGATAGCATAATCCACTCCTCTACTCTCTAAAAATGAAACAGTGGATTTTCACTGATTGACAGTGCATATTAACTATTTGCCTCAGTGATAAGTATACCACTAGCAATTAGTGAATACTCACTTTTTCATGTAGCGATTTCTTTGCACTAATTTATTTAGTGGAAATTACACTGTACAAATTAGTGAAATAGGTTTAGTTCAAAAAAGTTAAAATTTCACTATTTTATGTCGAGAGTTCCGGAAAAGTAGTGATAATAAAAAACACTAATTTGGAGAAGTTAAAATTTCACTAATTTATATTGAAAAACACTAATTTTACAGTGAAAATTTCACTGTTTCACTTTTAGAGAGTACCTTTTGAAATAAACATGGTCATTATATCCTAACCTTTATTTAAATTCGAGCAAAAGTTAAAAAAAGAATAGAGAATATTTGAAACAATTGTTGCTCAACTTACATAAGATACCTTTTATATTTAATCCAAAAGTAAATATTGTAAATAACATTTGTATTAAAAAAAACTTATTCTTAAATTAAGTGTATATTTTATTTGAGGGTGCTTGCATTTAAAAAATATGATAGTTTTTCTTGAAATAAGAATAAGTTTACTTTTGCACCTAACATTGAAATTATATCGAAAAAAATATAGGTTAGTTCAACTCCCTATATCCTCCAAATAAGTATTAATTTAAATTTCAAATAAGAATAAATCAATCGTTTAAATCTGATATAGAAGCAGTTTTTCACAGTGAAAAAATTTTTTACTTACTTTCCTTCGTTGCTGTGGTAAGCTCCAGTGTCATCATGGTAGTATCTACCAATGGTGGCAGCTTGTGGTACTACTTTGTAGACTTGGGCAGAAGCGCAAGCTACCAAGGCGAGGGCTATAATCTAAATTTAAAAAAAATAGTTTTATAAAAAGTAAAAAATATTATCAAATTTACAATAATTATAATAGTACCCACAATTAAGTTTTACAAGTAAGTACTATCCAAAAATACAACAAACATATTGGATTAATTTACTTAAAAAATGCACTTGCACTTAAACTTACTTACCAAAGTATTCATTTTGCTGTGACAAATGGTACCAGAATAAATGACACTTTGCTTTGGCCTGGTTTATATATGAAATGAGATTTTTCGGAAACATTTGCATATTGGATTCATTTTACACAATCTTAATCTAGATCCCCACCATGCACTCATCAATACTTAAAATTATTGATATTTTATTCTTTTTGTAGATCAACACATAAATTTTATGTAATGGAATCACCAGCGACGGAGCGTATGGGTCAAAAACAGAAATAATAATATTATTTTGTATATTTTAATTAATGTGTTTAGAATTTACACCCCTGTTCATAATGACTTCATTATAACACCTCTTTCGGTGCTGTAATGAGATACTTTATCCCACCCAAAATTTTGATTTAATAGGTTGGCTATACTTTAAACATCATAATATTTTGCATATTGGTTATAATATTTTTATGATTTTTCTAGTACTTACGAGGCTTTTCTGGCAATAAATTTTGTTTAACACTAAAGAAAATCCTTTTTTTTCTCCTTTAACATTAACAGCCGCTTATTGTAAATAAGTTAATTAAGGACGGCATGGCGAATCGATTTTGACTTTAACTGTCAAACCAATGATTGTGATACCAACTGTCTAAAGTAAAATTAGACCAAATTAAATAGGGTGTAAAGAAAATGACATTGATGTAGAAAAAATTGCATCCTTACAAGTAAGTAAAAAAAGTGTGAAAGTACAGTATGTTGTATTATTTACTATGCTCCACACCTCAAAGTCCCACCACTTGACCACGTTCGGAACGCTTTTGAAAATTTGGCATTTAAGGCTTTTCAGGTTATATATCTGTCAAAGTATAGTCAATGAAAGAAATAATATTTAGTGTAACCGCTTATGTTTAAGCGTTAAAAGTAAATAAATCTTTATAGTATCACAATAACAATGGTTGGTTTAAGAATTTAGGAATATAAATACTGCATTTAATGAAATTCCAAAGTGTAAGGTGCAATATAAGTGATATTTTTGTGCATTGGGTCTACATTTCTCCATAAAATAGTTTTAACTAAACAGCATTTATTAAAAAAATCTAACTTCTCTATTATGAAATAAGAATATCTGTATCAAAGGTAGGTTAATGTATTAGAACAAAAAATGTCATCTAATTTCGTATTTTAAGGTTAGAAAAATCTATTTTGACCAAAATAAATAAGTGGATTATTTGGAAGAGTGTGTTAATATGGTCATAAATAAATATAGGTATACTATATAATTGTTGAATATGGTTCAAATTAAATTGAAGCTTTTATACTTCTAATGACAAAACTTGTGCATACCTCTCGGTATACCTACTTTAAGTCAAATTATAAGAAAACAAACAATTTTTAGAGAAACTTGCAATGTGAAAATATTTAATACAGCCATGACAATGGTTTATTTTAAAAGTTATAATGATTTTTCGATGTAGATCAAGTTCAGTCAAAGCTTTTTAACTATTTGTATTGAAAAAACTTTATGAAGGTACACTAAGAGTTGGATAAGAAAAACTACCACATTTTTAAATACCATATTATACAGTTTTAAATAATCCAAAATACTTATTTATTTTGGTCAAAATAAATTTTTCTAACCTTAAAATTACTAAATTAGATGATATTTTTGTTATAATATATTAACCTACCTTTAATACAGATATTCTTATTCCATAATAGGGAAGCTAGATTTTTTTTAAATAAATGCTGTTTAGTTAAAATTATTTTATGGAGAAAACCAGATATTTGGACCAAATGCACAAAAATATTACTTATTTGGCACCATACACTTTAGAATTTCATTAAATGCAGTATTTATATTCTTAAATTCTTAAACCATCCATTGTTATTGTAATGTTATAATGATTTATACATTTTTAACGCCTAAACATAATGTTATTTCTTTCGTTGACTATACTTTGACAGATACATAACCTGAAAAGCCTTAAATGCCAAATTTTCAAAAGACTGCGTTCCGTACGTGGTCACGTGGTGGGACTTTGAGGTGCGGAGCATAGTACATCAAAATAAAAAAAGAGCATGGCAAAACTATTGTATGTGTTTTGGTTAAATACTGTGGATTTTAATCAAGATAAAATTTTTATCTACGGCTATGTTTAAAATGACCATAATAAAATTTTTATTTTGAACATCGAGAATTAATAATGAATTAAACCACCGAATGTCAATGTTATAAAGTATTGTCGTGTTTTGAAGAATATTAATATTTAAAACGGTCATTTTCACAAATTTTTGTTTTTATCGAACTAAAATCCGGTTAAATATATACGAAATCGTGGAAAATATTTGTCGAATTTCAAAGAATTACTCTTATATATGGTTTCAATAAATCGCAACTCCCGACAGAGGTAATTTTTTTTATTTATTTTTTTTTTGGTAAAATTTTATATTTCTTTGAAGAAGTATAAAATATGTATTTTTTAATGCACTTAAAAGAATTTAATATAATTTAATTTTCAAACGTGGGATTTTAGGATGACATTTAAAATCATTATAATAATTGCTTTTTCTATAAGTAGTTTTGTTAAATTTAAATATTTAATGTCCATCCAAACTAGATTTTAAATATTTTATAGTCAATAAAATATTGTATAGGTTAATAATGTTTTTATCAAATGTTAATAACAAAAAAATATCCCTTTAACTTTACCAACTGGTTGCAATAACCTTAAGGTAAATTCAAAGGTTATTTTTAAGGATAATTTAACCAATAATGGTAATATTACTAAAAATCTCCCAGGTGAAAGGTACCAACAAATGGCGTTTTATGATGACAACTTTAGCACTGAATTGCAAAGAGGACCATCAAAGTTTTATTTTGAGATTATCACTGAAAAAATTTGATATATAATTATATAGAAGAATTTCCCGATTCGATAGAAATTTTAGTAACAAAATGGGTAAGAATTGGTTACCTGTATAAAACTACGAGATTTTAAACTTGCTTTACAAAGAGCCATACAGTTTACACCAAACAGTGTCAATTGGTACTTTGTGCCAAAATATTATACATTATACCATTGTTAAATGTATGTTTAAAAGTATTTTAAATTGATTTTAAAGGAAATAAAGAAAAAATAGGCAAAAAAATATTTTTTTGATTTTTTTTATTCTTATTTTTTTAAATCCCATTAAAAATGTATCATTGCTGATATGTTTATTGTAAAATTAAAAAAATTATATTTATTTAAAATTAAAAAGAATTAAAAAAGATATAAAAACATTTAAGAATATTATTTAATTTAGCATATTTATTAAATCACATTTCAAAATTAACATAAAATAACATTATTTATACAACCAATTAAAATTTAAAACATCTTCAAATTAACTAGCCTAAATGTTAAAACTACTGGAGGAGAAAATAAACTGGATCTTTATTCTCAGGGACTTTTTTTAATATCATTGTTACACTGAAAGAAATATATGTTTGTTTTAGCAATGTATGTGGACTACCACATAAAATATATTTACCTTAACCATTTTTATATTTAGTTTTAACATAATATGGTTAAGGCAAATATAAAAATGGTTAAGGTAAATATAATTTATGTTTCATATATGGACTACCACATACATTGCTAAAACAAACATATATTTCTTTCAGTGTATAAATAAAGCCGTGAATTGTATGTAATTTACGTAAACCGCCAAAATTGTATAGTTACTAAAGATGCATATTTTTACGATGGGTCATAATATATATAGCCATTTTTCCCATGGAAATATTATTATTTTCATGAGAAAACTTATTATATTATATGCGGTCTTTTAATCAGAATGATATCATTAATACCTAATTAAATTATGCATGATACTGTTGTTTCTTTGTCTAAGGGTCGTACAGTAAAAATGTGACGGAACCAAAAAAATATTTTTTTCTTGATCTATGCAGAAATATTGCATTTCCAGAAAGATGTACGTTTTTTATTATATCATAACAAACTGATTATATTACAAAAGTAATAATTAAAAATTAAATAAAAAATCCATAAAAATGTATTTTTTATTGTCTACCATAAAATGGATTCGTTTCGTCCAATGTTATGCCTATTAAGAACTTACTTTAAAAGTGGGTTAATTTTTTTTTTATTTCATTCAAATTGTTCAATATGGCGAATTTAAACATGTTTATATTCCTTATTCTTGCTCTTCTGATGTCCAGCAGTGTAAATGCCTATATGCAGTAAGTACATTTAATTTGTCAATAAATAAAGTATGCTTCACAAACAGGTCAAAGTACAAATAAAAAAAATATTTTTATTTTCTTTTAGGGCCAGTGGGCCTGGTGGGCTAAATAAAATTGGTGCTAAAAGAAATGCTGTTCATCCATATTACTCGCATATCAGGCATGGCGATATTCAAATGGCAAACAGGATACCCCCGGCTGTATACGGTACTTTGGCCGGAGGAGGACTTGGATAAAGTTGTTTGAAGAACAAAGTATCTAGATGGTGGTCCAAAACTATCATAAAGAATTTTATATAAATATAATAAATAAATGAAGGATAAATAAATAATATAAAGGAAGGTTGTAAAGTGTAAATTTTACTATGGATCCCTTACTTGAGGAATTGATGGAAAACAAAATAATACACACATTCTCACTTGAAAGTGCTTATGAAGCAATCAAGTTTTTTGCGTGAATTCGCAAACTTCAAATTTTAAAATCATCCAATTAAATATTAGAGGTATAAGAAAAAAATTAACTAAATTAGAAATTACGAATAAATTTGATTGTATAGTTTTATAAGAAACTCGCCAATAAGGGTTCACCGGCAATAGTAATATTTCTTGACCTTGCCAAAGCTTTTGACACTGTAAGCCATAAAAAACTATTAAGTATATTGGAAAACATAGGCATTAGAGGTATACTTTTAAAACTTTTTAATAGCTATTTAGATAAGAGAAACCAAATAGTAAAAATAGGAGTCCCACAAGGTACAATTCTGGGACCTCTACTTTTTATTTTATACATTAATAATTTACTTAGGACCAATATTAAGGGAATCACTATAAGCTTTGCATATGACACGACCGTATTTTATAAAGGTGAAAGTTGGGAATCCCTAAAACAAACTATTGAAAAAGACTTTGTAAAAATTAAGGAATAGTTTGATTACAACCTGCTTACACTTAACACAGAAAAAACAAATTTTATGGCTTTTGGTTTTTATATAAATAGGCTGCCAGAATATAACACTCTTAATTTTACAACATCCGTGGATAAATTTAGCATAAATATTTCTAAGTCGATAAAATTTTTAGGTCTGACAATGGATCCACGTTTAAGATGGGACACACACATGCTAAACTTAAATGAAACGAATTTTGATAAAAAATGTTGCTTTATTAATCAATTTCCAAAAATAACACATTATTCACTACCACCAAATTATGAAGAAATTTTGTACACTATAATTATCAGTACCACTACAACACTTAAGCCTAATTTATAGATTGCCTTCCTTCCTTCCTTCCTTCCTTCCTTCCTTCCTTCCTTTCTTCATTCCTTCCTTCCTTCCTCCAGTAGAAGATTTATAGATTTTTTAAACAGCACAACGGTTTTTGTATTGTTCATTTTCTACGGGAGGAAGAAAGAAAGGAAGGAAGGTCCTGCAAGGTCCTGCAATCGATGTACAAATCAGAGGATCCAGCTCCAAAATTCTTCTATATTTCACACTCTGCGAGGCACAAAACAGAATTTTTATTTATATAAAAAAGAAAATTAATAAAAAAAGAAAACATCAGAATGCACTGTTTGGTAATCGGTAATTGATTAATGCAAGAAGGGGATATGTAATTTAATTCAAAAAGTAATTAAGTGAAAATCAAATATTTGCTGTTGATAGTTGGTTTCTATGGTAAAGTTTTTCGTTTTTGACAGTGGCAGTGACAGTTCTATATGCAGTGTTATTTAAAATCTAAAAATGAGTTGTAAGGTCTACTTTAAAGAAAAAAGTATTACAAAAAAGGTATGGGGGCAAGAAATAAAGCAACAGAAAATATACAGTATGTTGAATGTGGTGTCTTATTTCAATCGGGAAATCATTTCATTGGTTATCTTAGGTGTCCAATATTGTAAAATATATATTCTAACTCAAAGTTATACTATATATACATATATATACGAATTAATGAAAAAATTCTACAAACTCTTTTCTTGAAAATATTGTGCAAATGGTTAAATAGAAAATTTTACTGTACCTACCTACCTATTCAGAAAAATAATATTCAATAATTACTCACAAGAAATGTGGTACTAACCTCACAATGATACACTTCCTAACACTAACTAAAACTGCAAACTAATGATGCAGATTGTAAAAAATATATTCTAACTCAAAGTTATACTACTAGTACTATATATATACTACTAGTACTATATATATATATATACAAATTAATGAAAAATTCTACAAAAGTGTAAGATTTAGATTTCAACTCTTTTCTTGACAATATTGTGCAAATGGTTAAAAAGAAAATTTTACTGTTTCCAAGAAATTATAGAAAATTGACTTAAACAAACTAATTAGAAAAACCATAACGTAGCACATTTATACAAAAGTATGCTCCAATGGCATGTTGCAAAACTTTGCGCAATGTTTTTCATTTTTCTCTGTGTATACGAGAATGACAGATGGATAATTGATAATTTTGGTTGGACACCGACATAGAAATGCCATATAATTTTTCCTAAAATTCACACAGTATAGTAATAAATAAACGATAACATCCCGTGTGGTCTTAGCAACTTTAATAATTTTTAAATCTGAAACCAGACGGTCAATTTTTCCAAAACTTTGTGGAAGACTCTTCTTAAGGAGGCCATTAAAGTCTAATTATGAAATTAAGTATTTCAATATAATTTAAATGATTATGCTATATTTGTTCATACAGACACAAAGAAAATTTTAAAAATGCATAATAAATTTTTCACATTTTTACTCATGATGTCCGCGAGTGATATGGATGAACGGCATTTCTTTTAGAACCAATTTTATTTACCCCTTGAACACCACCACGACTGGCCCTAAAAGAAAATAAAAATATTTTTTTTTATTTGTACTTTGACCTGTTTGTGAAGCATACTTTATTGATTGACAAATTAAATGTACTTACTGCATAAAGGCATTTACACTGCTGGACATCAGAAGAGCAAGAATAAGGAATATAAACATGTTTAAATTCGTCATATTGAACAATTTGAATGAAATAAAATAAATTTAAACCACTTTTACAGTAAGTACTTTTTAATAGGCATAACATTGGACGAAACGAATCTATTTTATGGTAGACAATAAAAAATACATTTTTATGGATTTTTTATTTAATTTTTAATTATTACTTTAGTAATATAATCAGTTTGTTATGATATGATAAATACCGTGCATCCTTCTGGAAATGCAATATTTCTGCATACATCAAGAAAAGTATATTTTTTTGGTTCCGTCACAGTGGAAGGAAGGAAGGAACTAAGGAAGGCAATCTATAAATCAGGCTTAAGTGTTGTAGTGGTACTGATAATTATATTGTACAAAATTTCTTCATAATTTGGTGATTTCCGAATAGTGTGTTATTTTTGGAAATTGATTAATAAAGCAACATTTCTTATCAAGATTCTTTTCATTTAAGTTTACGCCAGTAGTAGGCAACCAATGTTACAAGACTTAAAATTAACAAATATTTTTTTACTGTGTAGATTGGGTGATGATGATTCAGCAAACATATACCCAAAGCGTGATAAATGAATGAGTATGAGTATGAGTATAAGAGACGTATAACCAGCCCCATTTCCTCTTGACTCTCGAACCCCGTACAGGCCTATGTTTACTTACGCCGATTTTTGTTCTTCCCCAGCAACTGCACGGCTTCACCCGTGTTTGCTGGGTGCGAATGTCCATTGCGTTACGTACTGTCCCCTATTTGGGGCTCGAGAGCGAGAGGCGAATAGTTATAATAGCCATTCCCGGGTTCGCCGAGCCTATGCTATACGCTCGGTGGGGTATGGATGAGGGACGGGAGGGAGTTGGTTTTTGGGGGACAATTACGCCGACTTAAAACTAAGTACGACGCGGAATCCCCCTAGACCAGTCGATTAGTATTACTCCAAACATTTGGGATCACTATTTGGAGTTGGGGAGTTGTTATTTCGCTGCAGGGGTGTAGTTTCCTAGTCGATGTCTTTGTCTTGTTCGTTATTGTCATTGTCCGTGTCCTGGTCAGATAGTTCCTGCCCTTGGTAAAGTGTGTCAGTTGTTTTTAATAATTTTTGTCCCAAGCACGTTTTGTGGTAGAGTTCCGTCTTTGTTTATCAAATTCCAAAGCATTGCATTTATTCACTAGTCAAACAAATCACAAGCGCGATTATTCTGTTGTCTAATGTTTACAAACTCGAGTTTGGCTATTAGGCCCTTTTTTTTAATGTGTTAGAATTTTGTTCAATGTTAGTTTACTCTGTCAGTCCAGTGTTTATTTTCCGGCTCGATTGGGTCCGCCTTACGCATTTGCTGTTGACAGACTTATTGCCCCACGCTGCGTGGCCTTCTTAGGTTTTAAAGATATCCCACCATTAACATTGCCCGTGTAAGAATTTTTAACACTTTTTAATACAATTTTGCAATGATAGTAATTAAAAACAAAACAATTGTTTAAAGAGTAAAATATGTTCTTAACATAATCATATTTTAAAGTCATTTTAACATTTTCAAGTAAAATAAATGTTATGTTTAATGAAATGAATACGGGCAATGTTAATGGTTAATGTTTATATTGCAGATTTGTATCAGGTCATGCATACTCTTAAAGTAAAACTTATCAGATTTTTCCCCTTGCGGATGGCCACCTCCCCTCTTCTCCGACCTCCCCCGTCCGTCCAGTGAAAAGCCTCCAATGACAGGTGGCACCCAAGTCATTCATATCACCCAACACTCCACTCCTCAATGACCGTTACCCCATTTTAGCTTGCACTCCATGAAAATGTTTGTTTCACTTATCAGTTCGCACCCCTTTTTTTTTTAATTATTGTTGGTTTCAACTTTAAACTTTTACGTTTCAAGAGCTCACCCGCACGCGAGTCGCGAGCATTGCGTGATAAATGAATTATAAATAAATGAACCATCAGTGATTTTTTTTTGTTTTTACCTTCTATTATAAACAATTCTATTTACATTGACTAAAGCTAAACTTATATTTATATAAAATTATGTATGATAGTTTTGGACCACCGTCTAGATACTTTGTTCTTCAAACAACTTTATCTAAGTCCTCCTTGCAAAGTGGCTATCAAAGCCGAGTTAATCCTGTTTGTGGTTTTAATATCGCCAAAACTCACAATTGGCCGATATCCGTTTTCATCCGCCACATAGGTAACTTTGAGTATCAGATCCTGATCGGGGTATACAGTGATGTAGGTGCCATTTACTGAAAAGGTTACAACTTCTCCTACTTTCTTAAGGGTTCCCTCTTCTTTATGCCTGATGCCGTTGTCGGTTTCATACCTAAAAAGTAAATATGATTTAGGTTTTTTTCCTAGTTTTACTAGAAATAAGAGTTATATGAAGCTCTAATACCTAATAGGTATAAAAAACGTACACTGTATTAAAAGTGTCTACAAAAACTAAAGAAATAATGGTAAAATACCTAAAGTACAAAATTTCCTGATTATCTGCGTCGCATTAATTGAACTAAAGAAATGGTCTTACAAAAAAACATTTTGCTACTAAAAGAACCAGCTCTTCTTTCATGTCCTTATTATTAAAGAAAAATTCAAAAGTTTGTGGTTTTTAAGAATTTCGTAAAAATTAATGAGTTGATAATGATACTGCCAAACGGGAAATCAGACTTATTCAAAAATACAACCAATAACCTAGAAGAAATGTAATATATTCTTCGCCATTACAGTTAAAAAACTGAAAATTCGATTACGAATTTGCTAGTAATAGCCAAAAAAGGTGTGATATAAATAAAACATTATTTTAGTTAAAATATTTGTATTGATACATAAAACAACCTAAATATTAGAAAAATGGTGTATACCTTTTTTCTTCTAATAATTCAAAAATATTGCTATGTGGCTTGATTTTAATTGAAAGATCTGTTTACTAACTAAAACTTTTACAAAACATTATTATATCTTTGTTTCTTATCCTAATCCAGTTCCAACTAATGACTCTGTCGCAATAAGTCCTTGATTAAAATAATGAACTTTACCATGATCTTCATTCATATCCCAAGATTCTGTTCCAGGCATTCCAAAAGAAGTGGTGGACCTACAATTTTAAAAAATGTGGTTAGATATATTAAATAAAAAAAAATTGTGTACAAAACTTAACCAACTTACTATATAATATTAAAAGTCTGTTTACATGTACGAGGTGTGTTCAGAAAATATCGGAAATTTTCGTTTTTTGAAACAAATATTTATTTATTCGTCTACATTAATGTTGTCGCCTTCAAAATAGTCCCCATTGGATATTATGCACATGTGCCAGCTCTTCTTCCAATACTCGAAACACTTCTAAAACTCGATCTTTGGGATAGCCTTTAGTTCTTTCAGCGATGCGCTTTTAATGTCATCTATGCTTGCAAAACGACGGCCCTTTAAGGTTCTCTTTATTTTTGGGAATGGGAAAAGTCAGACAGAGGCATGTCCGGCGAATATGGAGGCTGGGGCATCATTACAGTATTGTTTTTGGACAAAAATTTTGTTCAAAATTTAACAATTTTGGAACAAATTTTGCTGCCACGATTTTCATACCCAAAACATTCCAAAAAATTTCATGGGATGAGCCAATCGATATACCAACATCATCAGCGACTTCTCTGATGGTTTATAATCATTTCTTCCACTTTTTCCATGTTTTTATCGGTTGTTAATGTGCTTGTGCGTTCGGGGCGTTCGTCATCTTCAACGTCTTCACGGCCATCTTGGAAACACTTATACCACTTGTAAACTCTTGTTTTACTTATAACAGACTCACTATAGGCCTTTGTTTACATTTCACAGAATTTATTTCATTTTTTAAGCAAAATTGGATACAAATTCTTTGATTCATTTCTTTTAACGAACGAAAATCGCCGAGCTCATAAAACACGTCTAACCTTAGCGGCTGCCACAGACAAAGTAAACGATGAAAACAGCTAAAGTTTTTATCATACTTTGGGGGCATGTATACCAACATAATAAATAAAATTTTATGACAACCGGACCCTCCGAAGCCGCGAAATTTATCAATTCCTGTTAATTTCTGAACACACCTCGTACTTGGGGCAGCTTTGAATTAGTAACACAAAAAAGTATTACTTATATAATATATATTTTATAGTATTTTAAAGATAAATCAAATATTTTTCTATAAAAACTAATATTACAGTTGAAGTTATAATATACAGTATAGGAACTTTAAATAGTGAATCTAGACTAGAATTATTAAAAATTATTTCGACTTCTTATCATTTTATTTTCCCAGTCCTCCTCCATTCAATGAAGCTATCGCAGCTGAAGAGATAAAGGAGTGGAATTCAGGAATGGGTTTCACTGTCCCCTTTGAAAATTTCTTCATGCGATATCCCTTTTCATCGGCGATATATTCCACGTGTTGTAGGTGTCCCAATGGGTCTATGTACGAGTAGGCTCCCGATACCACCCAGATTTTTTCGTTGTTTACCGTTTTGAAACCACCGCTTTCCTGACGTGTTAGACCGTTCGAGTCTTGGTACCTAGAAAATGCACATTTTTTAACATTTAAATTTTTAAAGAATTCAAAAAATATATTTAATGTCATGCCTATGAATTTAGTTTGTTAAAATATAACGTACATGCATGTTATAGGGATCAAGTACTTTTACTGGCTGACATTTGCTTTTCTCCAATATGTTGCATAACTTGTTCTACAGTTTGCACAATTTCAGTTGTTAAGGCACTGATTTTATTTAAGTATTGTTTTTCAGTTTAAAAATGTTAGAGACCTGACTTTACGGCCCTGGTGTTCAAATCGTTGTGTTTATTTATTTTGGTGAGCAGAGAGATGGTCAGCGCTTCGTTGTGTTGCGATTTAGCTTACTATTTTGTCGCGTGCATTAAAAAAATCGATATGTATCATTAAATTCTTTTCCTACCTTTCACAAAAAACTTTTGAGAAGAATACAGCGTTTTGAAAATCGCAAGATTCAAAACGCTTCGATTATCTTGAAAAGAGATCGTGACGTCACGATTTTATAACAGATTTGTCAAAAATTACGAATGAATCCAACATAATATGTACTACCCTAATAACTATTATTATTATTATTATTTTGACTAATTCATTTTTAAAGAGTAGGAAAAAGCGGTTTTTTAAAAATATGTGTGTTCAGAAAATAACGGGAATTGTTAAAATTCGCGGGTTCGGAGGGTTCGGTAAAATTTTCTGTATTATGTTGGTATATATGTATCCAATTTTGCTTAAAATAAATTCTGTGAAATGTTAACAAAGGCCTATATTGAGTCTGCTATAAGTAAAACAAGACTTTACAAGTAGTTTAAGAGTTTCCAAGATGGCCGTGAAGACGTTGAGGATGACGAACGCCCCGAACGCACAAGCACATTAACAACCGATAAAAACATGGAAAAAGTGGAAGAAATGGTTATAAACCATCAGAGAAGTCGCTGATGATGTTGGTATATCGATTGCCTCATCTCATAAAATTTTTTGAGTATGAAACGCGTGGCAGCAAAATTTGTTCCAAAATTGTTAAATTTTGAACAAAATTTTTGTCCAAAAACAATACTGTAATGATGCCCCAGCCTCCATATTCGCCAGACATGCCTCTGTCTGACTTTTTCCTATTCCCAAAAATAAAGAGAACCTTAAAGGGCCGTCGTTTTGCAAGCATAGATGACATTAAAAGCGCATCGCTGAAAGAACTAAAGGCTATCCCAAAGATCGAGTTTTAGAAGTGTTTCGAGTATTGGTAGAAGATCTGGCACATGTGCATAAAATCCAATGGGGACTATTTTGAAAGCGACAACATTAATGTAGACGAATAAATAAATATTTGTTTCATAAAACGAAAATTCCCGATATTTTCTGAACACACCTCGTAATAAATAGTGTTGTTGATATTATTATTGTTTTAAAATGAAATGTGATAAATGTTAAACCTACAATTAAGAAACCCTTAAAATTTAAATACTTGGACTTACCTCTTCAGAAGAAGATGAGATCGCAACTTTAAACAATATATTTTTAGTAATTATTACTAGTAAAGCCTTGAACTGACACGTTTAAAAAACTTTTTTCAAAGGATTCTATATCCACACTTGGTGTCTTGAGTAATAGATATTTTAGTTTTTCTATTTATTTATGAAGTAATTTATAATGATCTTCAATGATAAATTGTATTTCTTACGTTACGAGGTGTGAATATTTTTATTGTAATTGTATAAATTCATTTTAGAAAAAAAATTAAAAGTCAGTGGTGTACGTTTAAATAAACACATAAAACATATATGCATTGCAAAATTAGTATTTTTAAGTTAAAAATATATATATTTTTAAGTTTTAAAAAACGAATTTCCAAAAACGCCACTGTGCATATGTTCTGGTTTCCAAACTAGATAGTTAAGTAGGTAGTTTAAATAATTTATAAAGAAGATTAAATATTAATTAAATAAACAAGGCAATTACAAAATTCTTTATAAAACTATAAGATAAAAGGTATAATTTCAAGGATATTATATAATAGGTACTTCTGAACATTTTTTTTATTTCGATAGATTTACTAATGCATGTGTTATTTTTGAGATACATACACCACTGATATTTTTACTTCTAAACACCATAGTTTTGTAGAAAATTGTCTACATATTTAAAGTACACAATATTATATACAGGGTGATCCATTTAACTTGAAACAAAATAAAACCAAGTATTTTATTCAAAAATTATTGGAGAATCGTATACAGAAGAAAATTCGAACAAAATTGATTTTTTTGCATATTAACTGGGATATTTTAAAGTTTTAACATTGAGTAAAGTGTGTTCTTTACTCAATGGTTTTAAGTTAAATGACTCGCTCTGTATATATATTAGGGTGTTTCAAAAAAAATTAAAATACATTTGTTTTCTAATGGTGTTGAAAAATTATTAGTACATTAAAAAACAAAAATTTTGGCGCATATTTGAGCCCTTAATATTAATATTAAGGTTTGCCTCAATTCATTTGTAGTTTTTCCATTTCAATAACACGGGAATTTTTATTTTTTTAATTTTGAATTCTTATAACTTTGGAATTGTTTGTTTTCGCAATACCCAAGCGAGAGGTTTTATAGACAATTTCACGCTCTACAAAAAACATCTGAAGGTCAAAGTTCTTCAGATCAACCGTTTCGAAGATATCAGCGATCAAAAATAACACTAATGAAAAATTTCAAATATTTTCAAATAAAATACAAAAATAGTATCATATTGCCATATTTATATTTTTTTTTATGTAAAATCACTTTAATTCTGTTAATCTGAGACTGTAAACTTTTTTTATTTATATACATTACACCATTAGAAAAAAAAAATATATATATAATATATATATATATTATAAATATATATTAATGTATATAAATATATAAATTTCTTACTCAAATTTGTATCCATCCGGCCGCACATCATTCTCATATTTAACAATTTTGGCATCAGCATCGGAATCGAGCGGTCTGCATTGGCACAAATAAATTAAAACCGTGATCAACAACACTCTCAGAAGCATTTTAACGTTTCATGTGGTTTACACCCATCTGAAAATTTAACTAGGTAGGTACCTACTCGAAAACAACTGAAGAATCACCGCGATACAGTGGCGGGTGTTTAGCATTCACCTGTGTCTAGTATTTGCAAACCTTGGATTTGGCTTATTATAAATAATTGCTTTGTTGTAATACCTTCTAAGGACTTCTAAAGCCGTGATTTTTAATTGTGTTTTTTATAACTTTTATTAAGATGAATGCAAGATTAATCTTTAATTAAGTTTAATTGATTATTATATTAATAATTGCACAAGTGAACTATGGAATAGTAAAAAAACCTTCACATTATAATTCATTATATTGGGTATTTTTTAATTAGGTATTAAAGGTAAAGAAAATATTCTCTATTGGTTATATTTAAAACTATCACAGTGTTCATTGACTAAACTCGAGTTTACAATGTTGCCAAATTTAAAATTATACCATTTAAACTTAATAGTATATTACACTTTTTTTAGGCAAATACTTAATATTATCTAAAATATTATTTAAATATGATGATGTTTTTTATATTTTTATAATTTCTATAATTTTAAAATTTTATCACAAAGTAATAAAAATTCTTACATGGCAAATGTTAAAGGTACAAAAAGTGACAGTTGTATTTAATGGAATTTTTCAAATTTCAAATTTTTCTGTGTAAATCAAAATTTGTCCCTTGAAAATAGACTAGCAATCAATATAGAAGCATTTTTTCACAGTAAAAGAAAAAATAATGTTTTATAGGCACTGTACGTTTTTTGTATTGAAATACAAAAATAATTTTCACATTTAGTAATATTTTATATGGTAATATATGACATTCTACAACTGTCAACTAACTTGATCCCGTGACTAAAGCACCATTAAGCCACAGCCTATCAATAAGAATTGTCAACAATACATTTAAAGCATACGAACTGTATCATTTTTAAATAAATAGGTAGTTTTTTTAAAAACGAAAGTCTTACTCCACAAATTTTGTTCAATTGCACAGCTAAATCGCGCACGTTATTTGTGTTTTACGTTGCAAGGAAAAAACTAAAAAACTGGTTTAGTACTCGATTTCGATAGATTATTCTTTATATCATTGATAAAGAAACTCAACGCTTAAATGCTCATATAGTTACGTTAGTGTGTATATTGGTGCAGAATTAACTAATGATAACTTTACCTAATATAATTTGTATTTAAGTTTGAACATTTTTAAGAAATTAGTAAAAAATAATTTTTGCACAAACATAACCTTAAAATCAACCATTTTTATATTTAAGTTCTCTAAAAAACGCCGACTGCATTTTAAACAACAAAATATACCTATGAATTCATGGCAACATAATATTATATATAATACATAATATAATGGTATTTTACCGTTGAGTAAAGAATTCTTAATCAACGCTTTTAATAATGCTAAATGCTGTTTAAATTTAGACGACTTATTTGTTTGACGATTATTACTGAACTGAAATGTTTACACTTTTCACGTTAATCATTACTAAAATATGTATTTTTAGTTTTTAGCTCTAAATGTTATAGCTGTTTTCAAAAAATGTATCAAAAATTTAATTTTTAAACTAGGTACTGAAAAAAATGGTAGAAGTAAAACAAAACATAAAACATATTTTGTATTTCAAAAAATATTTACAAACTTAATTCAAATTGGCCTTATTGTCCCTTAAACCTTTCTTCAATTTTAACTTGTGGGTTAGCTTCTATATATTTTAGAGCTCTCTGGATTGCTGGGGGGATAGGTGGAGGGGTGGGCAAATGCTCCCCTGAAAATAATAACATAAATACATAAAATTTTAACACTTATGTCAAAAAACAAAAAACTGTACCTTGTGGTTGAAATCCTAACTCATTTGCGACATATTGTACAGAAATGGGTGTGCCATCATCGGCCACGTAAGAAAATGATCCTTGAGCTTCCAAAATAGGTTCTGGGGATCCTGGTTTTAATTGTCCCGTTTCCTGAGCCTGGATTTTATTTTCCGTCTCGTAACTAAAATTAATATATTTAATGTTTTTTGACCAAAAAAATGTCAATAAAAAATACCTCCATTGATATGAACCATCAGGGCTGATATCTGATTCCTGCTTCAAAATTTTTATTTCTTGCCCAGGGTTTTGAGCGAAGGTTAAACCCATTATGAATAATAGTAATATCTAAAAAAAATTGTTATCATATTTTGTTTTAAAAACGAAATAATTGAAAAAATAATATTTTTTTAAATATTTTAAAAGTCAATTTTATTTGAAACAAACAATTATTTTTGCCATTTAGTCAAGAATTTAATTTAGACACGAGCGAGCTTACGAGCGAGTTTTTAATTAAATGAGTGCCTAGAAAAATTTATAAACAAGTTGCATACTATGCTTTTTCCACGACAAATACTTAATATTATCTAAAAAATGATTTAAATTAAATATTTGTATAAAACGACATCTACAGTACCATCCCAATAAACATTTGACGGAATTTTCACCATTAACATTTCCCGTTACAATTTTTATTAAACTAACAATTATTGATACTTTAAAATATTAAAATAATTACAAAATATGATTATGTTAAGAAAATATTTTATCCTTTGATTTTTTTTTATTACTATAATTGAACAATATTATCACAAAGTATTAAACATTATTACAGGGAAATGTTAAAGGTACGAAAAATGACGTTAAAACCTCAAATTTTTCTGTGTAAATCAAAATTTATCGCTTGAAAATAGACTAACACAGCCTGTGACTAAAAACCTGTAGCTAACTTCAGCCCGTAACTAAAGCGCTGAAAAAATAAATTATACAAAGTTATTCAAAGTCCTGTTTAAAAAATAATAAAATATAAAGTTTTTTAGCCACATTTTTAGACAATTTACAAAATTTTGTAAATTTATCTATCTGATTTAAAAACAAAAGCTGATTAAACAAAATTATGGTTATTTTAGAAAAATAGTTAACCCCTATAACTTTAAAAAATACTTAACTACTCTCTAAAAATGAATTAGTCAAAAATTACTAATTTAATAGTTATTAGTTTTAATTTTCCATTTAATATGGAATTGACTATATCTCAAAAACTGCTCCACTTTCATAATTTTTGACGGTATTTTCTGTTTCAGGGGACAATATTACATAAGAATTGGCTGTTAAATTTTGGGATACCATGGTATTCCACAAGTGAAAAAGCAGCCACTAATAACTATTAAATTAGTCATTTTTGACTAATTCATTTTTAGAGAGAACTTATCCTATAACACCCACTATAAACAAAAATGAATAAAACCTAATTAAACTCACCACAGATTCCATGATTTAGGCGAAAACCTAACTACAGTAGATGCACAATGATTGAGTTGACCTGAAAGATTTTCGTTATATACAAGAATGGGGGTATGTGTATCTTAAGGCGATGTGTTGGGTCGGTGATATAATAATATCTTCACCATTTATTAGTGTTTATAGCATTGCAAGACGAGTTCAAATAGGTTCAAAGACTGAAACGCAAAATCAGTGTCGCGTCGAAATTTTTATGATGAATCTTTGATGCTTTCCCAGTGTTTATATAGCTTTAAAAGAAAAAAAAATAAGAGAATATATAAGTGTTTTATAGTATTCACCCATTAGTTATTTAATTAAAATAATTATTATGTTTGAATCTCATGCATGGTCATTTACGTAGTAAAAATTCCACAACAAAAAATTTTTTCTACGCTTATGGTTAATACTACTTTAAGATGATTATAGGTTAATTACAAAAATGACATTGACTTAAAAATTATTACCTACTTTTGCAATATTTACCAATATAAACAAATTTTTCGTAAATTTTTAAATATACCTATTATTTAAAAAATATATTATATAGATAGATACGACACTGCCTATTATAAATATTATATAGAATCCAATGCATGATGCAACTTTCTTTTGTTTTTATAGATCTTTGTATAAATAAATAGACACAGGTCTATGTAATAGGTTAACTAAAGAGATTTTTTAGTACACTAGTAGTTAAGCCTAATTATTTTTTAATGGGGCAATTATTTACATTTTTAATGTTTATTTTTGTATTTACTTTATTAATAATTTCTTATGTCCTCAGTCGGTAATAATATAGAACTACTTTATTTTGGGTCCAATATAGGACAAAAAAGTTCGCACGTTACTTTGGTGGTAAGATTTTTGTTTTTTTGTTAAGAGCAGGGCTGTGTTTAAATTACAATAAAAAATATTTCTAAAAATTGTACAGATCAGTGTGTGGTATAAATGTGTTCCTCATGGTTTAAACATTGTCACTTTAATGCGTTTTAATTTTAATTCTGAAAACAAACAGTAAAATGGCCAGTGTCCAATTACTGGTTGGTAAAAAATGTTAATTTATATTATTGGACAAATGTCCAATATCATACTCTATTTATATCCCGGACATTTACCAGCCAATTCTTATGCAAACTTGTCCCCTGAATCCGAAAAGACCGTCAAATACTATAAAAGTTAAGCAGTTTGTGAGATATAGTCAATTCCATATTATATGTAAAATTGATTATATTTCAAAAACTGTTCTACTTTTATAACTTTTGACGGCATTTTCGGATTCAGCGAATAATATTTCATAGGAATTGACTGCTAAATGTCCTGGATACAAATTGCTGTTGACGAGAATTATTGGTAGCTGCTGTTTCGCTATGACATTTTTGTCTAATTAATTTTTAGAGAGTAAGTAATATAGTGATTTCTTCGTCACAGGGCATCTTGCAGAATAACAGTGATTTAAATACAGTGCATGATAGAAAACATAAAAAACTAATGGCAACAAAATTAATAAATTCGGAAAATACTTTTAAAATACCACCCGAAAAAATATTAGATATAGTATATAAATCATCCTGTTCCGGCCTAAACATTATTCTTCAAATTGTTTCATAAAAAATTAATAATATGTACCCAAAATACAAGATTTTAAAGTTTTATTTTTTTTTTCGATAATTTTTCAACGTATTGTATTTCTCGTCTCCATAAACCCCCAAATTCTTATTTCCGGCCTAAACATTAAAAAATGCTTCACAAACTAGAGATATAATGATATTTGCAACAAACTATTTCAGAAGTCAGACCAAGGAATTAGTAGTTACCTTCAGAATCCAGAAAAGGGATTAGGAATCCGAGAAAGAAATATATGAATTATATGATATTTACAAAAACGAATTAAAAAAAATACCCAAAACAGCAATTTATCTTTAAAAAATATTTAACAATTTATGTTATATGCTTGTAAAAAATCTTCTTTAAATGCAATCTCAAAATATAATTGTCTAATTGTCCAAAAATAAATTGCATAAACGATTTTCTCTTCCAAGGTTTTCTGCCCACCCATCATTGACATTTAAAAACAAAAACACACATAATCCTCTAAGCATTTCTAAAATTAAAATCCCATATTTGGAAATACCTCTGCAGTTACTATTATTATATGTACATCATTGCAAATTGCCGACTACACCTTAATTTAATTTTGCGAAACACAAAATTGCTCAATTATTAAGGTCAAAACTCTTTAAACAAAAAAACATCAAATCAATTCTTATTCAAAATTGCATTATTTATCACAGTTTCTTTGTACGGTTCATGTCAACATGTGGGTGATATGAGTAAAACAAAACAAATGAAAAATTTACAACCAAAAGTGTACTTACTAAGTGAAGGTTTGAAATTGACCAATTCCAGTGGTAGTTCAAATATACAAAAATGATGTGAACAAGCCCTTATAATTTGACACGTTAAAGGTTGGTTATAGCTGGCCATACACAGACGTTATTGCGCGCGGTTTATCGTGTTATATGCAAAAACATTTGGAAAATCATGTACGTGAGTGAGTATGATACTCAGAGTATCGCCGCGCGCAATGATAGAACGGGAAGGGATTTCAGACGTGCTTTCCTCTGGAGTGTGGAGTGTCCACACGCCACATTCCGCGTCACGGTTTACCTTGGCTTGGCAAAATTTTACGTTGAAAATTTGTACATGATCACATGCAGTTTCAAACGACTCGAATGACACTTTTTGCCCACTCACATACGATTTTTTCTTTGAAACTGATATACCACGGGCAATCACTTGCTAAATCATTTGAATACTTTATCAAGTATATGGAACATGACGCTTTTTTTGCCATGCCGTTCTTTCGTGCATACTAACCGCTACATCCCAACACGCCACGATAAACCGCGCGAAATAACGCCTGTGTATGGCCAGCTTATTATATGTTTAAACTGACAAAGCTTGATAGTCTTAGTGCGTCCAAATGTTAAGGCTCGTTCACACCATTTGTATGTATTTGAACTACCACTGGGATTGGTCAATTTGAAACCTGTTTATTTGCCAAGAAGAGGTTTTTTACCACCATTAGCACTTTTCCAAAAACAAGCAAAAGGTTAAAACTTCACTAAAAATATTATTTCTTATTCAAAATTGCATTATTTATTACAGCTTCTTTATACAGTGGTAAATATCTCACAGAACATGTGGGGACATGCCATAAACACAGAACAAGTTATAATGTATCAATAAATAGGCCTAAGAAAATCCAGGTTATCCTCTAGCATTGAAGCTACCTCTGGCTTGACCACCATCGTCCTCTTCTGGATGGGCTGCATTGTAAGCCAAAGCTCTTTGGATGGCCTCTGGTATCGGAGGTGAGGTGGGCAAATGGGCACCTAAAAAAATTTAGAATGTATTGATTTTTTAAACATTTAATACCATTTAAATAAGTTTAGTAATGTCATTACCCTGGGGTTGGAATCCACCCTCATTGGCAACATATTGCAGCGAGATGGGTGTACCATCAGGGGCAGTGTACGAGAAATCACCCTGGGCGTCCATTATACCACCTTCGGGACCCTGACCCTTCACTTGACCCCTCTCTTGGGCTCTGATACCGTTTTCAGCTTCATAGCTAGCAGAGGAAATAAGTTGTTATACTATCATATATTTTAAAAACACGTGTCAGAAATAATAGTTGACAGATGTCAAAAATGACGGGTGACAGATGTCAAAAATAATCTATAACAGATGTCAAAAAATTGAAACACAAAAGTTTAAAAGGTTTAAAGGGGTAATTTTTTCTGATAAAGCAAAAAATCCCGGAGCATTCACCATTTTTGCAACTAAATGCAATGGTGGGTTTACATTAAAGTGATCAGATTCTGTCAAAAAATAGCGGGAAATTTTGTGTAAATTAACCTTAATTACAATTTGCATTGTATCATTGTGTCAATTTTGTAATTAAGGTAAATTTTGTATGAATGTCTCTCTATTTTTTGACAGAATCTGGTCACTTTAGTTTACATTTACGAAAAACTTTTTTTTATTAATAAGAAGATAAACTTTGCGAGTTTTTGGTAGTTTTGTGAAAATTAAGTTTAAAATGCATATCTTGAAAAAAACTCTCAGACTATTGTTTTAAAATTTTTGGAAAAATTGAGCCGGTAAAAAAAAACGTTTATCCGAAATCGGCAGTAAAGTAGTCAACAATCGGCAGTAAAGTAAAAGAAATCGGCAGTAAAGTAGAACTTTACAGCCAATTTAATACGAGTATTGTATGCAACCCATAATACATTTTAAGACGTGTCTACTGCTTCTCAGCAGCAACTAAATAATATTAAAAAAAAGCACCGTCGCGTCGCGAAGGTCGATTGGACCCTTTCATAAAAATAATAAGTTAATTTTATTAATTAGATTAAAAAATCGCCGCGGCGGGCAAATATATCATAACCGTCGCAACAAACAGTATACGTAGACACTTCCTACATTCAAATGACATTTGATTTGATTATCAATATTAATTATTAGTATTATTAAATGTGATTTCGGATAAAATTTAATATGCACCTCGGCATTAAAGTCATTTTTTATCACTTACGTGGTTATTTGCCTCGGCTTTCGCCTTGGCAAATAATTTCCACATTCGTGATAAAAAATACGACTTTACTGCCTTGGTACATAAATAAGTATTTATGTTTTAGAAAAAAACGGAAAATTTAGTAAATTTTCAGAAAAATTGACTTTTTCATTTTATTCAAAGGGTAATACGAACAAAATGCATTTTTTCTGAAAATTTACAAATTTTTACGGATGCTATCCGTACACTGATATCGAGAAAAAAGTGTATTTAACTAATTCTTAAAGTGTGACCTATTTGTTTGCGACTCACCCCTGTAAAATCTTTATTTATTTTTAACCGGATTTGTTTTAAAGTGTAGATCTTTATAAACTATAACATGGTACTATTACTATAAGTTTAATTTTATTTCAATGTTTTTTTCATGGATAACTTTTTGTAGTTATTATTGTGCATTTTTCTACTTAAAATTTTTCTATAAATTTTGAGGGGTGGTGAATCCAGTGCCGTGCTTAGATTTTGTTTAAAAAAATCGCTAATATGAATTCTTAAAAATTTACTCTTAAAAACTGACATAATAGGCGTTGTATTTTGTACGAATATGGCGTTTTTTGCTTTAAAAATACAGTTTATCAAGATCTACCTACACTTTAAAACAAATCCGGTTAAAATCGCACAATAAATAAAGATTTTACAGGGGAGTCGCAAACAAATGGGTCACACTGTATATTTTCTTAAATGAATTTAATTTAATTCAATTTTGTAGGAAAGAATTTTTTTTTAATTAAAATAATGTTAAGTTGCTCATTGCTACTTTTAAAAATGTGTAGATTTTCCCAAAAAAAACAATTTTTTCAAGACCTGGGAAAAGAACGGAAAAACAGTTTTTTCCAATTTTTCCTTTTTTTCGAACTTCAAAACAGTAGATGTGACATATGTACCTAATTTCTTTAGGAAAATTTAATATCGTACCTCCATTGGTATGATCCATCAACATTTGGCCCATCTTGAGTCTGTGAAATTATCCTTATAATTTGTCCGGAGGGTCCTGGTGGTTGAGGTCTAAATGCGCCCCTTTGTGGAGCACATGTTGAATATCCTAAAATTGCTACAAATATCACCTAAAAAAATTGTATTTATTAGTTTATACTCCTACATACTATAACATTTTATAAGTACAGTACTCATATAACATTACACCTTGAAAAGACGTTTTGACAGCTTAGTATTAAAATACTAAAATACGATTAAAATTAAATAAAGTCATATTTAATAAGCTAAGCTCGTGCGTTACAACATGTAATTAGGAATAAATAAACAAGTATGGATAATTGGGAAATTAATATGTTTATGCATGTAATTATAACACCCACTATAATGGGTTTTACATTTGATATGAGGCTTGGGGCTCATAAAATTCCTAAACGATTTTAACAACTTTTTTAAAGGATCTAAGTTTGCAATTAACAAAATAATTTATTCAAAAGTAATGATACACATATCAGCAGCATATTCTTTAAATTGTTTCATAAAAAATTAATAATACCCAAAATACAAGATTTTAAAGTTTTATTTTTTTTCCGATAATTTTTCAACGTATTGTATTTCTTGTCTCCATAAACCCCCAAATTATTATTTTTACAACCTGTATCTTGGTTATAATCAACTTTTGGATAAGGTAAGGTGGTACAATTTTTAAAAAAGTTAAGTTTGTTAAGTATATGGCAAAACTTTGTAAAACTGCCAAGAACATTTAATTCATTATAAAATAATTACAATACATCATTAAATTAAAAAATTAAATAAAAAAGAATCTTAAAATTTAAAATATATATACAGGGTGTTTCACATTCATGGTCCATTAGAAGTTTCTGGGGAACGAAAAAATAGAAATAGAAATAGAATACCCCATATATTTTTACATTTTTAAATTTTTTATAAAATTCTAAGTAAAAATTCAGTATTTTTGGTTTTATATTAAAAATTTATAAATTGTTTTAATATTTTTCGACAATATACTATATATACAGGGTGTAAAAAAATATTCAATTTAAATTTGAAATAAAAAATACTTGTGTCGCTGAATTTCATATGGGGTAAAGTAGACAGTTATCGCACACTTCATGGTGATTGGACAATTAACATTAATATTGTATAAACAAGAGTTCTACAAATAGTTACCTCAAAGTCAAATCATTAGATGACGCTGTATACAATTATAACTATCTCAGTCGGTAATAATATAGAACTACTTTATTTTGGGTCCAATATAGGGCAAAAAGTTTGCACGTTACTTTGGTGGTAAGATTTTTGTTTTTTTTTTGTTAAGAGCAGGGCTGTGTTTAAATTACCATAAAAAATATTTCTAAAAAGTGTTTAGATCAGTGTGTGGTATAAATGTGTTCCTCATGGTTTAAACAATGTCACTTTAATGCGTTTTAATTTTAATTCTGAAAACAAACACTAAAATGGCCAGTGTCCAATTACTGGTTGGTAAAAAATGTAAATTTCTATTATTGGACACAAGTCCAATATCATACTTTATTTGTATCCCGGACATTTACCAGCCAATTCTTATGTAAAATTGTCCCCTGAATCCGAAAAGACCGTCAAAAACTATAAAAGTTGAGCAGTTTTTGAGATATAGTCAATTCCATATTATATGTAAAATTATATTATAGATAGATTATATTTCAAAAATTTTCCACTTTTATAACTTAAAACGACATTTTCGGATTCAGCGAATAATATTTCATAGGAATTAACTGCTAAATGTCCTGGATACAAATTGCTGTTGACGAGAATTATTAGTGGCTGCTTTTTCGCTATGTCATTTTTGACTAATTCATTTTTAGAGAGTAAGTAATAAAGTGATTTCTTCGACACAGGACATCTTGCAGAATAACAGTGATTTAAATACAGAACATAAAAAAGAAATGGCAACAAAATGAATAAATTCGGAAAATACTTTTAACATACCACCCGAAAAAATATTAGATATATATAAATCATCCAGTTCCGGCCTAAACATTATAAATGCTTCACAAACTATAGAGATACCACACTTGATATTTGCAACAAACTATTTCAGAAGTCAGACCTAGGAATTAGTAGTTACCTTTAGAATCCAGTAAAGGGATGAGGAATCCGAGAAAAAAATATATGAATTATATGATATTTACAAAAACGAAATAAAAAAAAACCTAAAACAGCAAGTTATCTTTAAAAAATATTTAACAATTTATGTTATTTGATGTAAAGTTGTTATGTTTATATAAAAATTGTATGTCCAATAACTATGGTCCATGTGTCCAATTACTATATAAAATGTCCAATTACTATACTTTTTTGCATGTTTTTATAACACCATTATTAAAAATTCAAATATTCTTATTTTTAAGTAAACGTAAATAAAGTTTAAACAAACAAACTATCCTTTTTATATATTTATAAGAAAAAAACTTTTCTTTATTTAATATTGTAACGGTTTTTATCAAAAAGAAAATATAAAAAAATTAAAAATTTCACTTATTTATTTTTTCTGACTCACCACTATTGCGCTGTTCATGGTGCGGCCGGAATAGTCCTGAAATCCGTTTCACTGCACTGATGTACCAGCAAGTTCAATAGCTAATTTATAGCGAACTTAGCTGTGCCACCGGCCATTTTATCATCCTGATTTGCATCTTCGTCCCGCCTATCGGATGACGCGTGCCCCAGAAAGAGAAAGAACATTTTTGGGAAGGATTATTATTGCGGATGATGCAAAAAACGGGATTGTTCTGCGGCTATTGGATTGCACTTTAAAATAATGAGGTTTTATTGTGTTCAACAATGAAATGTTAAACTATTTGGCAGAAATTTTGATATAATAATATTAAGTAGGTACCTAAATAGTGTTTTAAAAATAGATGCTATTGTGCTAAAATTTTACATATTTTCATTCATTTTTTTTCTTCAAATATTTTATGTTTTTACATAAAACATAAATTATACTTAAAGAAAATAACAATTTCATTTTTTGAAGTAAAAAAAAATATTTCTGGTTTTAATTTTTGATTTTTTTTTGATAAAACAACAGATTTGTATTTATCTTATATTAAATATATGTTGGAAACAAATCTTGATCTTTTAGTTTGATGATTATACATTGCTTTCGAATCTTTAGTGGTATCACAACCTAAAAACACCACTTGATATACAGGGTGTTTCACATTCGTGGTCTATGGAAGTTTCTGGAGAACGGAAAAAATATAGTTTAGAAATTTAAAAGCGTTTTTAATCCATTAAGTCTATTTTGAACAAAATACACGGAAGTGACATCAACTTTGTTATTTCAAATAGAACACCCCCATATATTTTTACATTTTCAAATTCTACATAAAATTCTGAGTAAAATTACCTAAAGTGAATAGTTTTTTGATGTTTGCTATTAGGTTTACGGATATGGGGGTAAAGTGTTTGGAATCTTAAAACATTGTTTAAAAAATTCCATGTCAATTCTTTAACATTTTTCAACAAATTACCCGAGAAACCCCAGGGCAAATTGGGCTAACTTGGAACGTTAAAACTTTTATATTTTAAATGTAACACCCGGTATGTTAAGAAATTGACATGGAATCTTTTAAACAATGTTTTAAGATTCCAAAAATTCCACCCCCATTTCTGCAAGCCTAATAGCAAGAAAGTTATAGGCTATTTTTGATTGACGCGCATTTGTCATATTTTAACGGAAAAAATTAATAACACCAAAACTATTTACTCTAGGTATAGGACATGGTACAGTCATTTTACTCAAAATTTTATGTAGAATTTAAAAATGTAAAAATATATGGGGTGTGACATTTAAAATAACAAAGTTGATGTCACTTCCGGTCAAGCTCGAAGTGGCATTTTGTTTAAAATATTTTAGAAAAATAGGCTTATTTGGATTATAAACGCTTTAAAAATTTCAAATCGATATCTTTTGCCGTTCCTCAGAAACTCTCAATGGACCACGAACGTGAAACACCCGTATTTCGTAAATTTGCAACACCCTGTATATAATTAAAATAATTTTAAAATAAATAAATAATGGTTGTCCATTTATTTAGTGAATAATTTTTTTATAAAAATATACTGTCTAGCTGTTATCGAATCTGTTATATTATGTGCCAAATACCGTGGATAACATTTTATTGGATCTCACTTTAAAAAAATGACGTGATATGAAAAAACGCTGAGATACGGGTATCATTTTTTTAAGTCTATTTTTAAAATCAATAGAAATTTTTCAAGGGAGGAAAAACAATCAATCAATACTGTGTAATTGAAGAATCCTTAGCCCAAAATATGAAGATTCCTATGTAAAATTATCCCCTGAATCCGAAAATTATAAAAGTAGAGCAGTTTTTAACTGTTTAACTTTTTTAACTTTTGACGACATTTTCGGATTTAGGGGACAATTTTACATGGAAATTGACCCGCTAAATGTTCAGGATACAAATTTCTATTGACGAGAATTATTAGTGGCTGCTTTTTCGCTAAGACAGTCATTTTTGACTAATTCATTTTTAGAGAGTATTGTACCTACATTTTAAGAAATAATTAATAGTTTTAGACAACATTTAAAGATAGTTTGATTAATTTGTATAATAGGAGAAAGATTTTAATTTAATTACATAGATAAAATTCATAATTAACATTAACCATTAAATTTTCTAAAATGCCATATAATGCATTTAAATTATTTAATTAATTTTATACGTTTTGTTATAATCTCTAATGATTTTGATATTATCAAACTTATTACTTAATCATAATTTTCGTTATGTGCTAAATTAAAAGATTACAAGTTATTATTACATATAACCTTTTATATGCTAGTTTTTTTACAATTTTTAAAAGTCTTAAACATTTTTTTTATCTTTTCTTTGGTTCTACTATTCTGATAAAATAAATGTAAAATCCGATTGATTTAAATCACAGTGAATATTGAACTCATTATTTGTAATAGATGGCGCTGTAATGAAAAAAAAATCAATTTTGTTCGATTTTTCTTCTTATACGATTCTGCAATAATTTTTTTTTTAAATATTTTTTTTTTTGTAATAATTATCTTATTAAATTAAATCTGATTTTTTTAAGTACCCACGATTTTTTAACTAATATTTAAGTTTCCTTTGGTTTAAGTTTTATACCTTATTTCATTCGGTGATAATTATCAATTGCGTACCATGGTCACTTTTTACCTGCCAGTATTAATCCTTTAATTTAAAGGATTATTGTACTATTTTTAATTAAACTACGTCATTTAAGGTAAAAAAATACATTATTTTGTCAATTAATTAATTTAATCCCAATTGAGGTATAAAAATGATATTTAGTTATAAATAATAATTATTATGGAGGTATAAAGAAACTATTTATACATAGTTTAGCATTATTTAATCAATTTAGTTCGAAGATTAATTTGCAAACAAAAAGACCTCCCTTCGTTAAGCAGTTATTTATAATTAATTTTTTAACAGTGGAAGAAAAAAATAGAAATGATTTTGATTTATGGAGAAGCAGGCAGGAATCTTGATGATGCTGTTAATATCTACGCTCAGCGTTTTCCGGAAAAAATTCGATCACGTACTTCATTTCACCGTACAGTCAAGCAGTTTACTACAAACGGGAGTGTTCAACCGAAAAAAAGTTCGTCGAGCAACAATCACAGGTGGAAATAATGAAATTAATGTATTAGCAGCAACGGCCGCTAATCCTCATGCAAGCACACGAGAATTATCTAGAGATTTGGGAATATCCCAGAGCAGTGCTAGCAGAATATTAAAACGAAATAAATAAATAAATTTAAAAAATAGTTCCTGAAATGAGGTTCTTTATCACTATTGCTGTGCAATTTAATCAACGATAAACTTTGTAATTTAAACTTGTGGGTGCGATTTCAGCTTTCAATGTTGTATCCATGCATCAAAAAGAATCATTCAATTTGTCACTAGATGTGCGCTTGGGCATTTGCAAGTTTGAATATTCAACAATGTCGGTATTTCCATATTTCAGTATTTTCCTGTTTAATTTATTTATTATGCTAATAAATAAACATTAAAATTATTGTGATATAAATAATATTACGCAATTTTAAGATGGTACATAGAAACATTACGGGTAAATGTAATATATGCCATCAAGTGATATTTTACAAATATAAAAATATCAAATGCAGTTAATTATTTTGCAATTTTGCAAAACAAAATTCATAATTATAATTTATATGGCTTTATTAACACAAATTTGGTTTTCAAATTAATATAGTAGCAATTCTTGGCGCTAATTATCGACAAATCAAATCCGCCCCCTAAACAATTACAAGAATAAAATTAATGTGCATATTTCTCAATGCTTGAATCATCAGAACTAAAAAATAGTTATTTATTGAATAACCTTTTGTATTTAGTTTTTTACCTATTATAAGTGTACTTTTATCACAGTTCTACACAATAAAAAGTAAAAAATCAATCATACTTAGCATAAATGGTAAATTGGTGGTTTATATCGCATGACTGAAGATGTGGTGGATGGCAGTTTGTGTTGCAGTGTGTGTAGGGCGGGTGTTTTTGTTTTGATTCAGATTAAATTATTTAAAACTATTGTCAATTTTTTTTATAGTTTTAGTTTCGATTAATAAACGGGGCTACACAGGTAAAATTGAGCAATTGTCAAGATGGAAGCAGTCGACAAAGATGCAGACTATGTTATAAATCTTCAAAGTCGAGCTAACTCGTGCTTTTACTTCGTTTAGTATGTTTACTTGAGGGAGCCAATTAAATGTATTAAATTCGTATAACCCCACCTTTAAAGTAACCTTTTTCTATTGTATATTATGGATTCGCGTGGACAGGCGTGGCGTTGCCTTAATTTTAAGCGTGCATAGTTGAAGAGCAAGTGGTAAATATCATTTTATTTTATACAGGGTGGACCAAATTCGTTAAAAAATTGTTTTTACACTAACGAATATCAGTCGACAAATCAACTTTATCTTTTTCGATTCGATAAAAAATGGTTTATTCTATTGCGGAGATAGTGGGAATTATTGAATTGTATTTTATAAATAATCAACGTTTAAGAGTAACGGTAACATTGTTCAGTAGCAAATAAAAAACAAATCCAGTGAGAAATGAGGCAGTACACAGTAAAAAAAGGATGCACACTTGGCTTTACTAAAGTACACTAGTTATAGCTTGAATTCAAATTTTCACATTAAATTTAGTGTGAATTTTAGTGTTGTTTTAACTTTGGAGGTTGTACTCTTGTAGTGTAACACATTTAACACAGTTCGTGCCATTTCATACACTATTTGATTGAAAATTACTACACTAACCGTGTTCGGTAGCTCTCTAAAAGTGTTCACTTTGATACTAATTTATTTGCATTTATTTTACTTTTAGTGTGAATGCTATTCCTAATATATTAGTGCTGGAAATTTAATCTTTCTAGTGTTTATCCTAACACTAATAGGTTTAAAAATTAAAATCTCGTAGTTTTATACAGGTAACCAATTCTTACCCATTCCAATGGAATCGGGAAATTCTTCTATATATATATAATTATATACCAAATTTTTGCAGTGATAATCTTAAAATAAAACATTACAGGTCCTTTTTCCAATTCAGTGCTAGAGTTGTCATCATAAAATGCCATCTGCTGGTATCGCACTGCTAAGTATTTGGCTAAATTTTTAAAGTCCCTCGTAAAAGTTTTTCCGTAGTAAAAGCAAGTACCTAAATCTTGCTTTTAGATTTACTTTCTTTTTGTTGTATGAGACAATGTGACATGATTTATCTGCAATTTTCTCGCCCTCGACCAGCAAAGGCTGAACAATTCATTCGCAGTATTCGGGTGCATTTAACACGTTTTTCACATTTATTGTCTTAAAATTGAAAGTAAAGCCGACATTCCAGTGGACTAGCATATTAAAATCGCAGGCCATAAGTCATCATCTGCGATGTAAATGCGATGAGGAATTATGCGAGTTGTGTGTTCTGGGCCTTTTTACAGGGAGCGGTTCAATGGCAATGACATATTTACGTTCCGCAAAACAAGGCGGATGCGCAACAAAATCATTGGCTATGCGTTTTTAATTTGAAAATAAATTAGTTTTGCGGTTTTGTTTATATTATATATATATACGGTGACCAGCAAAAGTATGGAAGAAATTCATTCAAAAATTCGAATTTTTTGAATTTTTGAAAGTAGACTTCCGCATTAATAAAGCGATATTCTTCACGAATTTGATTTTTTAAGTCTTTCAAATTTTGTGGTCTGTTGATGTCCGAGGTGTGTTCAGAAAATATCGGAAATTTTCGTTTTTTGAAACAAACATTTATTTATTCGTCTACATTAATGTTGTCGCCTTAAAAATAGTCCCCATTGGACATTATGCACATGTGCCAGCTCTTCTTCCAATACTCGAAACACTTCTAAAACTCGATCTTTGGGATAGCCTTTAGTTCTTTCAGCGATGCGCTTTTAATGTCATCTATGCTTGCAAAACGACGGCCCTTTAAGGTTCTCTTTATTTTTGGGAATAGGAAAAAGTCAGACGAAGGCATGTCTGGCGAATATGGAGGCTGGGGCATCATTACAGTATTGTTTTTGGCCAAAAATTTTGTTCAAAATTTAACAATTTTAGAACAAATTTTGCTGCCACGCGTTTCATACCCAAAACATTCGAAAAAATTTCATGGGATGAGCCAATCGATATACCAACATCATCAACGACTTCTCTGATGGTTTATAACCATTTCTTCCACTTTTTTCATGTTTTTATCGGTTGTTAATGTGCACATTGAAGACGTTGAAGATGACGAACGCCCCGAACGCACAAGCATGCTTGTGCGTTCGGCATCTTCAACGTCTTCACGGCCATCTTGGAAACTCTTATACCACTTGTAAACTCTTGTTTTACTTATAGCAGACTTACTATAGGCCTTTGTTAACATTTCACAGAATTTATTTAATTTTTTAAGCCAAAATTGGATACAAATTCTTTGATCCATTTCTTTTAACGAACGAAAAATCGCCGAGCTCTTAAAACACGTCTAACCTTAGCGGCTGCCACAGACAAAGTGAACAATGAAAACAGCTAAAGTTTTTATCATACTTCGGGGACATGTACACCAACATAATAAAGAAAATTTTATGACAACCGGACCCTCCGAACCCGCGAAATTTAACAATTCCCGTTATTTTCTGAACACACCTCGTACTTCACTGAAAGCTCAACTAAAAGTTTTCACATATTCTAGTGAATAACAAAAAGCAATAATGAACTGAAAAATTTTGATCTTGAAATGAAACATTTTGAGAAAGTTTATGATATCTTTGAAAGCCAAAAAGGTATAAATGTGCCTATTGATGAAATCACAATTTCACAATTTCATAAAAAAATGGCCGATTTTCTCAATAATTTTTTTCCATACTTGCCGGTCACACAAAAAGACTAAACTTAACGGCATTTGACCTTAAGAAAGTATTTGTTGCTATTTTACATGTACACATGTAAAATGAATGTAATACATTCCTCATTTAAACAATTTAGCATAAAATTTTTTACGACTAGTCGCATTATAAAAATATGTATTCCATTGCACGATTTAAAATATCAACTAGAAGACGATTACGAGCGTTAAATTCTCTTAGGCTACAAATGAACTATAACTTCCAACGTGAAGGATATTACTTTTTATAATTAATATTATTATAATAAAGGGAATTATTTGAAGAATTTATTCGATACTTCTCGGATTACCCACATACGTAATTTATATGGGTGATTCTACAAAAGTTGGACAACTTGATGTCATCAGTCAATAGATTTAATATTTTTTGTAAATATTTATTAGGTATATTACAAAAGATCCAGGTTTTTTAACTTCTCCACCCAATTTTAATGTATTTTTTCAAAAGCACGTTTATAGAAAAACATAATAAATATTCAAAACATCAGTACCTTGGCGGGGTCCTGAATCAAATATTTGAGTGATTTTATTTTAAAATATATTCAATTTATCTTAAATTTTTCAATTTCACTACAAACTATAAAACATTAAATATTGTATTTTTCATATTTTATCATAGATTTGAATAATAACAATTTTTAAAAAATTGATAATCTTTGTACTCACTTTTACCCGTCAGTTCTGTGTCCAATAAGTATTAAAATTCAAAATTCCTGCGAAATATTGAACTTTAAACGTCAAGTCCTCGTTTTAACTCAAGTGTTGGTTAAATATTACCTACAGAGCCCGCCCTTTGCACGACAGTCATCTTGAAAACAATGCAAGCGGCGAAGTTGTGGTGAATGCACGTATAGTTCCAGTCAAAATTTCAGTACTGTGGTTATTTTCTTACGTATATATATTTCATTGTAATTTATATAAGACTATATGTGATTTGTTGATAAGTACCATCCACTAATAAAAAATATCAGTAAAATACTTAATTCCGAATTATAATCTCATATTTGTATCCCATTCATCAGTACCTTGTCGTCAGTTCCATGTTCGATGTTTCGGTTATCTTTTTTTCGCAAACTTCAATTTAAATTCTGCTTGCGCAGAACTTGTTTATTTAATGTCATTATAAACGAAGCCTTAGCGGCTGCCACAGACAAAGTAAACAATGAAAACAGCGAAAGTTTTTATCATACTTCGGGGGCAACATAATAAAAACAATTTTATGACAACCGGACCCGCGAAATTTAACAATTCCCGTTATTTTCTGAACACACCTCGTATTATATAAAGGTAGATAGGTATTTGAAAAATTGTAAAAAAAGTTATGCATTATTAAAAGCGTTGAATAAGAAAGTCTCCACTTAACGGTAAAAATCAAAAAACGGGTATTATATATAATATTATGTTGCCATGAATTCGTAGTTTTTTTATTTAATTTATTACTTGTGATTTTCATATATTTTTAAAATAAACTGCATTTTTAATTGTAATAAATTTTATTAGTCAAAGATTTAATTTGAATCAGTAAAATTAGTAAGTTCCTGAGGCTGGAAGAGTATTGATGTGGTGGCTGGCGGCAAAAGGTCCTTCTGGAAGGGGGGCCTCATGGTAGGAACCTCTAGTGGCGGCTACGTACCTGCAATTAAAAATATTAATAAAATCCAATTTGATTAACTGTGGTTTCTGTTCTCACCCAGGTTTGATGGGTGGTAGAGGGCCTACAATTGGGGCGCGATAGGTGATTGGAGATCCTTCTAAAAGGGGGGCCTCATGGTAGGAACCTCTAGTGGCGGCTACGTATCTGCAATTAAAAATATTAATAAAATCCAATTTGATTAACTGTGGTTTTTGTTCTCACCCAGGTTTGATGGGTGGTAGAGGGCCTACAATTGGGGAGCGATAGGCGATTGGAGATCCTTCTGAAAGGGGGGCCTCATGGTAGGAACCTCTAGTGGCGGCTACGTACCTGCAATTAAAAATATTAATAAAATCCAATTTGATTAACTGTGGTTTTTGTTCTCACCCAGGTTTGATGGGTGGTAGAGGGCCTACAATTGGGGCGCGATAGGCGATTGGAGATCCTTCTAAACGGGGGGCCTCATGGTAGGAACCTCTAGTGGCGGCTACGTACCTGCAATTAAAAATATTAATAAAATCCAATTTGATTAACTGTGGTTTTTGTTGTTACCCAGGTTTGATGGGTGGTAGAGGGCCTACAATTGGGGCGCGATAGGCGATTGGAGCGGAGTAAGCCAATGGGGCTGCATAGGAAAGAGGGGCGGTCAATCCGTATCCGTATCCGAGGCTGTAGGTGTGGGGGAAGAAAGTGGAAGCTGAGGCTACAGCAACCAAAGCGAAAAGAGCTACAAGGAACTGAAAATGAAGAATATTAAGAACAATATATATTATTATATATAATAATAATAATTATAATGTTTTTTGCTACTTACTCTCATGTTGCTATCTGTGTCGTTACAAAAAACAGTATGATATTCAGGTGTCAACATATGTCTTTTATATCAAAATATTTAAAATCAAGTCATTAAAAGTTGATAAGAACCGACAAAAAATAAACCAATTATCTTTTAATAATTGTTTTTAAATATATTCTTTTGTTTACTAATTATTATAATATTATAGTAAATTTAAAATAATTTATGGGTGATGGACAACTTGATGTCATCAGTCAATACAGTAGGTATTTTAATATTCTTTGTAAATATTTTAGTATATTACAAAAGATCTTTTAGAAGATTTTTTAACTTCTCCACCCAATTTTAATGTATTTTTTCAAAAGCACGTTTGTAGAAAAGCATAATAAATATTCAAAACATCAGTACCTTGGCGTGTCACAACTCCCGAATCAAATATTTGAGTGATTTTATTTTAAAATATATTCAATTTATCTTAAATTTTTCTATTTCACTACAAACTATAAAACAATAAATAATGTATTTTTCATATTTTATCATAGATTCGAATAAAAGCAATTTTTAAAAAATTGATAATCTTTGTACTGACTTTTACCCGTCAGTTCTGTGTCCAATGTTAAAATTCATAATTCCTGCGAAATATTGAAGTTTAAACCTCAAGTCCTCGTTTTAACTCAAGTGTTGGTAAAAAATTACTTACAGAGCCCGTCCTTTGCACGACAGTCATCTTGAAAACAATGCAAGCGGCGAAGTTGTGGTGAATGCACGTATAGTTCCAGTCAAAATTTCAGTACTGTGGTGAGTAGTTATTTTCTTACGTATATATATTTCATTGTAATTTATAGGCTATATGTGATTTGTTGATAAGTAGCATCCACTTTTACTTTTTTTTGACAAATTAGAATTTTAATACTTCTATTCTTTGAACCCAAAAGTTGACAAGAGATTTAAAATGACCCCCCCCTCCCTTAACATGAGATTTGGTAAGATTTTGCTAGACCCCTCCCCCCCTATTTTTATCTCACGTAATTAATGGATGTCCCCTAAGAAAGCAACAGAGAGCAATTTAACCATTAAAAGCATTTTTAAAATAATTTTCATGAAGTCAGTGCCAGGGTACCTACTTAGTGAATTAATTCATACCATCATCATAACATGTATTTTATTTATATGTCATAATTTCTCTCTACTTATTAACTATCTAATTTATTATTTAGGCAATATGCTAACCGTCAACGAAATGTTTATGAAATATTTTTAGCTGTAAAAACGCTTTGCGAATGGTACTTGATAAGCAATTTGTAATGCATTCAAATGTCATCATCATCAGCAACTTTTACAAAGTTCAACGGGGCCGTTTGAATTTTTATTTAAACCACCGGTTAAGGAATGCCCGTTATATAATAATAATATGAATATGTTAATAAGAATTTGCAAGCTAATAGGTTTATCGGGAAAAATCTACATTTGTTATTTTACTTGTAAGTCAGGCTTACACAGGGGCGTAGATTGTTGGGGTGAAAATTATGTCCCCAAAAAAGTGCATATTTTTTTATCCATTTATAATACCAAAAGTTCAATATCCTATGCATTTATTTTTTAATTTTGGTTTTAAAACTCCTATTTCACATGACCGTCGTATGTCCCTCGAGCAAAATCCAATATTTGCGATCTTCCAAAAATTTAAATCAAAAATTTGTATAGAGCGCCATCTATGAAACAATAGGGCAATCTGTGTGTCACCATCAAATGTCACATTTTTAAATTTTATAAACAAAGATTATAAAGGTTATAAATCGAAATGTATTTCTTGAAAATAGTCAGTTTTTCACAGTGAAAGTAAAGAAAATGTTTTATGAGGACCCGAATTTAAGTTATAGTTTACTGCCGGCAAAATTAAGAGTCAGTACAATGTTCATATAAACTTTTCAAATATTGGCGTTGAGAAACTATTTAAAACTTTTGTATTTTTGTATTGAGATAATAAAATAATTTTCACATTTAGAATTATTTTACAAGAAAGGTACTTTATTTTAACGATTGTAACATTTGACAACTGTCAACTAACTTAAAACTAACTTCAGCCCGTGCGCCATAAAGCCACAACTTGTCAATGTGTATTTAAAAGGTCACTTAGTGTCATGGAAACATGTACGATAAAGGGCGGTTTAAAGGTGGGAGGAGAAAAATATATTTTTAAGTTCCAGATATATATTTTTAATATAATATAATATTTTAAAAAAAAATTTATTTCACAGTTTGGTTTAAGATTGCTTTGATATTTTGTTTATTTTGTGTTTGGTAGGGCTATCGGCTTTTCTACAGAAACTTAATAATACATATATTTAACAAAGTTCATTATACAAATTTGACCCACTTTGGCACCTCTGAAAAACCATCGCAATCATAATAAATACCCAGAACAATAAAAAAATTGCTCATTCTGCAAAGTGCATCTCGATTATGATTTCGTAGCCTGCTGGATTGCAAAACGGCCGACTCGTTGCATCTGCAGAAACAAAACAAGAAAACACTGAAGAAGAAGAAGAGGCAGCTTGCTCTTGAAGCACCCATCTTTCCGTATAAATATCGAGAGAGAGAATGTCAAAGTCATATTCAGTCAACGATTTTCTGTGATCCAACTACGGAATCATGAAATATTCAGCTGTAAGTTCCAACACAAATAATTAAATTAAATAAGTATATAATATTTTCATATGTCATCACAAGACATTTGGCATCCATGCATTTTTTTAATCATGTGGTATTTACGCTTTTAATTAATAATCAATTTACCTTCGGTTATGGTTGTTTGGAATCACGTTTCTACCTTTAATATTTTTAATAATAAACATCACTTATATTTTTTATTATGTTTACCTTAAATTTAAGTATGTAATTATTTTTTCTTACATAAATTAATTATTTTAATCTTAAAATTTAATAAACCAACAATATTTTAGTAAAGAAGAAATTGGTACAGTTATGCATTCTTTTTTATTAAAATATATTTTATAAGATTAATTTTATATTTTATTTTTTCCAATGAGCTAGTTGACATCCTACAGCTTTGATGAGTTTTTTTCAAAATTAGCAAAAACTGTTTGTATTAAAATGTCAATGTTATAATTCTATACAATACCTATATACTTTTGGATTAAATATAAGGTATCTTTATGTAAGTTAAGCAATAATTGTTTCAAATATTGCCTATTCTTTTTTTATCTTTTGCTAGACTTTAAATAAAGGTTAGGATATAATGACAATGTTTATTTCAAAAGGTAAAGAGTGAATTATGCTATCTCTTTTTTTAGGACTGAGAGAAAAATAGATAGGATAATCCACTCTTTTTTTTAAATAAACATGGTCATTATATCCTAACCTTTAAAGGCGAGCAAAAGTTAAAAAAAAAATAGACAATATTTTTGTGAGTGGGGGATATTTTCAAGAATAGGCCAGTCGTACCAATATTTACTTATCTTAGAATAAATATAATTATATCATTGATTCAATGATTATATTTATATCCAGTAGGTATAGTTTTCTATCTTTAAGAACAGAATAGAGGGAATTTTCTAAAATTTGGTCTAATCGATTGTTAATCTTAAATTAAGAATAAGATTATTTCATTTAAAGGTTCTTAACATTTTACAGGCTTGTTTAAAGAAAGATTTAGAAAACATATTTTTCCATGTATAACAACTTATCTGTTAACCTATTTATTGCCAACAGTAGGTATATGTTTAATTCAATAACATAATTTATAAACTTACTTGCTTTTTACCTTGCAGAATAAAATATTGTTTGTTATGTTAGATTGGATGAGACTTACATGTATAATTTTCTCACGACCATTTTATATATATGGCAGATAAATTTTGACGTTTATTATATATATTTAAAATTTTAAAATAATTTTATAAAACATCCAATTAAAGTTATTTATAATTATGATTTACCATATATGGTTATGTCATGGTTATCATAATTTATCATAATACGCTTAAAAAGAATAAGAAATAATAAAAATAAAAAAATATTTTATCTCCACGCGGTCTATAATTTAAACTCTATTTTTGTCAACATCCGATAAAGAAATACCTTGTTATGGCCTAGGCCGATAAAAAATTTTATGAGGCAAGTAATTAGTTCGATTTTTTCTCGCTAGGGGTATTGTTTTGACAAATTAATCCTTTTCTAAGAAATTAACGTACTAAACTGGTTTAATTTATTTATAATAAGCACTAATTTGTTTGTTTTACTGTTAATGTTTAATATTTTTCATTAAATTATTGTAAAATTAAAAATGAATAATAAAACAAAAAGTGAGGTTAGGCAACCAAGAAAACGCACGATTTTTTTTCTACGATTTAAATTATCTTTAAGTTTTAATTTGCTTTAAGTTTTCAGTGAAATTAAATGTTAAACACAGCTTAAACATTCCAAACTACCTATTTTTTAAATAAAAATCCAAACAAATTGAAATTAGATACCTACCTATTTATTAAACAATTAATTGAATTCAATGTAATAGCAAAAATCCATTTCTACCTAAATCATGTAGCTAGTTATTGTCAAACTATTACTGCTTCTAAAAGCAATAATAATTATTGTACATTTAATGTAATCTTTAGCTAATAAATAAATGAGATTCAAAAAAAGTGAGGTTAGGCCGCTTTGATGTTGAATTAAATTGACCTATATAAAGTGCTTTGAAGATAAAATGTTGTATGCCATTCGGCCAAGAAGTGCCTTTGTGTGCTTCGTTCAAACCTTGAGCTTAGCAACGTCTAAAATAACATACTTTTTAACTTATAAGTAATATTTTACTTCATTTTGGTTAATTTACTTAGAATATAGATAACGTAATACTAATAGCAGCCACTGGTTTAGTTTAAACCACGACACCTTGTAAAATCGTTTTTTCCTTATAATTTCACAGATTTATTTATAGATAATCCTACTTTCAATACTTGGAACAACACTATCAGCCCAACTGACAGGAAATGAGGTTGTCCCAATTTTATCACAGGATCAGGAAGTAAACTTCGACGGCTCCTACAGGACGTCGTACGAAACCGGAAACGGAATTTCCGCCCAGGAACAAGGACAGCTGAAGAACGCTGGCAACAAGGACGCAGAAGTGGAGGAAGTGCAGGGAAGCTTCCAATTTACGGCGCCAGATGGCACTCCCATCCAGTTGCAGTACATTGCCAACGAAAATGGATTCCAACCTCAAGGTAACAACAAAAAATATAAATACGAAAAAAACTTTTATCCGACATCGGCAGTAAAGTAGTCAACAATCGGCAGTAAAGTTCCACTTTACTGTCACATGAACATAACCTGTTTTAAATGGAACCCTATAAGTACAGTTAGGGAAAATAGTAATGTCCATTTAATGGAAATGCTATTTTCCGTAACTGTACTTATAGGGTTCCATTTTCCGTAAATGTACTTTGCGACACATCACTTTAAAGAAAATGCAATTTCTGAGTCATTGAAGAAAAATTAAAATCCGATCATCAAAAAAATTATATCGTGTGGAAGTTGTAAGCAGTAAAGTAGTCAACAATCGGCAGTAAAGTGGAACTTTACTGCCGATTTAATACGAGTATTGTATGCAACCCATTATACAGTTTAAGATGTGCCTACTGCTCCTCAGCAGCAACTAAATAATATTAAAAAAGAGCACTGTCGCGGAGGTCGATTGGACCCTTTTATAAAATGTTGTTTAATAAAAATAATAAGTTAATTTTATAAATTAGATTAAAAAATCGCCGCGGCGGGCTGGTATATAATAACCGTCGCAACAAACAGTATCCGTAGACACTTCCTACATTCAAATGACATTTGATTTGATCATCAAATGACATTTGATTTAATCATGTATTATATCACGAGAACTATGAATTTAATCGGTTAAACTAGGCTCAATAGTTTTTTGTTTGGTTTTTGTTGGAAAATGTTGAATGCAAAATAATTTAATAAAATCACGAGACCACGTAGGGGTCGAGGGGTTTTATTTTTAATTATTTTGCATGAAACTATTTTCCAAAAAGAAAAATCAAATAAAAAACTTACTGAGCATAGTTTGACAGATTAAATTTATAGGTTGAGTGATATACGTCTACATTATTTCTCGAATTAAAGGAAACTATTTGACAATTCATAAAATCTGACGTACATATGTGTCAAAATTTATAAATATTTTTTTAAAGAAAATTCCATTAATTTGAGGTATGTAATAAGTAATAATTGATATTTCGTAAACTAGATAACTTATTTTTTATTGTTTTTTAAAAAATGTTTGTTAAAACTTGTAAATAACACCATAAAATCGTAAACAAAAATCCAATATGGAGGCTAAAATTTAATCGCTGTTAAATAGTTCTAGTGATTTAATCGTTTATTTAAACGAAATTTATTCGAAAATTCAAGGCTTTTGATTGGTTCATATTATAATGAGGGAAATAATCATCAAAATTAATTAGTATTATTAAATGTGATTTCGGATAAAATTTAATATGCACCTCGGCATTAAAGTCATATTTATCACTCACGTGGTTATTTCCACATTCGTGATAAAAAATACGACTTTACTGCCTTGATACATAAATAACTATTTTACGATATTTGTTTCATTCAAGGTGCTCACTTGCCGGTAGCCCCCACACCCCCTCCAATCCCCCCCGCGATCCAGAGGGCTCTAGATTGGATAGCCGCCCATCCTGAACCAGAAAACCAAGGCAACAACAAAAGGTTCTAACTGCAATGCACCACGAAAATCTAGTCTATAGACCACAATGATGATATGTTCAGAAATAAAAATCAAAATAATAATTGTATAATTGTACAATTTTTGTTAATTTTTTATCAAAGTCTTGGTTTTGGAATCCATGTGTTCAGCTTATAGTAGATAGTTTTATAAATAAATGTTGAAATTTTGATTGTATTTATTATTTATTTACAAGTTTTTATCATGTTTTTCTAAAATTCGGAAAAAAGACTTAAAAGATCACTTATTCTTATAGAAGTTGTTTAATTATAGATAAAAAGTAGATAAACCTTAAAATCTCATCCCTTAATAAACATTTACACTCTCTAAAAATGAATTAGTCAAATATGATGGTTATTAGTGGCTGCTTGTACCATGGTTAACCATGGAATACCATGGTATCCCAAAATTTAACAGCCAATTCTTATGTAAAATTGTCCCCTGAATCCTAAAATACCGTCAAAAATTATGAAAGTGGAGCAATTTTTGAGATATAGTCAATTCCATATTAAATGGAAAATTGACTTTATCTCAAAAACTGTACTACTTATTTAACTTTTGACGGTATTTTCGGATTCAGGGGACAATTTTACAAAATAATTGGCTATTAAATTTTGGGATACCATGGTATTCCACCATGGTACAAGTGAAAAAGCAGCCACTAATAACTATTAAATTAGTCATTTTCGACTAATTCATTTTTAGAGAGCATACATGGGCCAAAATCTTAAAAATGTAAAAAATGATTTTGGCCCATATGTCCGTACATAAACAACATACAAATAAACCTAAACATCTACTTTTTAGGGGGTAACAAAAAGCTCAAATCTTCTTTTGGGTTGTCGTAGTCTATTTCCGGTTCCTGTTTTTCTTGGGGTTGACTCTCCAACCACTTGAGCGCCTTCAAAATCGCTGGAGGAATCGGAGGTGGGGTGGGGAGATGATCTCCCTGAGGTCTGTAACCATTTTCATCGGCAGTGTATGAAAGTCTACAAAAAATTATTATTATTAATAACAATATTTTGAACTGTCAAAAAGTTTTTAACAAATTAATAAACTCGATTTTTTAAGGTTTTGTCTTTTATATATAGGTATAAAAAACCACCATTGTATTTTAATTTAATTTAACAATTTTTGTTAAATTATGATAAAATTTGCCATATTTACCATGTGGAAAAACTTCTGTCGACGACTGTAATAAATCGGGTTATCAAGTAATTTGCATAAATATCAATCAAGAATCCGTGAGAATAAAATCCTAATGGTAAAAATGTAGAATGTTTTATCCCATCCGTAGTTAAATAACAAGGCAAACTATAAAGTTAAACCTTGGCCTTTTTAAGGTAAAAATCGATTTAATATGGTTATTATATTAATAGCCTTATATATTATTTATATTATTTTCTGTTATTTGAGAAACTCTTAATATGCATAATATGTTAATTTTATTAAAAAAATCAGCAAAATATAATTACAAAACGTTGGGAAAAAATATACCCCACCCAGCATACTAGTAAAATAATATTTTGCATATTTGTATGATTTTTATAGTACTTCCGAGACTTTTCTGGCAATAAATTTTGTTTGACATCAAAGAAAATCCTTTTTTCTTCTTTAACATTAACAGCCGCTTATTGTAAATAAGTAAATTAAGGACGGCATGGCGAATCGATTTTGACATTAACTGTCAAACCAATAACTGTGATACCAACTATCTAAAGTAAAATTCGACCAAATTAAATATAAGGTATAAAATTAATTTTTTTTATAGAATTTTTGCAAAATAGATACAAAATGACGTCTTATGACATTAGTTCTTTAATATACCATTTTAACATTCAAAAATATATTTTTGATATGCTTTTGACATTTTATATTGTGATTTTGACATTCCTAAATGAGTTGACATTCTAAAATTAATTTTAGATAGATATATTCTATATTTTGATACCAACATTCTTAAGTATTTCTTACTATTATTATTATTTTTATTATATCGACATTCTAAGGTACTTTTGACATTATAAAAAGTGTTTTTAACATTTTAGGTGAGTTTAACATTCTATATTAAGTAAGTCCTAAAAGGTGTTTAAGATATTCTATATTTTGTGTTTGTGTTTTAGATATTCTTTATTTTAAGTGTTTTTGGTATTTTACTCCCAAAATTTTCAAAAACTCCAATATTTTCAAAATTTCCTAAGTTTACAAAATTTAAAGGATTTTCAAAACTTGAAAAATTTGCCAAATTTACAATTTTTTCAAATTTTTAATATTTTCTGAACTTACAAACTTTATATTTTTTTAAATTTTCAATTTTTTTTAGATATTTAAATATTTTAATATTTTCAAAATTTCCGAAACTTCTAAAATTTATAAAATGTACAAACCATAAATTTATCGCTCTCAACAACTGTGTTTTTAACATTCTATATTATGATTTTGACATTCTTAAGTGTGTTGACATCCTAAATCTCGTTTTAGATATTTTATATTTTGAGTTTTAGATATTCTTTATTTTTAATGATTTCGACATTTTACTCCCAAAATTTTCAATATTTTCAAATTTCCGAAATTTTCAATATTTACTAAATTTACAAATAAATTTGCTTAACTTTCGAAATTTTTCAAGATTTAAATATTTTTAAAATTTCCGAAATTTCAAATATTTTTAAAAACATTCTAAAATGTATTTTTAATATGCTTTTGACATTCCAATTTTTTTATTTAATTTAATAGTAATAATATGGCAATAAAATTAAAAAATATTGAACGATATTTTTAATTTAAACTTAGTGAATAAAAAATGTGGTTGGATATTTTTAATTTAATTTTAAATATCCATTTTACAATATTAATTTAATTTATTTTTTTACCTTATTACTTGGCCATCTGGGGCCGTGAATTGTTGTTGTCCTTGGACGGCCAGATTGTGGGAGTCCTTAGGGAATCCTTGTTGATCCTCGTAAATCCCGTTTTCCGTTTCATACAGATAGCTGTGTTGTGCAGTTTTTTCGTCTATGCTGCCTTCTTGTCTTATTATTTTTACATTCTGACTGAGCACAGTACCCATGCAAACAAACAAAACTACCTAAAACATGGAATAAGTTGTTAAAAATATTGTTTACACTGTGTAATGGAATTCACTTACTGTTTTAATCATTTTTTAAGATACATTTAAGTCTCTTCTTGTCACTTTAGCAGTAAGACGCACTCACATGTATTCTTCTATGTTAGAACACTGGTACCCCCACTACCCTTTTCTAATTCGCTATTGTGGTGTGTATTAAAAAAAGATTGCGTAAACTTTCTGTCGTAAATGTTAAATTAAATCTGTAACCTTATTATGTCTGTTGTATATTTTAAACTTAACTCTCTGTTATTTTTTTTGATTAATTATAATGTCTGATTGGGAAAATATGTGTTAAAAATTAAACGACTTTATTATTTTATATAATGTATATAACGTTTTATTTACTTGATTTCATTAATCAACATCTTTATTTAAATCAATAAATTAAAGCTTATATATATATAGGGCTACGAAGAACTGAAATTAAAAATAAATATTATTTCAGTTTTAATTTTTTTATGTTGCTATCTGTGTTGTTACAAAAAACAGGTGTCGACATATGTCTTTTATATCAAAATATTACCGAATCGTTAAAAATTATATTGGTTAATAATGGTATATTAATTGTTTGTTATTGTTAATTATTATTTAATAGGTTATCTAAAATTGTATACTTATTTACCTTAGAGATGCACCAAAATGTTTCCTATAATATCAATTAAAATATAATTTTTTAAATATTATACAGGATGTTTCACATTCGTGGTCCAGAAGTGCTGGAAGAAATATTTTTTCTACAAATGAAGAAATTATGGTAGTCACCAAAATCACGTATTCTTAATCCAGTGTTGCCGGATCTTCTAGACGAAAATGACAGATTGATAATTTTGGTTGGACACAGTCATAAGAATATATGGGTTATTCTACAAAAGTTGGGCAACTTTTGACCTCATTTTGTTTATATAGTTTTAGGAGAAACTTAAACAGTATTTTGTTGTGAGAAGATAGATAATATAATAAATATACTGTTCCAGACCGGGCCACTCATTTTTTAAAACAGTTTCTGAAATATCTGGGATTTCTAAATTTGAATGCAAGGGAAGTGACGAGTATACCAGGATACTAATTAAATACATAATTTATTGGTAAATATAAGATTTATTGCAACTTTGATCATATTATATATTAAATATCTTAATAATACCACACATCAGTGGCGGCTGGTGGATTTTGGGTATACCGATATCTCAATTATTAGATATGGGACCCACACCAAATTTATATGAGTTTATAATGACATTAAATAAACAAGTTCTGCGTAAGCAGAATTTAAATTGAAGTTTTCGAAAAAAAGATAACCGAAACATCGAACATGGAACTGACGACACGGTACTGATGAATGAGATACAAATTTGAGATTATAATGCGGAATTAAGTATTTTACTGATATTTTTTATTAGTGGATGGTACTTATCAACAAATCACATTTAGCCTTATATAAATTACAATGAAATATAACTACTCACCACAGTACTGAAATTTTGACTAGAACTATACGTGCATTCACCACAACTTCGCCGCTTCCATTGTTTTCAAGATTACTGTCGTGCAAAGGGCGGGCTTTGTAGGTAATTTTTTACCAACACTTGAGTTAAAACGAGGACGTTTAAACTTCAATATTTCGCAGGAATTTTGAATTTTAACATTGGACACAGAACTGACGGGTAAAAGTGAGTACAAAGATTATTATTTTTTTTTAAATTGCTATTATTCGAATCTATGATAAAATATGAAAAATACATTATTTAATGTTTTATAGTTTGTAGTGAAATTGAAAAATTTAAGATAAATTGAATATATTTTAAAATAAAATCACTAAATTATTTGATTCAGGAGTTGTGACACGCCAAGGTACTGATGTTTTGAATATTTATTATGTTTTTCTACAGACGTGCTTTTGAAAAAATACATTAAAATTGGATGGAGAAGTTAAAAAAACCTGGGTCTTTTGTAATATACTAAAATATTTACAAAGAATATTAAAATACCTACTCTATTGACTGACGACATCAAGTTGTCAAAACTTTTGTAGAATTACCCATATATTATCTTATATTTACTATAATATTATAATAATTAGTAAACTAAATAATATATTTAAAAACAATTATTAAAAGATAATTGGTTTATTTTTTGTCGTTCCTTATCAACTTTTAATGACTTGATTTTAAAAATTTTGATATAAAAGACATATGTTGACACCTGAATAGCATACTGTTTTTTGTAACGACACAGATAGCAACATGAGAGTAAGTACGAGCCCTAACCACATAATGTTCGGACACTTCATAATTTATACAGAAATTTTTTTCGTGAATACTATCTCAAAATTATTAGAAGTTATGAAAAATTCAGCTTATTTTGGCATATACCCCTCGAAGCGATTTTTATTTTTAAAAAGTTTACCTTTTATTTTTAGCTTTTAAAAAAAGGCTAACTTTTTAACTTTTTTTTGTATGAGTAAAAAAAGTTTTAAATGGGCCCATTAAAAAGAACATAAAATATTATACAAACCCTGAAAATTTGGTAAAAAATAAATAAGTTATAAAAAAGTATAAGTAATTTAAAAATGCTATTTTTAAAGAGTTTTTGCAATTTTCTTAGGAAACGGGAGATTTTGCAGATATATATATCGCTATAACTTTCTTATTATTTATACAATTTTTACCAAATTTTCAGGGTTTGTATAATATTTTATGTTCTTTTTAATGGGCCCATTTATAACTTTTTTTACTCATGCAAAAAAAAGTTAAAAAGTTAGCCTTTTTTTAAAAGCTAAAAATAAAAGGTAAACTTTGTAAAAATAAAAATCGCTTCGAGGGGTATATGCCAAAATAAGCTGAATTTTTCATAACTTCTAATAATTTTGAGATAGTATTCACGAAAAAAATTTCTGTATAAATTATGAAGTGTCCGAACATTATGTGGTTAGGGCTCGTAGTAAAAAACATTACAATAATGTATATTTTTCTTAATATTCTTCATTTTCAGTTCCTTGTAGCTCTTTTCGCTTTGGTCGCTGTAGCCTCGGCTTCCACTTTCTTCCCCCACACCTACAGCCTCGGATACGGATACGGATACGGATACGGATATACCGCCCCTCTTTCCTATGCAGCCCCATTGGCTTACTCCGCTCCAATCGCCTATCGCGCCCCAATTGTAGGCCCTCTACCACCCATCAAACCTGGGTGAGAACAAAAACCACAGTTAATCAAATTGGATTTTATTAATATTTTTAATTGCAGATACGTAGCCGCCACTAGAGGTTCCTACCATGAGGCCCCCCTTCCAGAAGGATCTCCAATCGCCTATCGCTCCCCAATTGTAGGCCCTCTACCACCCATCAAACCTGGGTGAGAACAAAAACCACAGTTAATGAAATTGGATTTTATTAATATTTTTAATTGCAGATACGTAGCCGCCACTAGAGGTTCCTACCATGAGGCCCCCCTTTCAGAAGGATCTCCAATCGCATATCGCGCCCCAATTGTAGGCCCTCTACCACCCATCAAACCTGGGTGAGAACAAAAACCACAGTTAACCAAATTGGATTTTATTAATATTTTTAATTACAGATACGTAGCCGCCACTAGAGGTTCCTACCATGAGGCCCCCCTTCCAGAAGGACCTTTTGCCGCCAGCCACCACATCAATACTCTTCCAGCCTCAGGAACTTTGTAATTTTACTGATTAAAATTAAATCTTTGATTAATAAAATTTATTGCAATTAAAAATGCAGTTTATTTTAAAAATATATGAAAATCACAATTATTATGTTTAAATTTTAAAACAATTAAATTGATGCAGAATTAACTAATATAATTTATATTTAAGTTTGGAGTTTTAGATAAATCTAACAAAAAGTAATAGTTGTGCAAACATAACCTTAAAATGAAACATTTTTATGTTTGAGTCCTAAACAACAAAATATATCTACAAATTCATGGCAACATAATATTATATATAATACCAGTTTTTTTGTTTTTTACTGTTGAGTGGTGACTTTCTTAATCAGCGCTTTTAATAATGCATAACTTTTTTACAATGTTTGAAATACCTATCTATTTTTTAAACCTTCAGACACGTTGATTTTGTTTGAGAGACGGACATTTTTGGCTATATTGGCCTGTTTAACCAACATTTTTATTCGTACCTATAATCTAGAGGTAAAATTTACATAATTGTTTTTATATGATTCTTTGGCCAACCTAATATCACTCCAACATCTAAAATTAAATACATAATACTACACACATAAATATAAATATGTAATAATTATTACCCACATACATTTGGTGGTTAATTCTATTAAATTCCACTAATTTAGCAGCTCTTTCATAATTCCAAACCAAAAATTAACTAACACAAAAAACAATCTTCCAAAATGTCGGACATGTCGGGATATTTTTAAGAATAGGCCAGTCGTACCAATATTTACTAATCTTAGAATAAATATAATTATATTTACATCCAGTATAGATTTATATCTTTAAGAACAGAATAGAGAGATTTTACAAAATTTGTTCTAATCGATTGTTAATCTTAAATGTTATTGCGCCCACTAGTTTAAGTTATGAATTCACAATACTAATATGATAAATATTTTTTAATAGAAATTATTTTATTATTTATGAGCCCTATACATCAAGACCATCTTTTGACATGACCTGACAAAATTAATTTACATAATTTTTACATATTGCGATTCAATTTCAAAACCTGTGTAGGTATTCAGTATTTATTATTTTTGTTTGTATTTGATTTTACATAATTTTAAGTGCTAAAAGGGGGACTTGAAATTTATATATTAATAACGGAATGATTGTAATTCCTATAGTACGCATATAGTTAGCACTATGAAAGTAGCGGTGAGTGAAAATCAAATTTAATTTGCGCAATTCATTTATTATTATTTTATTTTTTTTAGATATTTTTGGGTCTCGTGGTTTTCACCTGTGCACAAGTAAATAAGTTAAATAATGTTCCGATCGTGAGAATATTTAACGATATTAAACCTGACGGTTCATATAATTACGCCTATGAGACAGGCAACCATATATACGCTGAAGAAGCTGGATATTTAAAGGATCCTGACACGATATTGGCCCAAGGACAGTACCAGTATACTTCTCCTGAAGGGCAGACAATAAGGTAGGAAAGTTTAACACTGTGATTTCATCAAAATGCACATTTATACTTTTTGGGCTGATAGTTTCGGAGCTATTAATTATTAAAAGTTATTGTTTTTTGTCTGGTGAACTGCAATAGCATTGCGTGAATTTAAGAATTTCTAACAATACATTTAAAGCATACCAAATGTACATCATTTTTAAATAAATAGGTAGTTTTTTCTCAAATGAGAGGAAGACACCTTAAAATTAACACATTAATTTACAAAAAACAATTTGATAGCTTTTGAAAGCTGTATATGACATGTCCAAGTATGGGATGATTCAACAAAACTGCCATTGTCATCCTCCATAGCCTATGGATGGACCATAGCAACCTTAGTTCTTCATACAGGAAAAATATTGGAAATTGCAATGTTTTTTTAAAGAAATCCATATTTTCCACAAAAATAAATGTGAATTCGAAATCAAATAAAAAAGTTATTTGCGATTGAAATTCATCGAAAATTTGTGTGGATCGATTATTTTGCCTATGTATACATATGCAAAATAATCGATTGTATCTATAGATACAATTTATATTTGCAGGGACTGCATTCGGATTAACACTGTTTATTGGAAAACCCATAAAAACTCAACTCAGGATTTTCTCTCGAAATACACCCAACAACACAACAAATCGTGCCACGGTTTTTTCCGATATTTTTTAACATTTTCCGGCTTTATTCTTAAATTTGAATTTTTTTTTAATTTTTTTTTATTGCAGATTGGCATATACAGCTGACGAAAATGGATTCAGACCCCAAGGAGGACATCTACCAACTCCCCCTCCAATACCAGAACTAATTTTAAGAGCCCTCCAATGGAGTGAACAACATCCCGAAAAATAACTACCCTACCCGAAAAAAAATTGTTAGGAATTTGTTTTTGTTATATCTTAACAATAAAAAATAAAATGCTCGTTTTCATCTTTTGGTTATTAAATATAATGCTCACATATTTAATAAAAAATGGTATATTTGGCACTAACAGTAAAATACAGGTTTAAAAAATGACATGATATTAAAACAATATTTAGACATCTAAACAGTGTACTCTCTAAAAATGAAACAGTGGATTTTCACTGATTGACAGTGCATAATAACTATTTGCAATTAGTGAATACTCACTTTTTCATGTAGCGATTTCAAAATTCAAAAAAGTTAAAATTTCACTATTTTAAGTCGAGAGTTCCGGAAAAGTGGTAATAATAAAAAACACTAATTTGGAGAAGTTAAAATTTCACTAATTTATATTGAAAAACACTAATTTTACAGTGAATTAATAACTCACTGACGGAAATAGTGAAAATTTCACTGTTTCACTTTTAGAAAGTAGGTTACAAAAATTAACCTATAAAACAATTAAACACAAAGCAAAAACTCTATTTATCTAGTCTCGTTGTCTTCTTGGCTAGGAGGCAGAGATGCCAGGTAGTCCAAGGCCTTCTGGATCGCCGGCGGGATTGGAGGAGGGGTGGGGAGGTGATCTCCGATTGGCTGGAAGCCATTCTCGTCAGCGATGTAGGTGAGATGGATGACTTGGCCCTCTGGCGACGTGTATTGGAACTGACCTTGAGCGACTTGAGTCTCCTGCTCGGGAACCCCCGCGTTCTTCAGGAAGCCAGACTCGTCTGCCGAAATTCCATTTCCGGTTTCATAGCTGAAAGAAATGATTGTCCAAATTAATGCTGTTTGTGAAAAAGTTAGTGTAAACATCACATTTTTCAATCCTAAACTATATTTTTTCGTCTAAAGTAGTGTTCCACATCAATCTAACTTTACACTTTAATATTCATTTAACACTAGTCAAGCTCTGGCAGTGCACATTAGTGTAAATATGCAATCAGGGGGTGTTCAGTTGACAAAAACGCAAACTTGTTTCGTTCATTGTTCTCTCAGAATTTGTGTTGAAGAATGCACCAAACTGTTCAGTGGTCTATAATTATTAACTAAAGTTAAGTCAATTTCAAAGTATTATTACTCATCATGGTTTATAATGTCAAAAATTGCATTTTGTTTTGGTTCATAAGGTCGAAAATTGCGTGAAAATCGCGTTTTGTTTATTGTACAGACAAATTTCAAGTACAGTTCTTACAATAGCCCAGTTTAATGTATATAATATGTAAATTGTTTTTTTTTTAATTTTTAGATGTTTTTCCTGAGAGTAAAACATGTCCATGATGCCAAGTTTAATAAAAATTTCAAAAATTTGGCCAAAACCTTAGCAGTGCGATACCAGCAGATGGCATTTTATGATGACAACTTTAGCACTGAATTGTAAAGAGGACCTTTAAAGTTTTATTTTGAGATTATCACAGCAAAAATTTGTTATAAAGTTATATAGAAGAATTTCTGGATTCAATAGATATTTTAGTCACAAAATGGGTAAGAATTGTTTACCTGTATAAAACTACGAGATTTTAAGCTTGCTTTACAAAGAGCCATACAATTTACACCAATCTAACAGTGTCAATTGGTACTTTGTGCCAAAATATTATTTGGTGTTTTGAACGTATTTATATTTGAAGTATTTGCCAAAGATTAGTTTTATATTTTGTAGCCTGAAACTTACAATGAACTGTATTTACTTATTTATACACTCACAGGCAAAATAATCGATCCACTCAAATTTTCGATGAATTTCAATCGCAAATAACTTGTTTATTTGATGTCGGATTTAAACGAATATTAAAGAAAATTGTAGATAAATTAATGGACAATCGCTCGCATTTTAAAAAATTACTAAAAAATAGACGTACGTTTATAATATACAGGTTTAAACAAAAAGATGTTTTTTACCATAAGTTTAAGACACTCTGTAGAGTGGCAAAACCGTATATTGTTCTAAATTAAGTTTTATTTATCAAGTCACATTTATTTTTAACAGTTTTGTTTTTGGTTTACCTAAATATATTTATTTTTTTGGAAAATATGGATTTAAAAAAAAAAACATTGCAATTTCCAATAATTTTCTGTATGAAGAACTAAGGTTTCTATGGTCCATCCATAGGCTATGGAGAATGACAGTGACAGTTTTGTTGAATCATCCCATACTTGGATATGTCATACACGGCTTTCAAAAGCTATCAAATTGTTTTTTGCAAATTAATGTTTAAATTTTGGGGTGTTTTCTTACTTAAAAAATGGATATGTCTCCGACTGATGTTGCCAGAGCCATTAATTTAATCCAGGATGGACGGTCACAGTATTACGTGGCAAGTGTTTTAAACGTCACAAGAATTAAAGTACAAAGGGCAACATTAGTCGGAAACATTTTTAAAAGTAAGAAGACACCTCAAAATTAACACATTAATTTACAAAAAACAATTTGATAGCTTTTGAAAGATGTATATGACATGTCCAAGTATGGGATGACTCAACAAAACTGTCCATATTTTCCACAAAAATAAATATATCAAGGTGAACCAAAAAAAAACTGTTAAAAATAGATGTGACTTGATAATTTAAATTTAATTTAGAACAATACCTATACGGTTTTGCCACTCTACAGAGTGTCTTAAACTTATGGTAAAAAACATCTTTTTGTTTAAACCTGTATATTATAAACGTACGTGTATTTTTTAGAATTTTTTAAAATGTGAGGGATTCTCCATTAATGTATCTACAATATTCTTTAATATTTGTTTAAATCCGAAATCAAATAAAAAAGTTATTTGCGATTGAAATTCATCGAAAATTTGTGTGGATCGATTATTTTGCCTGTGAGTGTATAAATTAATTGTCAAATATTGTAGTTTAATGTTTTGTAACGTAAAACTTACAATGGAGTCCATTGAATGGACTGTATTTTTATACAAATAAAATTTCAAATAGTGTATGAAGTCGCACGAACTGTGCTAAATTTAAATTTTTATATATAGGGACACGAACTCGCAAAAATAAATTGTTCGAAGAAATTACCTGTATTTATAGGACCCATCGAAATTGACTTCTTGCTCCTGTCTTAGAATCGGGATGGGCTCTGTAACGGAACCCTGAGGCGCACAATATGCCAAACTGGCCATAGCCAAGAGAGCGACCTTAAATAAAAATGTTTTCTTTATATCAAAGGTTATTTCTACTTATATAGACACGAACAATATCGTTTTAAAATGAATAATATTTATTACCAATCGTTAAAAGTAATTTTACATAAAATTCAATTACCTGTTATGTCATTAACTTTCAGTGCATCATCTACCCATTAAAATGTATAAAATAATACAAAACTACATTAAAAAAATCAAGGTGTCGATTGAGCAATTCCATGCAATATAATAAGTAAATAAAATGGTTTGAAAATGGCAATGTTAAATCATGCAATTAACTCTTTTAAAATAAAATAGTTTAAATTAGAAAAACTCCCACGGTTTAAGTCACGCACTAGTAAAAGCATTCTATTATTTTTTTGTCAATGGATTATACCTACATGTATTTTTTTATTTCATAATTGGAAAAATAGGAATAATAGAAATTGTATTGTCTTAAATGCATATTTTTTTACGAAATAGATAGAACTATAGAAGGTGTATTTTTAGCCTGTAATTAGATATACCTGACCCATCAAATCAAAACAAAATTTCTATACCTAAAAGCTAAGGTATCAAAGTACTTCGGGTATAAATGAAACCAACAAACAAACACAATCATTACGAAAAAAAGTTTGATATACAAAACATTCCAAAAAATTTGAAAACATGGGTAGAAGAAAGTCGAACAGAAAACCACCACCACGGAAGAAGAACATTGTGCCTTTGGACATTTTCTTCGATTGCCCTTTTTGCAACCACGAAAAGTCCTGCGAAGTTAAGATGGACAAAGGACGAAATGCTGCGAAGATATCTTGCAGGATATGCATGGAGGACTATCAAGCCAGCATCAATATGCTATCTGAGCCTTTGGATGTATACAACGACTGGATAGATGCTTGTGAAAATGCAAACTGAATAAATTTGTTTTTTCTCAATAAATTCGATCCATTTTGAATATATGACTTGCTTTACTTAGTTTTTAATGATATAGTATACCCTCTAGAAATGAATTGGTCATTTATTACACTAGTAATATTGCCCAACATGGCTCACTATGATTTTCTTGTGTAGTTTGGCTCACTACAGATAGAAATCAAAAAGATAAATCCAGTTTGAATTATTTTACGAATAGATTATACTTAAAGGAAAAAAATAAGCTGTTGTTGATAAAAAACCATGGATAAATGGCGAATTTTTCAGTGGAAGAGCAAAATTCAGTTTTTCGAGAATTTTTACGTTTTTTCTTCATTTTATTGAATTATATATAATTAAATATTGAACATTGATTTTTATGTTAAATATTGAAATTAAATTATATATTGAACATTGAAGATATTGAAAGTTTTATTTTGTTGTAATAAGCATAGGTTTAAAAAAATTCTGGCTCCTTTGTTTTTTGTTGCTTTCGTATTCCGTTTCTCGTATGAGGGACCAAATGTAATCACCCATCATGGCTGCATCCCAGAAGCCGTGATACCGCCGCTCCATAGCCTTCATTTGCTGGTGAAAACGTTCTCCGTGCTCATCACTTACGTCACCCAGATTGTCCGGGTTATTTACGCACTCGAACTCTCTACTTCTTTTACTCATTTTACACTTTTTATTAACTAAATAAATCCTTGATAAAAATATTTTGTTGAAATATCAAAAAATAGCAGTAAAATGTCACTATGCCAACACGAGAAACAAAAGAAATCACGTTTGCGGAGTCATGTCAAATTTAAATTTTGAATGATGTTTTCGGTGGAAAAAGTACGTAAAAATTCCAATCATTCACTTTATTTAGGTTTTCATTAAAGAATAAACATATTACAAAATAAAAGAAAAATCGTCAAAAAGCTGAATTTTGGTCTTCCACTAAAAAATTCATAACTTCGCCATTTTTCCAATTAAATTTTGAATAATGTTTTCGGTAAAAAACATAAAAAATTCCAATCATGCACTTTACTTAGGTTTTTATTAAAGAATAAACATATTAAATAATAATATAAATAATATATTATTTTTGTAAAAATGTCAGCTTAAGCTCCAGTTTGAATTTTTTTTCGTGAATTCACGAAAAAAAAATTCAAACTGGAGTTATATGTTTGATTTAAACCCTTTCCAGGACGATATGTAAATTTTTGACCTCAATTTATGCCATAAAAACGATTTTTTTAAGTTATTAAAATCACTAGCGTCAAAATATTTATCCGATATCAAAAGTATGTAAAAGAAAGTTTTAGAGGGCTCAAATACCTTCAATTTGAGGGCTTGTTTGACCAAATCGATTAATTAGATTTCAAGCTATAGCTATATATACTAAAAAAAAAAATTGGGTGTGATTTTCGTGTTTTTAACTTTTGACGTCATGGAAATTGACTGCTAAATGTTTGGAATACAAATTATTAGTGGCTGCTTTTTCTCTATTACATAATTAGTCATTTTTCACTAATTCATTTTTAGAGAGTACAATGTATAAAATATGCCCTTAAAACTCATTTTTTAATCCACTAAACAAAAAACTGACAACAATGCAAAATACTTACGATAACTTTCATCTTAACAGTAGCTCTGGCACAGCAACAAAACAGCACACTTGATAAAAAAAATCCCAAATTCACTACGTAATTGTTTCGATTGTCCAACTTAAATATTATTCTGTTTACCGGTGCCTTCGATGTGTTGTTAAAAGCATTGTCCTTACCTTATATATATTTTTTATCCCCGAATATGCAAGTTCAGCCCCACCAGTGCCCAACCAAGATTTTTTCTTCGATGGAACTTGTGATGAGATGCTATTGTTGTGTCAATTATTGTAAATGTTTTTAATAACAGACTAGAAATTTTTATTGACATGTCGAATGTTTATTGCTTTATTATTAGATTTTTCTAGCGGATGATTTTTTGAAACTTTCATTAAGTATTATTCGTTATTATTAAATATAAATCTAAATAATTTATACTATTCATTAAAACTTAAATTGTAAAAAAAAATATTTTGATTAAAAATTACAAGAACTTTGAACCAAATAATTCTCAGGAATATAATAATTAACATTAATATTGTAAAAACAAGAGTTCTATAAATAGTTACCTTAAAGTCGAATCATTAGATAACGCTGTATACAATCATAACTATCTCAGTCGGCAATAATACAGGGTGTCCCGAAATTAGGGGGCCAAACTTAAACAGTGCATTCTTTATAGAAAAATAAGACTTTTTGTTTAATAAACATATATCAAAAAATGTCCCCTAACGGAGCTACGCCCCCCTAAATAGGAGCTTAAGAGCATCATTTTTTTAAAACTGTTCCTAGAGGGTTGAACAAGAAGACATGAATTTTGGGGACTTTGGTAATTTTGACATTCTGAATCTGGATCTATAATCAAAACTGTTAAAATTTAATCATAGGCGTAACATTTGAGGGGGCAAATGTACAAAAACAGCCCCAACTTTTTGCAGAGTGAGTATTTTAATGTTTTGTTATAAAATTATGAAAATGTATAGTTTTTCACGAACAATAGGTACTCCTGCTTTGAATCGCTCAGATGCACCATTTTCGAGAAAATTGCAATTTAAATTACTATGCTTAGCATAATTTCTAATATTTTCATTAAAAAGCTTTGGGACAAAAGTGACGTTTGGGTTATTTGCTGACATTTATTTTTATAGTTTAGTTAATATTTTTTGGCTAGATTTTTGTTATTTTTTATTATTGAGCGATTTTCCAAATTTTAACACAAAATTTTAACGAAAATATGAGATGTGTAATACACATTGTGTATGCTATGCAGAGTAATTTATAAAGGCATTTTTCTCTAAACTGGTGCATCTGAGCGATTTAAATTAAGACTACCTATTTTTCTTAAAAAACTATAAGTTTTCATAATTTCATAAAAAAAAATTAAAATATTATCTCGGAAAAGTTGGGGCTATTTTTATAACTTTTCCCCCCTATGATTAAATTTTAACAGTTTTGATCTTAGATCTTGATTCAGCATCTAAAAATTACCAAAGTGACAAAATTTCATTTCTTCATGTTTAAAGCTCTAGGAATAGTTTTAAAAAACTATTCTCTTAGGATCCTATTCAGGGGGCCGTAGCTCCGTTAGGGGGCATTTTTTGATACATGTTTATTTAACAAAAAAGTGTTACTTTTCTATGAAGAATGCACTGTTTAAGTTTGGCCCCCTAATTTCGGAACAAAGAGAACTACTTTATTTTGGGTCCAATATAGGACAAAAAAGTTCGCACGTTACTTTGGTGGTAAGGTTTTTGTTTTTTTGTTTAAGTTACAATAAAAAATATTTCTAAAAAGTGTACAGATGAGTGTGTGGTATAAAAGTGTTCCTCATGGTTTAAACATTGTCACTTTAATGTGTTTTAATTTTAATACTGAAAATAAACAGTAAAATGCCCAGTGTCCAATTACTGGTGGGTAAAAAATATAAATTTCTATTATTGGACATATGTCCAATATCATACTCTATTTATATCCAGGGCATTTACCAGCCAAATCTTATGTAAAATTGTCCCCTGCATCCGAAAAGACCGTCAAAAACTATAAAAGTTAAGCAGTTTTTGAGATATAGTCAATTCCATATTATATGTATTATTGATTATATTTCAAAAACTGTTCTACTTTTATAACTTTTGACGACATTTTCGGATTCAGCGGATAATATTTAATAGGAATTGACTGCTAAATGTCCTGGATACAAATTGCTGTTGACGAGAATTATTAGTGGCTGCTTTTTCGCTATGACATTTTTGACTAATTCAAGTAATATAGTGATTTCTTCGTCACAGGACATCCTGCAGAATAACAGTGATTTAAATACAGTGCATGATAGAGAATATAAAAAACTAATGGCAACAAAATTAATAAATTCGGAAAATACTTTTAACATACCACCCGAAAAAATATTAGATATATTTAAATCATCCTGTTACGGCCTAAACATTATAAATGCTTCACAAACTAGAGATACCTCACTTATGATATTTGCAAAAAACTATTTCAGAAGTCAGGCCAAGGAATTAGTAGTTACCTTCAGAATCCAGAAAAGGAATGAGGAATCCGAGAAAGAAATTTATGAATTATATGATATTTACAAAAACGAAATAAAAAAAATTACCTAAAACAGCAATTTATCTTTAAAAAATATTTAACAATTTATGTTATTTGATGTAAAGTTGTTATGTTTATATAAAAATTGTATGTCCATTGGACATTGGACATTGTCCAATAACTATATAAAATGTCCAATTACTTTACTTTTTTGCATATTTTTATAAAACTATTATTAAAAATTCAAATATTCCTATTTTATATATTATAAAAAGACTTACAATTTTTGTTAAATAAAGAATAAGATAACTTGACCTGATATGGTTACTTGTTCGTAAATTTCATATAGTTGCTTACATTGTTATTATGGAAATCCCATTCAATAAATTTAAAAATGGAAAGCGGCCAAAAGGTATCGCTTGCATTTCGGAAATGTCAAGATGGACTTTTTAAATTGTTACCTTAATACTTATAAGTATACACGAGTTAGTTTACTGGGATGCGAAGGTGTAATTTAAGACAGCAGCGACGTTTTTGTTTAATTTACAATTCATTTCAAGATTAAAAATGGCCTCAACACCATACGGCGTGATAGAAAAGGTTCATTTAAATATATATATAAAAAACAACAAACATGTTTTAAACTAATAGATTTTAAATTAAGTTTAATTTAATTATAATGGGCAATAAAATTTCAGTTATGTAAACTTTTTTTGATTTGTTTCTCAATACAAAGTATTAAGTAAAATATGTGAGAACAACCTTAAAACGAAATACATAGTATTCAATGACATACAGGGTGTTACTTAATGTTATGTACTCTCTAAAAATGAATTAGTCATAAATGAGTTATTAGTGGCTGCTTTTTCACTTGTACCATGGTCAACAATGGGATACCATGGTATCCCAAAATTTGACAGCCAATTCTTATGTAAAATTATCCCCTGAATCCGAAAATACCGTCAAAAATTATAAAAGTAGACCAGTTTTTGAAATATAGTCAATTCCATATTAAATGGAAAATTGACTATATCTCAAAAACTTTTGGGAATTTTCGGATTCAGGAGACAATTTTACATGGAAATTGACTGCTAAATGTTGATATAAATTGCTATTAACGAGAATTATTAGAATTATTTCGCTATGACAATTAGTCATTTTAGACTAATTCATTTTTAGAGAGTACCTATTTTAGGACATACATTTATATGAACTTTTTGACTCCAGAATCACCCATTAAAATACGTATAGACATTAGGTCACCCTCTAAGAAATATTACAGTTTTTTAATGATATTGCCAAAAGCTGATTGATCGAAAATATTCTTGTAAACAAAATTAATGGAAGATCTATATCAGTTGTCAGATTTTAAATATATTTGTAACTTAATCTCAAACTATTAGGAGTACATGACCAAGTAATTGACTAATTTGCCTGGGGTCAGATTATATAAACCCAAGTATTGGACATAATATATATAGTATCATCGAGTTTTACAGTGTTGTATGTTAAATCATATTATTCGTCACCTAAGATTTCTTTTTCCTTAATTATCGTGTTATATAAATTTTTTGTACCGTATTTTATATTTATTGGGCTCTAAACTGTCTTCATTATGACAGTTTTAGGGTGTGTCAAAAAAAGGCGTTATCGGGTTTTTTAGCTCTCACATGAAGATTCCTTAGAATAGGTCGAACGGGAATTACCCTTAATTTCAATTTTTAGAAGTGCACCATCAAGTTTTAAAATTTTCCATAACATTTTTTTTTTGTTTTACATTCTATTTAGCCATTCAATGTTCTTGTTTCTTACGAATATATGTATACCATAATATTGTATTTTTTTTCTTCAATATATTGATATATCAATACATGGAATTCTGACCTATTTTATTATAAGGTTATAATGTATTCATTAGGTACACTAGTTAAAAAAATCGAAAAAAAAATCTGCTCACCATATCCCATTATAATTGTTTTTTTTCAATTTTCGGAGGTGTTTTGACGTTTTTGAGTATAACTTTCTTTTACATAGGTACTTTTGATATCGGATAAGTATTTTGACGCTAGCGATTTTAATAACTTAAAAAATTCGTTTTTAAGGCTAAAATTGAGGTAGAAAACGTTTAAATCAATCAGATAACTCCAGTTTGATTTTTTTTCGTGAAGCTAACATTTTTACAAAAAAAAAGCTAATGTTGATAAAAATACATGGAAAAATGGCGAAGTTATGAATTTTAACATACAAAAATTCAGCTTTTTGACGATTTTTATTTTATTTTTTTTCTTTAATTTTGTAATTTGTTTATTCTTTAATGAAAACCTAATTAAAGTGCATGATTGAAATTTTTTTTACGTACTTTTTTCACCGAAAACATTATTCAAAATTTAAATTTAACATGACTCTGCAAACGTGAGTTCTTTTGTTTCTCGTGTTGGCATAGTGACATTTTACAGCTATTTTTTTATATTTTAACAACGTATTTATATCATGGTTTTATTCAGTTAATAAAAAGTGTAGAATGAGTAAAAGAAGTAGAGAGTTCGAGTGCGTAAATAACCCGGACAATCTGGGTGACGTAAGTGATGAGCACGGAGAACGTTTTCACCAGC